GGTTGGAACACCAATGTTCGAACTCCGGGTTCGAACAGGCCTCCAAGTGTTCGAACTGGAGTTGAACTGGAAGTTCCAATGTTCTACGTGGAGTTCAAGTGGAAGTTGAACTTAGTGTTCGATGGAAGTTCGGAGACAACTACAGTAACTGCAGTTCTGCAGCATCCTGCAGCGAATCCTGCACTTGGCAAGAACACATGCCGCAACTGGATTTTTTGAACCGAAGATGTGTTCTAGACAAGCAGTGACTGGGTGCTACATTTTGGAGTGATCCAGCATCTTGCTGACCAACTGGTAACATTGGACGGTATTCCTTGAATCCGCGTCCAGATTTTTGCGATTCCGACAACGAGCTCGAAAGTGGTTCCCCGCGAAAAAATGCGGCCCCAAAACTGGAGCCGTTTTTCTGAACCTGCGGGAATTGTGCCAATATTAGATTCCAAAAACGGGTCCGAATTCTGGACCCGTTTTTGGCCCCGCTCTTTCTCCGGCACTTTGCCCTTTTATTGAATTCTCAATTCACAAAGAACTTCAAAGAACGGCCGCTAACAGGTGTTGTGAAAGTCACAACTTCTCCTCTTTTTAAGCAGCCACAACAGCGACTACAGCTCTTTAGAGCAGGATTCGCGATCTTAAGGGATGCTGGGTGAGTTACCAGGGTCAAACCCACTTCATTCCTTATTCTGGCAGAACAAGGATTGGCGACAAGGTGTGTCCTCAGCCCGCCCGCCCGCAGGCCAATTCTCACAGCAAGACGCTCTTGTGCTACCTCAGTCGCCTTTCAGCCGTCGGGAGAACACTTGCCTCGGCTCATACTGCTTTACAAGCTGAAGGCCTGGAGTCTATCAACGGGGTGTGCCTTCATCCGGCTCTTGTGGCTTCCACCCGGTGGTTAGCCGATCTCTATTTGCTGATCACGGCTATACGCAACCCACAATCCAATGTCCTCCTCCCCGCAACTGACTCCTCTCCATGTCCGGTTTCTATTGGGGAGCTGGCGGCCGACACACCAGCGAGACGCGTGCAACGGATTGCAGGTGATGGTACACATCAGCCCGGTGTGTACTTTATCCGGCTGCCCAAACAGACGTTCTCCATTGTGACTCGTGGCCCCTTGGTCGTGAATGGTTTTGTGTTATCCGGTCGAGATGGCTATTAATATGATGCATAATGAGGTTTCTCGTCCTAGCGTCGCGATCCATACGAACCAAGAAGTTGATCTACAAGACATTTTTTTCGTGTGAACGTGAAACAGAGTGCTACGATGAGATTGGAGCTGAAGGGGCAGGGACAGTCCTTGGTATACTGTTGTTCAGGAACAAGAACCAAGGCTCACGCTCATTCATTCGAATTGACATTGATCTGAGACGACAGTGGCGGCAAGCTTTCTCAGGCACTTATTGATGTTGGTATTGGGGCAGAAACTTTCCTCATTCTTCAGTTCGGAGTATCTGCATAAGGGTCGCAATCGCAGCAACCCGCGTTAGTGCTTCCTATGACACCGTTCTCTTGGCAGGTGTATCGGTATTAGGGTGAGTGCTATTATGAGTATGAGTATTATTGTTTGCTGTAAGTATACATGTCAATATTGCCAACTATATATTAGTGTTAGTGCTCGTGTTCGTGTTAGAGTTAGCGCCAGTGCCAGTGTCAATGTCAGTAATACAGCACCACTGCTACGAGTAGTATCTGTATCAGTCTTAATGCTTGCCTAAAAGCAGCTTCTATTCGCAGAAGTGCTAGTATTAGTATCAATATTGGAACTAGTTAGTTTTGCTATGATAGTATATTGCTAGTCTCGCATATTAGCAGATTAGTATCTCAGTACATCAATGTATTCGAACAGTAAAATGTTTGCATACTTGTATACTAGTGTAATTTACATGTTAGTACAAGTGGTGCATGAATACACTAGTATATTGGTGTATATTGTATTAGTTTACGAGTATATTAACATATTAGTATGTTCGTACGTTTGCATATTAGTATACTAGTATGTCTACCATATTCATGTATTGTCGGATCATTTATAAGTATATCAGTATGTTGGCATATTAGTATACGAACTTGTCATGTCGGTATTTTTGCGTATTCTTGCAGTAGTCGTATATTAGTATAGTCACATATGAATATAGTATACTCATACAACAACGAGAAGTATAGTGTTACATTGGTATATGGGTTTATGCCTATGCCAAAACATTAAAACATGAATGCACTAATGTATATATCTGTATCTTAAGATAGTGGTATGTATTTTATCTACATTAGTATATGCAGGTGTCTATTTGTAATGATACTAGTTTTCATATCAATATGAATATACTATTGGTAACCGTCGGAGTATTAATGCCAATATTATTTGAATTAGGACTGTTTATACTCGTATTAGCCATAATATGAATGTTCATGCTAGTAATACTAGTGGCGTTCTTGAATATTCAGCAGATTATCAAAGTCCGTATTAGTGTTGGTGATAGCACTACTGTTAACGCACAAGAGTTTACGTATCAATAGCTATGTAAATATATTGATGTGAGTATAAATATTGTGTTAAGTATTAGCAGTAGTGTTAGCGTTAGTACTATACTATTATTGATGATCTACATTCGCAAGAACGTTTATATTAGTATTACTCCTGATCACGTGAAAATACTAACAGTTGAATACATGAGTGAGTTAAAGGAATTGTATGTTAATATAGTGGTATTCACATTTATGTTCATTAGTGCATACAGGTGTGTGTTAGTATTGGTATTAATATACACTATTATCAATATGAATATGTTTATTTATATGCGTAGGAGTACTAATAGCAATACTAATCAATATTAGTATTTGTGTTATGCACATTCGTACTAGGCTTTATAGAAGTGTAATATTAGTAGTAATGTTGGTATTAGCTTGAGCATTCAACAAATGATCAATGTCAGTATTAGCAATGGCAATACTACATGTAGGAGTATCAATACATATATGTATATATGGATAAATAGATAGAGAGATATTCGTCTAAATATGGGCATGAGTATTGACAGCCCTTGCCTTTGCAAGTGAATCGTAGTGCATGGTCTGTCATCGGATGGTTCACAATCAGCCCTCCTGAGAATCAATTCCAAGAGGTCCAGAAGTTCCGAAATTTTAAAAATTTCCGAAATTTCCAAAATTTCCAAAATTTCCGAAATTTCTGAAATTTCCAAAATTTCCAAACGGCCCGACCTAGTGGACAGGATTTTTCCAAAAACATAAGGGCGGACTTTTTGGAAATTTTAGATATTTTGGAAATTTCGGAAATGTTGGAAATCTTGGAAATTTTGGAAATTTTGGCAATTTCGGAAATTTTGGAAATTTTGGCTATTTTGGATTTTTTGGAGATTTTAGAGAATGTGGAAATTTTGGAAGTTTCGGAACTTTTGGAAATTTCGGATGTCAGGAAAATTGGGGGAGAGAATATTGGAAATTTTGGAATTGAATTATTGAGGGCTGAGTGCCCCCTGTCCCCCGATGACAGACCATGCACTACGTGTGAGTTGGAAGGGCATGGTCTGTCAACAGGGGGGGGCGACCATGTATATATATATATATATGTACATATGTATACATATATCTGCTTTGAGAGCTTTGTCGTTTGTTGGTCGGGTTAGGCTCGAGGTTCGGCGTTTTGCAGCTTGGTGGCGATTGCCCCACACAGCAAAAGTGCTGCCCGCTAGCGAATGGGTTTGAAGTGGCTTGTGATTTGTGAAACCTGGGTCAATGGGCATCAGTTGAGGTTTGTGGTGCCTGGAAAACCGTGGTGGATGTGGCAGTGGTTTTGACGTCAAACAACAAGCGCAGCAACTGGGCATGGTGATGGTTCAAGTTGTTAGTTCAATTGCGAGGATCATGAGAACAGTGCGTGCATTCTGGATACAACGAGCCCTGCAAGTTTACGTATTGTCTGAGTCAAGTTCTTCACGTGATATTTGCCTTTGTTCACAGCTTTTGGCAGCTGCGCCCGTTTGCCAGCTGCCCGGTCCGCCTACTTTCCATGCCAGGCCTGTGCATGCAGCAGGATGGACGGGTGGAACAGAACAAGATGCAACATAACATCCTGGATCTTCAGTTTTGGACAACCTGGAAGGGACACGGAAAACAGACTTGGTGAGTCCGTTGTGGAATACTAGTATGGAATTTCAGACAAAACGAGCTTAGTTCACTTCGATCTCCAGCGAAATAACAAACTAGCCGGGGCTCGGTCGATTTGTAAGCCTGACCGATCCACATCCAATGCATACCCTTCTGCCCGTACTCTGAACAGTCCAAAGATTCAAGCTGGTGCCCCAGAGGTTGCGCACTGACCGACTTTTGATTGCCGCAGATTGACGCACCAGTTGCCCTCGAGCAGTACCCCTGCCACCGGGTATGCAGCTTGCAAGCTTGCAGTAAGGAATCTAGCCACATGTGTACTTCTTCACTACGTGAGCCAAGCCATGTGTAAAGATTTCTTTGTCGCACAAGACACCGCAGCCACGGACATGGACTCCGAACTGTTGCAGGCTTTCGCAGCCCATTCAAGTGGTGAATGGGCGGGTTGGCGTTGCGAATTCTCAGCCGAAGGCAGGCATTTGCCAGTTCCAGAACGCTTTGTGCCACCCGAGATGTTGGACTGGGGAGCAGCCCCTATGGGAATGGAAGTTCTGGTCTCAGAGCTTGTCGGCTCAACACATCGGCGACGGCAGTTGCAGCTGCTCCCGGAAATCGGCTGATCCTCAGAGCTTACGCGGGTCTCGGTGGACCGCTTCGAGCGGGCCCCTCATGTGTCTGGATCTGCCGATACGTTTGCTTTGGATGTTTTGGAGGCTGGGAAGTGCAGCCTTGAGACCATTTTTGCCACTTCCAGCCCTCCAGGAAAAGATGAGAAGACCAACTGCAGAGACACCTACAGCACCCTGGCTCGCCGGATTCGTGTTGAGACAACGTTGAGGAGAGACGAAGAGACTTGGCGGCTTACGGCGTTGCAGATGTCTGTGGAGCGAAAATGGCATGCAGATGGCTTCTCTTTGGATGTTTCGCCCATTGTGAACACAGTTGACGGTGGACGCATCACACCCTCTGGCCTGAGCCTCGACGAGATTCACTCGGCTGTCGCATCCGACTGCTTTGAAGTGTCAAGTGCTTGCATGAGGGAGGATGGGCAGTTGTGCTTACCCTTGGGAGTATCAGTAACCTGTGGGGAGACATGGCTAGAGGTCGCCTTCAAAGACAGAGCAGGGAGGGAGCGCATCTTGCGAAGAGACTTTTTGCCGCAAGGGGACGCACCCAAAGTCACTGTCAGGACAAGTTAAACTTTTAGAAATGCTTGCTCTCAGTGCGAGGATTCGTCATGTTTCGACTTCTAGCTGCAGCATCTGTGTGAAGCCGCCGTTGGCAAGCTCGGCTGTAGAAGAACGAAACCTCCCTAGTCCAGATTCATGTGGCTTATGTACATCGCTGGAAAACCAGCCGTGCTTGCCCCGGGGGCTGATTTGATGGAGCGAAAGGCGAGACATGGACCGGACGAGGGCATCTCGGAGCTTACGGCTCACGGCGCGTGGAAAAGCGCCGTACCGACTTGGCACGCCGACTTGAAGCAAAGCCTTGGCCACTTGGCCACTTGGGCCTTGGCGCCAGGTACCCCTCCACCTTGGCTGACGATGGGGCACGGGGCCCTGAACTGCATTCGGGGCAAGACTTTTTGGAATTTCATCTGCGTTGGTTTGTTGTTGGAGTTGTACGTTTATGCCATGGGTCCAGTTGTTCATGCTTCCTTTCGTACGGCATGTGCTCTTGTCTGAACCCGAGGGCAGCGCGTTGTAGGTGAACATCCCGGAAAGCCCACAATGCACAACCTTGCCGATTCCAGTAGACCTCCTGTCTTTTCCATTTCAGACGACGGTATTTGTAAATTCACATGCCACATTGTGTGCCCGAGTTCACCAATAACTCCGTTCCGGAGTCAGATGTCTAGAGGCCTCGGGGTGTTCCTGCCATTCAGCCTTCAGCTTCATCATGGGTTGCCTCCTTTTCTTCGAGTTTGGTTCAAAAGTCGTGCAAAGCACGTATGAGCCAGCAGTTTTCCGGCAAAGCTTAGAGCCTTAGAGCTTGTGGATGGAAGCGGCCGTCGAAAATCTCGAAGCCTCTGCCTCGGTGGACCCGACGTCGACCATCGGCCGAGAAAGAGCTTCCAAGAAGAATGTCAAAATAACTGGCAGTTTCTTACGGGCTTCCAGTGAAAATCTCGCACAAAGACATTGGATTCGGCTTCAAGCTGTTCTTCAAAGCTATTGGTTGGCCAACTTCATGGCTGCGCTGATACTCATCGATGCGTACTGCACGATGGTAGACATTGATGCAACGGCTTCGCGGACGACGCCGCCACAGATCTTCGCCTTCATCTCAGACTTTTGCTTGGTAGTTTACACCCTTGAAGTCACTGCCCTGACTGCTTGTTTTGGTTGGAGAATGTTTCTGAGCGATGGTATGATGATTTTGGACGTTGTGATCGTCGGATGTGGCTGGGCAGAGAAGCTCATCTCCTCGCTGGCTGACGGGGCCCTCGGCTTCCGCACGGCAGTGCTGCGAGCCCTGCGGCTGGTGAGGATTTTCAGGCTTATGCGGTTGTTGAAGCTGAGGCATGCATTAGTTAGGAAATTGGTTGTTGATGTGGACATAAAATCAGTGCAGTGAGTAGTCTTCTTACATGACAGCATAACCAAGGAAAAGGATACGACCTTTACGAGAGTTGCACAAGCTCGTCATGATGATGGCAACGTGCTTCAGGGCACTGCTGTGGTCTTTTTTGCTCTGCTTCGTAGTGATGACAGTGTGGGCAATGCTGATGCTTGGTTTTGTAGAGTAACATGTTGCAGGATTAAGTTGTGAACCATAGAGCAGCAGTTCCTACCCAAGGATGGTGGAGGTGGTCAATCCGCATGTGCAAGAGATGCACAGGGACCCAAACCTAGATGTGTTTAACGACTGCCATCCGCAATGTACGAGGGCGGTGTCATCCGCTGCTTGGCCTTGTTGGTGTGCTTCTGCTTTTTCCGGTCACATGCGTGTGATTGGAATTCTAGTCTTGAGCAGTCACCTTTCAGCAGCGATGGCATTTGTTCCGAAGGTGATGTATGCCAATCTGCTGTTGTTCAAGACAGTGATTGCTGGCGATAGCTGGGGTGAGATAGCTGTTCCAGTCATCCAGGCTCCCGGCACGGGTCAGGGGGCAAGAAGAGGAACAGTTCGCAGAGCAATAACAGGTGATTTATGTCAGGGCCTGAAGCTCTGGCTTTGTCCCGCAGCAGCAGGAGCATCCAGCAACGGCCGTGATTTTCATCGGCTCTTCATTGACATTGGTCTTCGGAGTCCTGAATCTTATTGCAGCTCTGCATGCACAAAAGTCTGGTGTGTAGGATCGGGTTCCATTGCAGGAGGTCGGAAGCCGCCAGGGAGCGAAAGCGAAGCTGCACGTCAGTCCCATGCCATGCGCCCGGCTCCCGTCGGCCTTTCCCGGGCCGGCTGCCAGGTTGCGGTGGTTGTCGACACGTTTGCAGATGCCCGGCTGAACGACGTCCAGAATTTGGCCGAGGAAATGGAAGACGAAATCGAACATGACAGTGACTCGGAAGATGTGAAAGGTTTTAGGAGGTGGAACTACGCGCATGAGGCATGCGAGGAGGAGGTTTGCAGTCGTTCCTACCTCTGTCTTTCTTCTTGATTTGTCACAGCAGAAAGCCCGAAACTGAGGAAAGGCCTTGGGCAAGCTATTCGCGAGAATCGACAAGGATGGGAGTGGGCAGCTCTCCCTCCAGGAACTTATTGAAGGAGCACGGCACGACCAGGGCTTTCAAAGCCGACTACGAGTTATGGACACCAATTTGCGAGAGCATTACTTTCTTTACATACTATATGTACTCAGGTTCAGGTGAAGAGCTTTCGCAGGGTTTGAAGATGTTTGGAGTGTGAGGACATCGATGAGCAAGACCTAGAGCAGCTCTTCCACATGATCGACCAAGATCAGTCTGGAACAATCGAGGTGGCTGAGTTCATTGGTCCTCTCAGCAGATGGGCGCATGATTCCAAGACTGCTCCCCGCTTCATTAAGTACAACATGATACAAACGATGCATCTCCAAGAAGATCTCTATGACCTTTCCGTGGAGTGCTTTCAGCAGTTGGCTGCGAGGGTTGAAGACTTGTCGGTTCAAGTCCGCATGCTCAAGCAGGGCAATCCGAAGGGCCAAGGCCAGGGCCACGAGCATGAGCTCAGTCATGACGTCGAATCTGGTGAAGTGCAAAAGTCGGACTCTCTCGCATCCGACACTCCGACAGAGGATCTGCAAGAGTGTCAGTCCCGACTCGAAGCTTGGGCTTTAATGTGCTTCTGTAGTGCACTATATCCGCGTTCTCTGGCAACATTATGGTTGGTGTCCCACTACTCTTAGAGGGTCAGCATCGAATGGTTGCGATTCACATAGCAAGCCTGTTCAGATCTCACGCGACGAACAGTCGTAGTAGCCTTGTTAGCAGTGTTAGTCGCAGTGGCAGTGGTGGCGGGCGTAGAAGAAGAAATCAGGGCGGATGTGGCATGTGCAAAGTATTGCTAACCACGACGACGACCACGACTACGACGACGACGACTACGACTTCGACTACGACGACGACAACTACTCCTTTTTGCTCGTGCCGCGTGCGGTGTGGTCTGGTGCACGTTGGCGCTTGCCCAGAAGAAAAGGTGCCAAGCTTTCGCCTTATGCGTATATACCGGTGCTTCCCGCCTTGTGGAAGGCGAACGCTTTGGAGCTGCGATGACAACACAGCTGCGATTCTTCAGTTTGACGAAGCTGACAAAGCGGCTATGGCGGCTGCTGCTGCTGCTGCTGCTGTTACTGCTGCTGTGACCACTACTACTACTGCCACCACTACTACTCCTCCTCTTGCTACTGCTGTTGCCAAATTGCCGTTGTTGCTACAACTATTCCTGCTGCTGCTAATGCTAGTCCTAATGCTAGTCTGCTACGGCGACGGCAACGATTGCTATTAATGGTCCCGCAGCTCCGAGCGACTGATATTTGTCCCTTTTTTTGAATACTACACCAGCTACTACCCACAAACGACTAACCATTCACTTCCAACCAAAACGAACCACTGTGTACTATTCACTATTCATTGCCTATTACTTTGCTACTTGCTACCTGCTGCTCGCTACTCACTGCGCTACTTGCTTCTGGCACCTGGTTAAGTTGTCAGTTACTGTTTGGTATTATTGCGAAGTTACTTTGGTTTTCTTGTGGCTCTTTACTACTTATGTGCTGTCCGGTCATGATGACGATGATGCCCATGTTGAGGATCCCAGCCAAGCGGGCAGTCGTTCCCACAGTCTCAACACACCGGCGTGGCTAACACATCATGGGAAGCTGGAGGCACCTCTCGTCCATCAGCCGAATACTTCACACCAAGTGGAATTCCTGGAACCTCACAAGGCACAGGAGCGGAGCGAGGAGGCTACCGAGGCCCTTCTTGATGCTGCGATGTCCAGGCTTGAGGCCAAGTTGGACCTGCTGCTAGCTGAGAGTCGAGCCCGACCCAGAGATGCTCTGCATCCAGGAGTTGGAAGTGAAGAAATGGGCATTTTTGCAAGGGAGCGCAAACAGCGGAAGAAGGGTGGCAAGAAGATGCTACATCCCGAGGCATTCCGAAGCATGTACATGAATCACGGCCGCCAAATCTCTGTGCTGGATCTGCGAGCCGTCAGCGATCCAGATGCTTGGTCAGATGGAAGTCTGTTTGCTTCCCATGTTTTCTGAGCGTATCCTACAGGGAGAATCATTCTATTGTCACATCTCTAACAATTTGCCAGAGGGCTGTTAAGCAACAAGCCACGTCACCACCTGTCCTTGGCAATGGTCGAGGATGGACACGCTCCGCGCCGGAGAAGTCTCCGCCATTCCAGAGACGAGGGTGGCTTTATGTCCTTTGCTAGGCAGATGAGCCCGTTCCACACAGAAGATGCCAGTTTCAAACCAGTTTCACCCAAAGGCCAATCCGGCCAATCGCCGATTGATATTTAATACCTTCTCCCCGCAGGCCGACATCGCCAAAAGCATGGTTCAGTGCGGATCTTTGAAAGATCCGACAGCTAGCGGCCAGACGCATATTTGCGAAAAGGAGTGCTCTTAGGACTTTGAGCTATGGAGTCTTAATTGAAGAGAAGCTGCACAGTCCAGCTATTGAAGCCTGATAGATCTGCTTGGAGGTGCCCCTGAGGAATTGATGGCTGAGAGGTGTGCATCTAGCAGTGTCCTCGCTAGTGCTGGGCCGTTTCCTGCAGAGCTGAGCTGAGAGTTTGCGAAGTCGTGAGGGATGCGGTCTTCAGGTGTGTTTTAGCCACGCAAACAAAGGGCTTTAACTTTGGATCTGTGTGACCCCTGCATTGGCCCATTCTCGAAGGTGCTGCTGCGCAGCTTTGTTTTGGGTTAGTGTGCGAAGCATGGGACGCAGCGTCGCTCAAGCCCGTCAGAGCACGCGGCACGTTTTTCAACAGGGTCTCCTTCTGTTCGGTGTCTGGTTTCTGTTCCTACGAGAGTCATCCCCATGAGGGCCGTGCATCCCTGAAAAGAAGTGCTATGCAGCTGATAGAGTGACACATGCTGCTAGCTGTGAGAGTCTTCGTCTAAAACACAGAAGTGTGTCGACGCAAGCTGGGACCAGAGTCATTCCACGAGGCCTGATGGTTTCAGTCAAAAGTCGCAGAGGTTCGAACTGCAGGGTTTAGGTGTGTCAGAGCCGGACATAGTACTCGTAATTGCGCCCATGTAATGCAAGTGTAGTTTGTGGCAGCAAGACTCCCCTCCAAGCACTTGCCGGGCCAGCTGGCCTTGCGTGACCTGACATGTCTCTGTCCACCGATGCCTCTGGTGGTATACAGGCCGGGATATGTTTTCGCGTCATGGCTGTTGCGTGGTCGTGCGGAATGGCTCCCAAGGTCAAAGTATGTCTGCGACCCTCCTCGCATGTCTCCAGGTTGAAACCGCATAAGCTCTGCCGAACCCTGAGAGGTGGACTTCTTCGTGAATGGAAGGAGGACGCCCGCGGGGCCCGGGACGGGAGACGAAGCCTTTAAAGCCCTGAGGTTGGCGAGAGGCGTTGGCTCCAGGTGCGGGTAGTTTCTCAAGTAGTCCCCGCCCTGTAGTTTGACCCTAGTGTGGCTGTGTCAAGGGCACAGCCCACGACTTTCACGCCCTCTCTCGATTTTTTCGAGGAGGCTGGTGTGCTTGGCCCCAACCTCTGCTGCTGTTTGCACAGTATATGAGACTCCTGCTGTGTCTACTTTGTCTGTGGTGTATTTCTTATTCCCAAAGGAACACACGCGACGGAGCCGGCGTGGCACAGGAGAGAGCGCAGAGAGAGGAGCAGGTCTCGATCACTTCTCACAAGTTGGTTGAAAGATCAGGTGCAAGTCGCACCGCCAGAACTCTCCAGAGCGTGCTCCGTACTAGATCGACACCATTCAAAATCGACATTGCCCGACAGTGTCAGGAGAAGAATTGCAGAGCAAGGAGACGCACCTCAGACAATCCAAGTAGTCATGCAGATGTCTCATTCAGGTCCAACTGGATGGTTCTGCGATCATTGTCGCCGTACAAATTCCTACAAATCCAGTCATTGTGGGCAGTGTGGATGGTCGTGGTGGGACATTCAGGCCGCAGCTCCTTATTCTCAGCCGGCGTCAGAGGTTCCATGGAGATCGGCCTCCCCGAGACGCAGGCCCCAGTCACCGAGAAAACCGAAAACGGGATGGGATGGTCATCAGGGTGGTGGACGGGACAAGGGCTCCGGGAAGGGCCTTGGCAAAGGAGCTCAGGCCCCCTCAACCCACAACCTACCGCAACCGCCTCAGATTGGTGCCATGCCCAAAGCCCCAAAGAGCGAGGTGACAGAAAGTCAAGGCAATGCAGCAGCATCCACCTCCGATGCGTTGTTGCAGGCATTGCTTCCACATTTGTTGAAGCCACGCATGTTCCTTGCGCAGCGGCGTGGCAAGATGATGCCGTCTTCATGTTTGGAGTTCATAAAGCTTGTGATCTTCTTCCTGCGTGCAGACGAGTAGCGCGCTTTGTTCATGAAAGTTTTCAGTCTCGCTGCTTGGACTTGAATTACACTTCCGGCAAGACTGAGCTTGTTTGTTCTCCTGTTGGCGTTGGCGCTAAAAATGCGAAACTTGACATTTGCAAAGATCCCGTGCTTAAGTTGGCGTTCCTTCCTGATGTTGGCAGTGCTCACACAGTCGGTTGCGTTCCAGCCTACAAGCATTTGGGTTCACTTGTTGACATGTCAACGTCTCTGCTCCCCGACATAAACCGGAGACTGGGGCAAGCAGGGTCTCTGATCAAGCCTCTTCGGAAGCGGGTGTTCAGAGATCCGTTTGTGGCCCTCAACATCCGCAGAATGATCTTCAGATCGCTTGTTTTGTCACGTGTTTTGGTTAATGTTGCGGCATGGTCTGGCATGCGCATGGGTGAAAAGCTTGCGTGGCAATCCGGCGTTCTGCGGCTTTACGGAGCCTTGTTGGTCGGCCCACAGGCAAAGCATGATGCACATGTCACTCATCGAGAGTTGCTTCGAGCTGTTGGGCTTCCTGCTCCTATGGACCTTTTGCGCCTCGAGCGGTTGAGACTTCTCGCTCAGCTCCTGCGCAAGTCATGCAGCAGAGTCCATGAGCTGCTCGAGGCCAGCATCGGTGCTCAACGATGCTGGCTCACTGAAGTTCTCAATGACTGGCAGTGGTTGCGAGGCTTGTTGTCGTTGTCGGTTCCGGGTGATCAAGACGATGTGAGTACTGCTCTTGCTTACCTTGCCGGTCGAACGTCCCAGTTGTCAGCGTGGGTGCGGCGAGCTTGGTACAAATCGTGCGCGAACTGGGCTTGCTGTGAAATCGTTGTGCCCCGCACCGGCCCAATGATTGTTCACCAGTGTCCCTTCTGTTGTGCGAAGCTCAAAGGGAAAGCAGGGTTGGCTGGCCATCTTGCCTTGAAACATGGGCTTCGTTCAAAGGCACGTTTCTTGGTGCGCTCGGCCACGTGTCCTGCGTGTCTGAAATGCTTCCATACCAGGTCGAGATTGCTCTTCCATCTTCAGCGATCTAGTCCTAAGTGTTTTAGCAGTCTTTGTGCTACGGAAACTCTGTTGCCAAGCCAGGTTGTCCGTGAGCTAGACTCCCAGGAACGCAGCAGGTGTAAGAAGGCCCAGAAGCGTTCGATGGCCGACAGGAGGCCAGCTGTGCAGACGGATGTCTCGGTGCCTTCTACACTTGTCATTGAGGAAGGAACGGTACCTACCCACTTTATCGAAGACTTCCTTTGAAGGTTCCTTCCTTTAATTCCTTCTGCATGTTTTTGATTCTTACCTGCAGCGCGAGACGCTTCTACGAGGTGTGTGAATGAATGAATGAGGTTGGCGAGAAGAAGGGTTTAGGAGTGTTTAGGAGTGTTCCGAGTGCGACTGTTCCGGGAAGGAGCCTCCAGAAGGCGCCGCTCTCGAACTTCCGCTTCGAGGGCTACGCTGGGAACTTAAGAGAAGAGAAGAGCGTTCCGAATGCCTTCCGATCTCTGCTTGGGGCCTTTGGGCAGAGTTAATTCAGACACTTTCAGTGGTTTCGACAAAGCGCAGATCAAGTCTTGAGGCTTCTCTTCCTGATCTTGTGCTCGCCTGAGCTCGCATTCGACGGTGCAGAACATCGTCAGGTTCATCCAGAGGCGTACCTGGACAAGTCAGACGCTTCAGGCACGCTCGCGCCATGCTGGGCGTCATGCTGTCGCGAAATAGAATTCGGAGAACATGATGCGCCAATGCAGTTGCCGAAAGCTGCAGAAGCAAAGTCACAACGGTTCGGGACTCCCCTGCAGCACAGCATAACGGCACAGAGTCTCTGTCGACACTTTCAGAGCGCAGCACTGCTAGTAAAGTCTCTTGAATATCCTGATTGGTTTGGATCCGCGAGGCCGTCCGGTCATCAAGTTTTTGCGGAGCGCCTGGGCAGAAAGCACTGAGGAGCTCGTTTCGGGAGAGACTCATCTTCAGCTTCTGATGTTGTTATATGCCCCGTAGTGCTGTAAAAAGCAAATGGATGATCATGTCGCTTCAATGCAGAGCAGGACCCGGGCAGGAATGAAGTCGTTTCGATAACAACCAGTACGTTGTTGTGATTGAGCAGCAATAGTAGTAGTAGTAGTAGTAGTAGTAGTAGTAGTAGTAGTAGTAGTAGTAGTAGTAGTCGTAGTAGTAGTAGTGGTAGGAGTAGGAGTCGTAGGAGTAGTAGGAGTAGTAGGAGTAGTAGGAGCAGTAGGAGTAGTAGGAGTAGTAGGAGTAGTAGGAGTAGTAGGAGTAGTAGGAGTAGTAGGAGTAGTAGGAGTAGTAGGAGTAGTAGGAGTAGTAGGAGTAGTAGGAGTAGTAGGAGTAGTAGTAGGACAGGCGCCCCCGGTGCGACGCCAGGACGTACGATTGTTCAGCCTTCGTGTTGTCAGAAATGCTGAGTTGTACAGCGATTTTTCCTTGATTTTTTTTTAAAACTTTCGAAAGCGTGTGGCATTTTGCTAAGCGTTTACTGCTTTTTTAACCTAGCTCTGCCATCCCGCAGCCAAAGATTCTGGTATTTACAGCACTCGTCTTTGAGATTTTCATGATTTTTTGCTGTTCTTCGAGGTCTCGACTACGACTGCTACTACTACTACTACTGCTGCTGCTGCTGCTGCTCCTGCTGCTACTACTACTACTACTACTACTACTACTACTACTACTACTACTAGGGTTGCGCGGCTCCTGGCGCCTGGTAGTTTTCTGTGGTTCGAGGCTGTAAAATGCTGGGTTGTTGAGAGTCTTTAGAAATTGTAGTGAAGCCACGTTCTCAAAACTAAGTACTTGAGTTTCTGATGATGAGGATAAGGATGATGATTATGAGGATGATGATGAAGATGGTCAGGTTAACGATGATGTTGAATATGGCGAGGATGATGGTTATGAAGATGATGATGAAGATGGTCAGGTTAACGTTCATGTCACTGGTTTGTCCATTATGAACAAAACACTGCTATTTACAGCATTTTTTGCTCGTTGTACAACATGCTGCACAAGGATGTGGAGCAAGACAGGGTTGTCACAAGCATCCTAGTACGGCTACTGCTACCGGCGCTACTGCGTCACTGCTTGCTGTCAATAATGTCGTTATTACACCCTCGCAAAACGCCTACAAACGCAGACAACAGAGCTTGACACACCAGGCGCCTGGAGGGCCGCACATGGCTGCTACTGCTACTACTACTACTACTACTACTACTACTAGTACTACTACTACCACCAGTAGCAGTAGTCGTCGTAGTAGTAGTCGCAGTCGTAGTAGAAGTAGAAGTAGCAGTAGCAGAAGCATTGGCAGTAGCAGTAGCAGCAGCAGCAGCAGCAGCAGCAGCAATAGCAGTGGCAGCAATAGCAGTGGCAGTGGTCGTGGCAGTGCGAGCGGGAGTGGTAGAGTGCTGGTAGTGGATGGTATCATGGTAGTGGTAGGGGTAGTGGTAGTGTCAGCAGTGGTAGACGCAGTATGCTCGATTGCACCGCCAGCCAGCCTTTGACATCGGCAACATCCTTGATGTTGGCCCACTCGCTGTACCTTTGCAGAAACATACTTTTGAGCAGATTCCACGATGGTATTTCTTCAATATGCATGTCCGGCATTGGGGTGATTCGGAAGCGCTGTGAGTCACAGCACCTCTGCTCTTACTCCCTTCAGTCCTGGCAGAAAGATTTTTAGGCGCAGGCTACTTGACATTGAAAGTTCCGCTTTGATTTGTAGCCGGAAAGGAGGCCTTCAATCAGCGCTTGAGAACAGAAGTCTGGATGAAGCGCAGCTGAGAAAATAAAATGACGCAACAACGTCCCTCTCCATCTCCAGCCTGGGCTGGACCACCCTGCCTTGACCCCTTGACGCCTCCAGCCAGGAGATCGGCCGTGCCTTGGCCTCCTTCGCGTCAAACCGCAGCCTGAGGCGTAGCGTGGGCAGGAGGCCGGCTCTTGAAAGTGCAGTCTTCAGCGTGTCCTGCTGGTGACATGTAGAAAGGTCAGACACAAGAAGCGCTCTCTTGCTAGTAATCGTAAGACGAATATCAGTAGACTGTAGACATAATCCCGAGCATAATGTACACAAAGCCATGTTGACATCATCAGCAGATCAGAAGCGATTCGATCGAAAATTATAATTGCGAGGAAAGCTCGGCGATTCCGCTTGGGCAGTCGTCCATACGCGCCTCGCTCTGGGAGCGTTGCGAGGCGGGGGATGAGATTCTGTTTTGCCGTATTATTTGCCGTAATATCATGTACCTACAGAATATGAAACCAATGCAGTGCACGATAATACTGTACAATAGGCAACAAAACGAGTAAGCATATTACCATAAGCATGCTTAGCATCATCAGTCTTCCTCTTTTCTTTCTCGTGGCTTTCAGGGCAATGGGGACAAACATCAGCCGTTTCCTCGAGCGGTTGAACGCAGCCGGCATTGGCCTGGAGGGTTCCTTCCTCAACATTGGCGCACCTCGGCGTCCCCATACTTTTGCGGCACCCAAACAACAGCAGGAAGCAGCGGACGCAATGGCAGTCTAGCACAAAAAGCGATGATCGTCAGGCAGTCCTTTTGGCAAGAGCAACGCAGGCAGAATGATATAGAATGATATCACAGCATGTCCAGAAATAGCAATGCCATATAACAATAACACCCAGCAAGTTGTGCTAGCCACAACTAAGAATGGAAAAGCAGCCAGATCATGAACAAGACTGGTGCAAAAAAGTAGTAGAACAGCACACGCCACAGATCACTTTTGGCATGAAATCTTAGAGTATCCAAGCGGCAACAAAAGCCAACAGTATCAACACCATCAAAAGCAGAGAAACCCTCTTGCAATAGTATCAGCAAGGCACAACAGTAAGAGTAGCAAGAGAGCCAGAACAACAAACACAAGCAGACGCACAGAATCGTCCCAGTAGTCCGGACTATGCTAGCATGAAATTAATGTCAACGTTTGAACCATTAGTTTCATTAAGTTCTGAGAGGACGCACGTGAGATCAACGACGGCTGGCTCAGTGGTAGAAGCAATGGATTCGATCATCGCCACAGCAGAGTCAGCACGGACGATATTTATGCATTGCCACCATTATGTAATCCGTGTTCGTGACAACAACAATGAGGAACAACATGCACAGCATCACTGAAAACATTCGCAGCAACAACATCACGAAATAACCAGGAACACAATCATCACGATAGCAAGGCTGAGAAAGTCTACGAACACGAAGCATTTAACCGCAGCAAAGGGTGGTGTTTTTGAGCTCATCATAATCAAGAAACAACCTGCTGTTATTGATCGATGGGACCGCTGCGCAGGAGTACGAATGCTGACACCAATGCCAAGTGTGAACATGACACTTCAGATGCTGTGTCGGTTAATTTACCCGAAAGGCCACTTAAAAGCAATCGCCGCGCTGGTAGTACAAGAAACAAAACAACCCGGAACAGAATCTGAGCCAAACCATTTGCATTACGGTTGCAAGATATGCGAATCAAACGAACGGGACGACCAGAAAGAACTCGAAGACAAATCGTAAGCACAGCAACTGTGTTGGGTGTAGAGCAAGTTCAACAGGATGATCGAAAGAGGCAGGTACAACGACGGCCCGAATATTGGGATTGATACTGCAGGCATTCGGTGCAAACAAGGATTACAGATGATGGAAGGCTGATCAGAGTGATTCTGCCTGACGAAGCACAAGAGTCGTTGTGAGACCTCGCTACCCAAAACTGTCCAAGCTGCACTAGCATGTGACTTCCGGAAGACTAAGCGGTCCCAGGCAAACGACGGGATCGGCGATGATCCTTTGGCTCACTATGCCCAGAGCTCACTTGTGAAGGCCTCCTCTTGGGATGCTGTGACACGAGCATGGAGTTGTGGAGAGGAGAAGGTTGGGGCTTAGGATTACGCGTCCCGTATTCGGACTGGAAGGAAGGCACGATTTCGCGTGCCATGCAGCTGTTGCGTCGCTGCTGCTCTCTTGCAGTTTTTGCTGCCTGTGTTGCCATTGACTTAGAACGAGAAGGCTCCACACAGCTCAGCATGATCAGAAGTGACCAGGAGAGTGGTGCTGCAGTCGCCATTGAGGCGGACGAAGAGCTGTGTGCACCTGGGATTGGCAAATGGGCCAACTCGAGGCTCAAAGTTTCAGTCGTTGCGGTTTTTGCGGCACGCCCAGTGGGCTCGTCTTGGCGGTGCCAGGAGCTGTAGTGTCCAACTGAATGCCAAAACTTGGTCTTTGCAGACAGACGTGAGCCGAACATGTCTCAGGGACTTGTCTGATGCTTCCATACTTCCACACGGTCTCAAAGGAATATGGTTCGTGTGCCGGCGAGCTTGATGGGATCCTGATTTTCACAGTCCGAGTCTTTGATGGGACACTGGAGAGGCAGCAACTTACACAGGTGAAGGGTCTTCCGATTTCTCCGTGGCTGCGTGTGTCGTAGAGTCTTTTTCTCAGCAGCCGGCTGAGCTCTTCCCGAGGCGAAGCACCGGCGGAACCTTCCCTGGGTGGCCCTTCACTGCGGTTTCGCCGTGCCATCCACATTGAGTGCCTGGATGCAAAAGACTCTTACGCCTTCCTGTGCGGCCTCGTTGCGCGTGGATTGCGAAGACCTTTGAAAGCCCAACAAAGTCGAGGTTGAATGGGCTGGAATACCCTCAGCCAACATGAAAGGATCGTGTTTTGGGTTCGATTGTTGGAAGATGCCACAGACTGCTCGCTCGGTATCACATCCAACGTACGGTGCAGATGCACAATGCTATTTCTCGACTGGCATGTATTTGTAATGCTCAGCACAGGAGTGCTAGTATGGAAGATCTCTTTTTAGTTTCTTGTCTCATCTGAGAACAGACTATCCGCAGGGTCGTTGCTGGGGCCTCTGCCCTGGAGGAGGCCATGCTTGCCGGCGCTCCAAAGAAGTAATTATAAGTAATTATTGCTTTCCATAAAGGATTCCGAGCGTTGACGTTGAGGGTGAACGAGTCCGGCCATGCAAGACACACGTGCACACAGAAGCGACAGCTTTGCAGAGAGTACGGCTCGGCCGGACTCTTGGAAGCTTCCAAGAGATCCGAGAGTTCAGGGGGTAATCAACGTGATTCACAGGTTTATCGTCTCTAATTTTCAGCCTCGGATGGAGCGATCCATTTTGTTTGACGGTTCATTCTAGTTTTGTCTGGTGAATGATCGGGGCTTCTTGGCCCACAGCCCCGAGTACGGTCCCAGTATCAATCCCCGTGCCCAGTCTGGATGTGCTCAAAGTAGACATCGACTCCTACGACGGTCTGAGCTTTGGAATTGAATTGGTCAACAGGAGCCAGGAGAAGAAGCACATATGAGCTCATTCTCAGCGAAGAGTCAGCTTCGAGACTAACATTGCGTAAAGCACAGCCAGCAAGAAGTTCATAGTCTTGAGAGTAGGATGGTGAAGTGCTGCAAGCGGTTGTAGCCGGGAGAGCCACGTGCCCCAAGCTGAACCAGCCAGCTCGTTGTGTGTGGTACTTCGAGACAGGAAGACACAGACCAAAACCCTCGAAACCTTTAACCAGCTCTTACAAGAGTGTCTGCAAAGCACGGCAGGCGTATCTCTCCCCACATGTCTGCGTATGCTGTATGCTTCAGGGTCGACCTTGGCCACAACAGTCACTATCAGCCTCAAAGCGCCCCTGAATCTGTAAGGCAGAATTAAAGCCCAATCGCTCGCGAATCAAGCTTATCATGATTGCACCCTCGAGCTGCGATCGAAAAACATCTGAACTTGTAAGGCCAATTCAGATAGCCATCCCGCCGAGGCTGAGGAATCAATCAACATGGGAATACCTGTCAGTTGTTGAAGTATAGATGTCAGCTGACGGTGCTCTTACCTTTTCGTCCGCCACTAACATCCCATGCCGAGATACCGAGAAAGCAGAGTGGCCTGTTTCAATGCTTGATGTGCAGCTCAGGGTATCAGTCTGAAACTGGGGGTCTGGTCCGATTTGCCCTGCCTTTTGTTGTCCAAATAACTGGTTGTGGAGTTGCGAACATACACCCACATTGGGGAGGGAAGGAGGGCTGAGTGTAAGTCCTTCGTCAGCATCCGAAGTCAACCCCCCTCAGTCTAGGATCGTGGACGAATGTGTCCACCGCCTGGGCTGGCGCCCGAAAGTCATACAAGTCGAGGCACCGACTTGTCATACTCTACATTTGCTTTGTGGTTTGTTTTGGGATTCCATCGCAGCTTTTGCTTTATCGAGAGGGCTTGTAGACCACTGGAGGCTTTGCGTTAACGGCTCCTCCATCCCTAGTACATGCACGACACCGGTAACGACGACGAAGACGACCACAACGTCGACAGCGACACGACTTCTGCGTCTCCTTTAACTCATCCTCCTCCTAAACACTCCTGTGATGCTGCTGCAGTTGCTGCTGCTGCTGCTACTGCCGCTGCTATCGCAGAAGCCACACACGAGCAGCGACGACTGGGACGACCATTTGCATGAGTTATGGCGACAGATTGAGGCCGCTGAACCCAGTGCCAAGCTGAGGGACTTGTTGCGTTGTCTCGGAGTAGGGAAGACAGGACTCCTTGGTTACAATCAGAACTGTATCGCTCTGTTCGATAAGTCATTGGCTAGGATTTCCGAAAGTTACGAAATCCACTTGAAGGTAAATGCGGGCATCCCTCCGCCTTTGCAGTACTCGCTCTTGGACTCGCCATTGCTGCGTGAGCACTTGCCCTATGTGGAGGCCAGGCGCGCAAGACACTGCAGCACGAAGATGTTGATCTGATCGCCTCAAGCAGCGCCATGTGTTGGCAAGCTCCAGCCTACTACACCGACCGGTTGGATGCGACTTGTGGGTTTGGCAGTCGGTAGCATCCTGCACCCTTTTCCGCTCCATGATGTCGTTTCTTTTTGATGTCCCACTTTGCTGGCATGGGGTGTCTTGAGCATCTGTTGCCTTGAGGCAACAAGAACATACAAGAACATACGCTTTAGTTTCTTGCGCAGTCGTACACAGCATGGAAGAACAGTGTGTTGTTATAGTCCATTCAGGTTTGCAGCTCCATAGCTCGTTTAGTCCATTGTGCTGTTTTGCACGCATTGAAAGGTGCATGGGCCGATCTTCGGAGAGAAGGCAGGGACGAGCGCAGCAGTGAGTACATTATGCCTCTGCAGGGATCTTGACGATCGCGCACAACCAGTGCTACTACTGCTCCTGCTCCTGCTTTTGCCTCTGCTCCTGCTCCCGCTCCTGCTCCTGCTCCTGCTACTACTGCCACTTCTACGGTGCTTGCTGCTGTGACTGCTACCACTGCCACTACCACAACTACTAGCATTACTACTACTACTACTACTACTACTACTACTACTACTACTACTACTACTACTACTATTACTACTACTACTACTACTACTACTACTACTGCTACTGCTACTGCTACTGCTTCTGCTACTGCTGCTACTACTACTACTACTACTACTACTGCTACTGCTACTACTACTACCTTACCACTATACCTGCTATACCTACTAGACTATACCTACTATATCTACTACACCTATCGTACTTGCTGTACTACTATAACTACTACCTACTGTCTACCATCTACTGTCCACTATCCACTTCCTGCTACCTACTACCACTACCAGTTCCGGTACTAATACCGTTACCAGTGCCAGTACCGGTACCACTACCACTATGCCTACGACTACGACTACCACTGCCACTGCCACTGCTACTACCACTACCTTTGCCGGCGCTAGCACCAGCACTAGCACCTAGCAACTAGCAACTTGCAACTAGCTAGCAACCAAAAACTAGCAACGAGCAACTGCCACTACCACTGCCGCTGCCACTAGCACTACCAAAACAGCTGCCACTACCACTACCACTACCTGCTCCTGCTTTCTAGTTCTACTGCTACTCTAACTCTCACCCCTAATTCTACTCCTAGTGCTGCTGCTACTGCTCCTTGCAATACCCTGCCGCAACTGCTACTGCTACTACTTGTCATGGCTACTAGGCTTCTTGCTGCAACGACTGCTACCGGTGGCAGCCAGTTCTACTGCAAGGACAAGTCACAACACGGAGACTGCAATTGAAGCCACTGTGCAACAACATACCGCTGCGTCCACGGCAGCAATAGGTTCGCCTTAAGTTCCACACGGGCGTGTCCTGCTTCTTGACATAATACAGCAGCATAGCTCGTAATATGGGTACTCAGACGTTTGGCACTGGTTCTATGCAAGACGTTGCCAGTGCGAGCTCTCTCGAAACCCTCGTGGATAGGTACCTACGAGGTTCTTGCATGGTGCATACAGTTTTTGGGCCCACATCCCAATCTACACTCTCGGTAGAGTGTTGGGGCATACGTGCCAGGCCATCCGATTCAAGACCATACAGCCCCAGCAGGATACTCCCTGAGCACATCCGCAAACACACGAACACTGCTATTCACTGCAGTCTTTTCAATTGATGCTCGGGCGAGTTTGCAAGGTGTGTGTGACCGGTGGCTGGATATAGGCTGGAGTCAGTTGTTGCCCATTACGCTCGTTTGTTGCTTTTGCCAAATCTGCTTGCAACATCGCTACTATCTTTCTCACTGCACCTTTCTGCTGCTCACATTTCTTTTACCGACACTTTGCTTCTCCTCTTTGATTTCTCCATTGTGCTGCCGTGTCTCAGATGTTCAGGAGATGCGCCTGCACATGAATTCCCCAATTGCAGGGACTTCGCTGTCATATTATGCAACTCGGCTTAGAAACCATGTGATGGATCAACAAACTTGTCCTTAAAGCCGTGACGGAATCCAAATTATCTTGTTGTGTGTGCCCGGGACAAGGTGCAATTACCGCCCGAGGGTTACGTGTAACTTCTGCACGTGGTGCGTGGCGTGAAGACGAAGGGCTTCTGTTTCCGACGGTTCTTTCCAATCACCTGAGCTACTCAATCGGAAGATCCGGACAGTGAGCCGAGTGCTTCTGAAGCATCTGCACAAGCAAGCAGAATATGCAGACGTAGAAGGTGTCATTGTTGCTGCTGTGTCACAACTTTTACTGAGTTCCCTTCAATCGTGACTGTCTGAATAATCACTTCCCTGCTTGCCTCAGTTCCTCGCTTTCTGCCTCGAACCTGAAGAGTCAGAAACACAATGTGAAGGTGTGACCAGATGAAGTTGCAGACTTAATATCAAGAAAGAAGAATTTGAGGTAGAATCATTGAGTGTACGAGCTGCATCGGTGCGGGATATCAGTGTCATCATGAGCTTGATTGGCAAGCGGCTCATGTTCGCAGGTGCCTGTGCAGCTTGTGGGGTCACGGCATGAATTGTGCGCTTCTTCTCTCATTCGTGTGTGAGTACTTGGGACGAACCTCCCAAAACCTTGATTGGCCAAGCAAGGTTTTGGGAGGTTCGTCCCACGAGGAAAAGCTGCCGGTGCAGGGGATCTCCTCAGGTGCAGCATCTGTGGCCCGTGTACGTGCTCTGGGACATTGTGAGCCCCGCCGGAACCTCAGCGATTTCAGATGCTGTTGAACGATTGGTATGCAGTCACTTTGTCCTTGCCCTATGGAGAGTACAGCCTCCTGAGCCTAGCACGAAGGCAAATATGCGTGAAAATCCAGTCACAGCAGAATCCTACCGCGCAGAATCAGCACTTCTGCGGCCGGAGCGATTCCTGGCTACACGAACAGATAGGAAGGCGATGTGAACCTGCAGCAGCCAGACGGCCTGATGCCATGCAACACTTAACATAGTAGGAACGACATGGCAGCGTCAAGCAAGATCACGTTGCAAGGCAATAGCAGTCATGGCACAGAAAGCAAAAGAGTTTCAGGGCAGACGAGAATGTGATGATGCTAGTGCACACTGAAGTCCAAGAAAACAAGAATTAGCGTGCAGTGAATTCTATGGCAAGATAGCCATATTCAGAAAATTACGCCAGCTATCCTTACAGCAGCAGGCCTTGATGTAACAGCCGTGTGCAGCTGCAGCAGAAGCCTAGGGTAATCTCTAGCTTGCAGATGGTGAATGGGGAACTTCATTTGTGGTGTTTGTTTTGACGTTTCGCCAATAGGGTAGCTGTGCAGTTTTTGAAATTCACTGAACAGCAGTCGACGCGGGACTGCCCGCGACTATCAGAACCACGTAACCTCGCACCCCAACGGCCCAACGGTTGAGGATGCCATTTTCTTGCGTGCCGACCTGGCAGAAGTCACAGGCGTCGAGGCGACGACTCTTTCAGAAAGTAGGTTCAGGTGCGTCGGGTGCATCGGCTGGCAAATTCTGTGCTGCTTTGGAGTTTAACTACGACAAACTTCCCTGATGGGTTCCAGGCTATCGACATCGCCTCGGAGCCTGCCCGAATGATCCTAGAAGTTCTGCAGCGAAAGTACAATGAATCCTGAGCTCCTCAAACACACCTCCGCTTGTCCGCCAGGCGCTTGACGAGTTCCACGCCTTTGCATGGAGCTGGGCAGACATCCATAACTTCCACAGGCGATTGCTACGGGAAATTGTGTGTGCCGTTTGTAACCACGTGGTTGCAACCTGCAGCTTCTTGTGTTCACTTGCGACCGGTTCTGTGTCGTTTGTGGCCTGTGCGAGTTTGATGCGCCTTTGCGTTAAATTTTTTCGGACGGAGAGCAGGTGTGTAGCAATGGGAACATAGTGAATAATTTGACCGCTGTGCCCGATGAAGGGCTGCGGAGGATCTGAAAGCGTAGGTGCTTTTGTGGAACAACCAGCAATTTGGCTGCTGCATGGTTATGCTTATCTTCGCAGCTTCATGTCAGCTTTACGACCGAACCGTTGATGATGATGTCAACATTGATGATGCTGATGATGATGACGATTGAGGATGATGCTGAGATGAGGATGAACAGGGTTATCATGGTGAATCATGATGATGACGATGATGATGATGGTGACAGATGATGATGCTGCTGATGAATGCAGTTGATGATGGCGCTGGAAAGGTGAAGAATACCGAGATTCATGCACTCGCTCTGGCATTCTGACTCCGATTTGCACAATTTTGATGTGCCGGTTGCCCTCCTCACTCTGCTTTCCCTCCCGACATCAAAACAATCGCTGTATCTTTTATTAAGGCTTCCCTTGTTACCCGTCCGCTCTCGACCTGGGAGGGACTTGGTCCGGCGCTGGACCTTCGAGTTGGATGCCGAGAGCGCCCTTGGCGAGGCTACTACGACGACGACTACTACTACTACTACTACTACAACTACTAGGCGACAGCGTGCTCCTGTGACCCCCCTTTTGCCTCCTTTGTCGCATGCCTCTGACTGTGACCTCTCCCCCTCGCATGCGGCAGCCGTTTGGTTTCTGCGCCACGGCACTCTGCGCCCCGGGACACTGCTTTGTTGCCCGGCTTGGGTTTTGCTCTTAGACTGGTTTGGTTCGGCTTGGTTTCGTACGGCTTGGCTTGGGTTTTACTTTTACATAGGGTCTTATTGTTAGATAGGGTCTTATTGTTAGATAGGGTCTTAGTGTTGGATAGGGCCTTATTGTTAGATAAGGTCTTATTGTTAGATAGGGTCTTATTCTTAGATAGGGTCTTGTTGTTAGATAGGGTCTTATTGTTAGATAGGGTCTTGTTGTTAGATAGGGTCATATTGTTAGATAGGGTCTTATTGTTAGATAGAGTCTTGTTGTTAGATAGAGTCTTATTGTTAGATAGGGTCTTATTGTTAGATAGGGTTTTCCTCTGTCACAATGGTGAAAGGAGATCTTTTTTAAAATGGTTTGGCTTGGCTTGGCATATTTTTAGATAGGGTCTTATTGTTAGATAGGGTTTTCCTCCGTCACAATGGTGAAAGGAGATCTTTTTTAAAATGGTTTGGCTTGGCTTGGCTTGGCATATTGTTAGATAGGGTCTTATTGTTAGATAGGGTAATAGTCTCCGTCGTCGCCCGCCTGCTCCTCTAAAGTTGTAGTCGTCGCCCGCCTGCTCCTCTAAAGTAGTAGTCGTCGCCCGTCTGCTCCTCTAAAGTAGTAGTCGTTACCCGCCTGCCCCTCTAAAGTAGTAGTAGTCGCCCGCGTGCTCCTCTAAAGTAGAAGTACTTTTCCGCCTTTTGAAGCTTTAGGGCCAGTTAAGGGGGTCACAGGAGCACGCTGTCGGCTACTACGACTCCTGCTGCTACTATCACTCCTCCGACTACTCCTGCTACTCCCACTACTACTCTACTACTACTACTACTACTACTACTACTACTACTACTACTACTACTCCTGCTGTTACTATCACTCCTCCGACTACTCCTACTACTACTACTACTGCTACTATCGCCTACCAGTACTGCTACTACCTCTTCCCCCCTGGTGCGACGCCCGTCGCGCAGCATGTTCATGTCGAACATGTTGTCTGGCAGTTGTGATGGCACAACATGAGGTGCTTGCATCGGCAGACGATGCTGATGATGCTGATGCTAATAAGGGTGACTGTGGTGATGCTTGGCACACACTGTCCTTCGCTGAGCAGCCTGCCGGAGTGAACACTGCATCTGCGGTTCTTGTGCCTAGACTCCTTATTCAGTTACCAACACTGACCGTAAGCTCTTGAAGAGCAATATAAAGTACCAGCCCCGCTCGGTGCGATGCAAAGAAGAATCATCTTGAATGCACTCGAACATGGATTCTTGTTTCTGTTTTCTTCCCCCTGTTCTTTCCTGTCATCCGGCCATGGACATCATTAGGTTTTGGCCATGGATGCCCCTCCTCAAATGCACTAAACCATGGACGTCATTAGGTTTTGGCCATGGATGCTCTCTTTCAAATGCCCTGGACCATGGACGTCATTAGGTTTTGGCCATGGAAGCTCTATTCTCAAATGCACTAGACCATGGACGTCATTAGGTTTTGGCCATGGATGCTCTCTTCTCAAACGCACTAAACCATGGACGTCATTAGGTTTTGGCCATGGATGCTCTCTTCCAAATGCCCTGGGCCATGGACGTCATAAGGTTTTGGCCATGGGTGCTGTTTTTAAGTTTTGGCCATGGATGCTCTCTTCTCAAACGATTTTGATGAACATGCAGGCCAAACCCAAACCAAAAAAGCCTGCATTCTGATCGCTAGTTCTTGTGCACGAGAACAGAGACCTCCAAAAACAGCAAAACATCAAGAAACTCAGAACGAGAAGTGCTGTAGATACCAGCATTTTTGGCAGCGAGATTGATGAGTAAGGTTAAAAAAACAGCAAAAATAAGAACCAACCCATGTGCTCTCCAACATTTCAACAACTGCGAAAAAAGTGTTGTAAAACAAAGCATTTGCGACAGTACGAAGTCCACAAAATGAGAGGTCTTGGCGTCGCACCGGGGACGGAAGCCCTACTACTACTACTACTACTACTACTACTACTACTACCACTACTACTACTACTACTACTACTACTACTACTACTACTACTACTATCACCTACTATTACTAGTACTAGTACTACAACAACAACAACTACTACTACTACTACTACTATCACCTACTAGTACTCGTACTAGTACTACTACTACTACTACTACTACTGCTGCTGCTGCTACTACTACTACTACTACTACTACTACTCCTGCTCCTGCTGCTACCACTACTACTACTACTACTGCTGCTACTACTACTACTACTACTACGACTACGACTACGACTACACTACGTACTTCTACTGCTAGTGCTAGTGGTACTGCCAGTGCTACTGTTAGTGCTAGTGCTACCTACTACTACTACTACTACCACCACTACCGCTACCGCTACCGCTACCACTACCGCTACCGCTACCGCTACCGCTACCGCTACCACTGCCACTGCTACTGCCACTACCACTACGATTACCACCACCACCACCACCACCACAACCACGACCACTACCACTACCACTGCTCCTGCTCCTGCTCCTGCTTCGGCTGCAGAAGCCGCTGCCGATGCCTGCAGTGCCTGTTGCCTTGACTGGTCACTCTGTTGCCATTGCTGCTCCTCTTGAACTACTTCCGCATCTCGTTCTTCTGCTGACGCTGACAGCGGAACGCCAACGAGCAAGTCTCTGCTGTACTGACGTAAGCCATCCTGCACAAGGCCTTCCAGTACATGGTGAACTGGATGAAACAACATCTTGGCATCATCCTGCCATTCCACCTCGGCTTGTAGCTCACGGAAAACGGGCGACCTTGCAGCCGTTTTTCATTCAGCATAGACGGTCTTCCCTCTACATCCGCCCTGGCTTTCGGAGTCTGACACGGTATCAGCCAGCAGCAACAATCAGAGTTTCCATTTTGCCACCTCGGAGTTGGGAATTCGTCGGCGCTTCCCGACAGTGAAGACTGCGGCTACGCAGGTGTTGTGTCATCAATCGCATGGAAGCTTGTTCTCTCCACTTCGGGTTTTCACAGTGTCTTCTGCAAGCAGCACAGGTGTTACTTGTTTTCGGGTGGTGGCTTGGGTCTCGAAAGCTTGCCAGACTCTTGAACACATTCCCGAGACAGCCTCGGGCTTCAAGTAGATTCCGGCTTCTTCCCGCAGGGCTTCAAGGCTCCAGACTTGCATAGGGTTTGCCAAGCAGAGTGTTTATGTCGCCATGTCCGACAGCTGCCCGTGGGATTCCCGGTAACGGGATCCCTTCGTTATGGGGCTTCGTCTCGCGTGCTTAGCGTTTCTCTTGCGCCTCCTGACCGGGGAACGCCCGAACCTCAGCTGCTTCCGGATTCTATTCTAGCTTTCCTACCGACCGGCTCAAAGGGACCTCTTCCAAGGCATCGCCGAGCTTCTGTTGGACATCTCGGGCGACGAAACAGAAAGCTTCCTGCATCGACGCTTGGGGCCCGTCTGTCATTCAGAGTCTTCGCGAGCTTGCGTAGTGTGCCTGGCCCGAGGTGGTCATGGCGCACAAGAGCTTGAAAAACTTTCGCAGATGCGAGTTGGAAGGGTGCAGGACTCTTAATTCTGCGCCCTGGGCTGATTTCCGACGGAGTCCTTCCCAGACTCTGTGCGGCTCCTGCTTTCGGGAGGAGATGCAGCTGCAACAAGATGCCCAGGCATGGGGTTGGATCTTCTGTTGGACGGCTGAGGAGGGATTGATGGGGGATCCACGGCATGAGCGCGGAAGATTTGCAGAACGGCCCGGCCGACAGTAACAACAGCCCAACTCGAAATGCAGGTTCTGCCGAACTGTTCTGGCGGTGTCGTGGAGCTCGACGGACGCTATGAGGCCAGAAGTGGTGTCGTTAGCTGCAGGATCAAGTGACATGCCCAAGCAATTTTGAAACACGAACTTTGGGGCAGCCAGGTGAAGGAAGAGGTCTTCCTGGCTGGGCCGTCGTGCCACGTGACAGGTAGCCCGGGTCTGAGAAATTGTGCGTTCAGGAAGGACAGCGAGACGGAGGGATGGAGTCCGAGTGGGTGTTGGGGCCGAGGTGCTGAGTTGGTCCTCTCGGCACCAGTGCACTTCCTGGGCAACGCCGTTTTCGCAGCCCATCTAAAGATCTCGGCCGTCGCAAGGCCCATGCCAGGCCCGTGCATCAGCGTGAAAGGCAACCTGAGCCTCGAGGGCAACGCGAGGCTTAGCTTCGAGAAGTGCGACAGAGGGCTCGAGGACAAAAGCAGCCTGGGCGGTGGTTTGCGAGTCGACGGCGACGCCGAGCTCCGAGACGGCGGCTCGCTGCTCTTCCGCGACTGCGGGGCGGGCCAAGGGGGCGGCCTCTTCCTCACAGGCGGCCGGGCCGGGCGCCCGGGCGCCCGGGCGCGGGGCTGTTCAGGGCTCGTGCCCCTTGTGTCCAGAGCTCTGCACAGGCGCCCTGCGAAATCGGAATGCAACCGTCGAGGCGGCAGTGTGCTACGCGGTGGATGGAGGCGACGGTGGAAAGTCTAGGACCTAGGAGTCCAGGGTACGGGCATTGGTTTTGGTTCTCTTCATAGGGCAAGGCTTTTGGACACACGGACCGCGCAGGTGCCATTTCTGCGGGGCAGATAGCTGTGTACGGCGGCAACCTGTCCATCGTCGGTTCATGGGCACGTAGGAGTGGAGGCCAGCAATGCAGACGGGAGGGTCAGGCCAGGAGTAAGGCTTGCCCGGCCACGTGCAGGCGCCATCTTGTCTAAGAAGACGGTGGTGTCCGGTGGCAACTTGACCCTCACCGATACTGGGGCTCACGAGGAAGGAGGCTCGGAGATTCGATCTTGAATGTACCCGGTTCCCCAGATTCCTCTGCTATAAGCCCGCGGGCTTCGGGGCATGCTGAGCTTTGTTTGTTTTTGGACATCTCGTGAAGGGGCCCTTGCTCAACAGGGACAGGTTCGCCACAGAAATCTTGGTAAGAGCAGCATCCAATCCTACACAGATTCATGACGGAGGGTTTTCTGCACGGTTGCTACCTCCCGCTTTACAGTGTAAGCCGTCTTATATGCAGGTGTCACTTCGTAAGATATTGCGAGAAAGGCTGAGTTCGGCCACGCCCCTTAGCTTCCAGGATTATTTCAAACTTAGAAAGGGGGGGGAATGAGCTGCCGACGTGTCTCTGCTACGTGAAGGTGCCATCTCCACCGCTCAGATGGCAGTTTCCGGCGGCAGCCTGAACATCCTCAGATCCAAGGCTCGTCAAGGAGGCGGGTCTCTCTGGTCTTAGCCAAGCCTCCAAGAAGGATCAGAACTGCGTGACTTTATCCTTTCTGGGGGTGAAGCAACAGCCTCACGCCTTTGGCGGCCGGGAGATTGTCTTCATATCTGAATCACCAGTCCTCTAGAACCCTTTGTGAACGAAACGCATGTCAGGACCACTCGCAGCAGCCAAAAGCTGGACAGGTACCTCTGTGTTTTCAAAAATGCATAGTCGAATTACATCAACGGTCACTCACACGCACACGCACACGCACACGAACACGAACACGAACACGCACAGCAGTTCACCGTCGTCAGCTCTGCGTCCACTACACTCTGCCTTCCGTGCGTCCAGGTGCCATCTTTGTTAAGAAGGAGCTTGTGGTGTCCGGTGGCTTTCTGTCCATCACCGAGTCATCTTCGCGTAGTAGCGGAGGCCGGCCGCCGGCACCAGATGCTTATTGATTTTTGGTTTCTTGCAACGGCACTTTGATGCAGGTGGCATCTCTACCACGCAGATGGCCGTGTCTGGCGGCAGCTTGACCGTCCTCCGGCCCGAGGCCTCTAGATGGGGAGGCCTGAAACGTGAACTGCGTTACGCAACAACAACGGTGGATAAAGTGAACTGTGAATGCAGCTTGTGAGACTGATACTGGAAGTGAACTCAATCTGGCTAGAGCCTGAGGACCCGAACGGTTGTCGTCCCAGGTTGCACTGCACCCTCCACCATGATCTCCGTACTTTCCATGATAGAGGCTTTTCATCGGGAGTCGTGTTGGCTGCAGGTGCCATCTTCGCAAAGAAGAAGATGGCCGTGACAGGTGGCAGCCTGACCGTCAAGGACTCTTGGGCTGGAGGGAGTGGAGGCCGGGAGGCTGAGCTGCAGTTGTCACAGAGGAACGGAGAAGACTCGAAGACTCTGCGTCGTGAAACGCGAGCATACGCGAGCCCTGAGAGCAAGTGCTCCATGACTTTGAGCATCCGATGCATCGACTGCGGCAGGGGCCTCGAGGCCGCATCCGATGCTACCGGGAACCTGTCGCAACCATGGGAGCCACGCCACATACGATCCCTAGCAGATCCTTGTCCCGAAGCACGCAGCAGACTGGGGTCTGCCATGGTACCACCAGACTCCAAACTGTGCAGCAATGTGCGGACAAGTCCCGGATGTGTCCGGAATCGGTGCGGAGTTGGTGCTCGGCGCAAGCGTTCCCGCCTTAGTAGCCGTGCGTGCGGACTGGGTCTGGGTGTATTCTGCCTCGAAGAGCCCTGTCTGCTTGAAATCCTCCAAGAGTGGCGCTCGCGACAGTGCTCGCGACTCTCTGCTCACTGCGACAGGCTTTGCAAAGGCCTCGCTCCGAGTCGGTAGACACGACGAAACCTCACGCCAACTGATGAGATGTATCTCTCCCTCCCTCCCTCCCTCCCTCTCTCTCTCTCTCTCTCTCTCTCCCTTTGGTGCATGAGGGATGTGCTGCGACTCCTTGCTGCTGGTGTGAATCATCGGTACGGCCCGACATCATTGAGTAGATGGCTGGCTTACCTGGCGAGTGGGTCCTAAGTTGGCTGCAAAGCTGAACCCCCGCGCACTGTAAATGTGGTGCCGTCATGGGCCGAGATGGGCCTGACATGGGAGATTCATGCTTGCAGAGTCTTACGTAGATGGCCGTCATGGGCTTAAGTTCTTGCGCAGGCAATTGCGTGCAAGCACTTGTGCTGTTGATCTTGCAAAACCGTATCCTCGCTCTACTCCAGCTTGGGATTGCTTGGATTGCTGCCATGGACATGAAACCGTACGTAGCAGCAGAGTTGCATATTGATGTAGCTTTCCTGCGCTCGAGGGAAGACGACCTTCATGTGAGTCTGGGAAGATAGGAGAGGTTGTTGATCAACCGTTGATGCACAATGCTGCAAAACCGTGCTTTCTTCTGGCCCTGCACCGTGCAGGCTGCATCTACGCAGACAATCACAACTTTTCCGGCGGGGTCACGAAGCTTCAGAGCTGCGAAAGTCGCGAGGTTGGAGGCGACGGGCAATTCGGGAGGGTCCCGAGGGTGTGCTACAAGTTCTTGGATACAGGGTTAATGGTGTAGACGCCAGGTGCTGTGTTCTCCAGAAGCTTCCTGATGGAGGCTACTGCGGAGCTGGCAATCAGCAATTGCACGGCAAGAAAGGGCGGGGGCATTTTTGCGCGACTTCAAGCCAAAGTCCAGGCGCTCGGGGGGCCAGTGGGGGGCCTGTGAGGTCAAACGTGGGCAATGGGTCTTGGAACTAGGACACGAATCCTGTCCTCCTGGAGCATGACCTGTTTGTTTGGTTGCGAGTCTGCGGGTGATATTGGGAGGTTGACGAGGGATCCTAGCCAAGTTACCGTATTTATCTTTGTATATGCCCGAAAACACCCGAACGGCGGCATAGTCAGGCCCAGCACTTGCACATGTCGGGATGCTCAGCTTCCTTTTACGGCGGCTGCTTCTACCTTGCGGCCGGAGCGCAGTTCCGTGGCCAGCTCTCCCTGCTGAGTTGCTCGGCCGAAAACTTGGGCGGGGCCATCTGGGCGAAAGGTGCCCTCAGCGCAGAGCTGCTGGACTGCAACAGCTGCACTGCACCGGAGTCCGCAGTTCTGCACATGGAACACGGCAATGCCACCTTGGGGGTAGTGACGATCGCAAGCTCAAGAGTGGTCTCCTCGGTCATCGGTGCCGGCTCCGGGAAGAAGGTGATTCTAGTTGAGACGCTGGACTGCCAGCGGGCTTCGAGCTGCACTCTGGCAGCCGAGCACGCGCAGCTGACACGGCTCTTGTGCCCGCGTGGGGAAGGCCGGCAGATGTTGGGCGAGGCTCTGGAGGGCATCGAAGGTGCCCAGTGCAGCAAATGCCCAGCAGGCCGCACCCGCCTCGTCATGTCAAACGAGGCGGGTCAATGATAGCAGGTTCAGCAGAGCAGATCAGATGGATATGTCGCCATACGTCTCCTGCTTTAAACTTGGTTTGGTATAGAGAGTGCTTTGGTCTCGGAATATATTGAGGAATTGCTAAGCTTGTTGGGATTTGTCGGGTGCTCTTCAGCGACAGCCTGTTGGCAGGATGCGACCTGCACCGCCTGCCCTGCAAACGTGAGCGTCTGCACACCGACGGAGTTGAAGCTGCCTCCCGGATACATGGCCCGGGCCTCCTCAGAGGGCCGAAGGATGAGAACTTAGCAGCGTGCCACGGGCCTGAGGTGGACTTCAACCGCAGCGAGGCCACACAGTGGCCGCCGATTGACTCTTGAGAGTATTCTGCTTTCCACGTAGTCCCACGCGCAGAGGCCAGAAACCTGTCTGCCTGGTTCCGATGCCCAAGCGAATTGGCCTCTTGGGCTTGGGCTTGCAAGGTTTTGAACATTTTTTTGCTTATCGGGATATTCGTACGCAGAAGAACTGGGGTGATCGCAGTTTCGCATCCCTACTGGATTGAGTTAAACCGGGGCCAGTTCTCCGAGGCCTGCCGTGGTGGCCACTTGAATGCGAGCGATATCCCAGGCGAGCCACCACAGGACGGAGCCACGGAAGGAATAGGAACTGTTTAACTTTGTTGCAGTTTCAGAGGCTTCATGGCGAGACATCGGGTTGGATCGGGCCTCTGTTCAAAGCCCTCACGGAGGCTCTTGATTCTTGTAAAGGTGCAGCCCGCAGCCTCAACCGAACACTGTGCAACGTGACAGGGCCTGGTTGGAACACTCAACACTGAGATCACGTAGCTCCGTTGCATCATGATGCTTTGACACGACGCTGTTTACATAGCATTGGGCAAGGAGCTGGTTGCCATGTGTGAGCGGGGCTACACTGGTCCCGGGATTCTTGGACGAACAACTGGAATCTTGCAGAAATGGGGACAGAGAGGGAGACTGAGTTGAGAAGGCCCTTGTGCCAAGCAGAAGAACGGCTTAGGGTATGGTCTCGAGGTGCACAAGCTGCATTGAAGGCTATGCGCGGGCGGACGCTGACATCCTGCAGTGCGTTCGCTGTGCGAGCTGGACCACCTCACCGACCAAGGCAGGGTGAGGGGCAGAGCTGCAAGGATGTGCGGGGATAGGATAGGAGCGGTTTGAAGGTGGCACGGCACCTTGGCTTCTTCCTCTTCGAGCAGTTGGCCCTCTTCGTGTCCGCCGTCGTGAGTGACCGGGTCCCAGCTTGGGACCACGGGAGCACTTGTGACTGGGGAGGTTCATTGACACTGGCCCACCCGAGGTGGAGGGCAGCAAAGGTCAGCGGGCCACCAGTGCGACGCTTCTCAACCAGGCGATGAGCTTCGCCGCCGTGGCCGGACTGACGATGCACCTCGGAGTAGAGCAACGAGCAGTGCAGGAGCGCAGCTGTGAAGGTCCGTGAGTTGCCCCAGGTCTGGCGCCATGCAGACTGGCACTTTTCGAAACGACTTGGAGAGTTGGGTCAAGGACATCCCGAGCCTGGTCTCATCTCGTGCTGAGCTCCTCTCCCTCTCTCGTCTGCTTGACAGGAGGCCTTGCAAATCTTGGCACTGTCTGTGTCGGTCGCCGAAGGGCAGGGAACTGGCAGCGACATGTCCGACCAGTGCCTCCTAGAGGTCTTCGGTGTGGAGAAGAGCCTCCACCACGCGCATCTTCTCACGTCCCTCTGGCCCGCCCTGCTTGTGGTGCCCGAGCAGCATCTTAGAGCGGGTAAAGCGGAGGGAGCGCCTCGCTTCTCCGGCTCTGGGCTTCTGCAGGCGGGCCTCGGCTGTTTCAAGGGCGGCTGGCTGGCGGTGGTCGTCGGCTGCAACGTGTTTCTACCGGCCTTCGTCGCCGGCTTCGGGAAGCATCTTGGCGCCAGTCCCGTTGCGATGCTTCCTCGGTGCTTCCAAATGTCTCTTCTTAGTCTTGGCCCCGGGTGTGAGGTACCTTGTGGCTTTCCGCCTACGGCCGGAGCATCTTCCTGGCGGCGTGTCTTGTCCGCCCAAGGCAGGGTCCTGAGAAGCGACAGACTCCGTCGCATCTCAGGAACTGCATCTCGACTTCTTGCCCCCGGGGCCACAGATGACTTCACTCATTCCGCAGCGCTTCGCAGCAGTGGCATTGGCCATCCTGAGTCTCATGATGATGAGCGTGGGCAGTTGGATCTATGCCGTGTCTCGCCAAATTTGAACTTTGCCGTTGGCTGCCGTGTGCCCACGCTGCTCAGGTCCGGACCCGAACACCGGAGCTGCAGCCTCACGTTGCCTACCTCTTGCAAGCTTACCGGCAAGAGTGTGCAGCATGGGAGGCAAGTCCTGCTCGAAGAAGCACCCTACAGAGCTGCCCGGTTTCTAACGGGTTGCCAGGTAGAGCGGCTCGTGCGCAAGGCGCAGGGGAAGCGTTCTTGGGCGTGCTGCAATGTGCAGACAAATGCACACCAGCGTACCATTGCGACCGTGCTTTTCCCGCACTGTCCTAACTCAGTCACCTTCCATGAGTAATGGAGCCACAGTGCTAGAGCCACAGACCTGGGCCTCAACTGTACAGGGTTTAGGGTCTAGAGCAGTTTAGGGTTTAGGTTGTTACAAGGTTCTCTTTCAGACAATTCCGTACGCAGATTTTCCGAACCCTGTGTTTGTGAATGCCTGAATGCCCTTTGCGCTCCCTGTGCTTTATACGACGACAAGCCATGTCAGCAGGCAGACTGGAGCTCTCAGTCAGACTTCATGCTGACCCTTCTCGGTTCTTGCAATTCCGCGTCGTCTCATGTGCCAGGTGCTTCTGGCCCTGATCACCGCGGTGCTTCCGGTGACTCTGTCCCCCGCCGCTTCGTTGGGCACCAGCAAATCCGGAAGTTCAGACTAATCCAAGCGTGAAAGAGCGGTGGTCGGTGATGCTGCAGGCCCTGCAGATGGAAGCCGTGACCCTGGTGCTCACGGGGTCTCTCGTGGCTCACCTGTGCTTCTGGCCCTACAAAGCCTCTTGGACCTTTTTTTTGGAACTGTGACGAGTTGTGGCTCTCTCGTTGACTGAGGAAGATGCGTGGAACCGGGTTGAGGTCGGCCTCCTCATCGTTGGCCTCACCATCACTGGCCTGACGACGTGCTTGATCGCCAGCGAGCTGCATCGGGTTCGTGTCGCTCTGAGGGCTGTCGCTCTGAGTTCGCAGCGCTTTCACGGCACCAAGGCTAACGACCTTCACTGGGCGACGTCTACGACGACGCAGCGGGCCATGGTACTTCTGATCTGCTGCCTTGCCGGAGACGCCCGGCTCGGCTGGTGCTGAGGTTCCATCCTATCAGTGTTCGTAGCTGACGTGGACGAGAAGCTAAGGGAATTTGCGCGATCATGATGCTGTCCTTCTTGCTGGCCTGCATCGATGAGCGACGTGGGCAGAGCAGAGACGCGAAATCCGAGGAAGCCTGAGAGATCCTGATTTGGCGCCTCGGCGGAGCTGAGCCCGCTCTGGCTCCGACCGACGCTCCCGATGTTTTTTCGGCGGGAGCCGCTGAGCAGAGGTGCAAAATCTGAAAGCCGGGCCGCGCCTACTCACAGGATCTCACAGGCGGTGTAAGTGAGGAGTTCTTGCTGCCCCAGAACATCCAGAGCCTCCCTTCGGATCGGAAAGTTCGGGTTCAAGGAGGATGTGGGGATCTTCGAGCTCCTGCATTGAATGTTTTGCAGTTGCTGAAATGTTACCCGGGCAGATGCCATCAGCGTCGTCGAGTTTGGAGTCTTCCCCCGGGTCTTTTTTGATCATCATTGGCATTGCAGAGGACTTTCCTTCTCCGTGCGTGGACGCAGCTTCAAGCTCCCAGCTTCAGAGAAGCCCACAGCCGAACAAAAACATGTTTCATCGGGCTTTGGGGAGTTCAGGGACATGGTATGCCACTTCTGTCTACAAATGCTGAAGGGCGGTGTTGTCCTTGGGGCAATCGGGTCCCAGTACTGTATCAGTAGCGGGTTTGTTGGTGGGAAGAGCTTGGAGCCCGGGCCAGTCGCCAATCGCCTCCACGGCCGCGATGGCGGTGCGAATGGAGGTGGAGTGTGCTCTCACGCGCCTAGGCAAAATGAGAGAGCTTGTTGGTTCAACTGCTTCACTGCCAGCTGCAACATGAGTTCCAGGAAGTCGGGTGGTGCTTGTCTCACCACGCCCGATCTGGATGAGTTTGTTGTTCATGCCCATTCTGTTGTCCGAAAGAAAAAGAGGCCATCCGTCGCGTTTCATGTCTCACATGGAGTTGCAGCGTGTCCAAGGAAGGAAGGCGACGATGTCTGCCTTGTGGGCGCCTCGCCTGCTTTGGGCAATTGGGACCCGAGCCGCGCACTGCAGCTCAACACAGGCAGGGCCTTTCAAGCCGAATGGCTTCTGTGCATCACACAGGAGCAGGGACCCCTGCAGCTTCAGTGTAGCTGCACCACTCGAACTGTTCTGCAGGTCCCAGCCTCTGGCCGCGTTGGGCCAAGGAGGTTGCTCTTGCCCAGGGCACAGAGTGCAAGCTGATCATCAGAAGCAGCTGGACCTGCTCATAGCCCGCCACAATCCGTAAACATGACTCGGACCTTTTCCGGTTGACCCTGCAACCATCCTTTGGTTTCCCAGAGCACACTTCGCAAGATTCATCTGAGGACGAGGTGGGCAGGTGGAGCCTTGAGCACCCACTCAGAGAAGAGCTTTTAATGTTTTTGTCGGCCTGCATGCTTCGCCACCTGTTGGATCTTGAACTTCAGATTGCAACTTCGATTTTGCTGAGGAGTGGGAGGGACTGACTGGCAACCGAAGCTGGCCCGCAGCGGCCCCTGCGTCGACGGTGTCTATGACCCTTGTCCTGGGGTTGGAACCGTGAGGCTTTAGCTTTCTTAGTGTCTTCAGTCTTGAGCACGGCCATCGCGAGGAAGTTTGGCGTACCGGCCATAAGCTTCGACCCTGTCAAAGCGCCCGCAGAGCCTACGAAGCTTCCGCAGCCTCCTGCTGTCGCACTTCCGCAGCCAAAGGTGGCCGCTTGCATTGGTCTCTTGCGTCCATCATGCCTAGCGGTGTCCGCCAGATCCTGCCAGATCTATCCACATCATGCAACGGAATAAAGTAGATACGGGCTCACATGTTGGCTGTTTTCGTGGCGTTTGTGGTGCACAAGCTATGCCCGTGAGTTCTGTGCGTAAACCGTGGCATCGGGTGAGAGCCATAAACTTGCAGATGCGGCAGGTGGCAGGCCCGGCAGGCTACCGGCTCGCGAATGCACCTGCCTCACCGGTGCCTGCGTCTCCTTCAGGGTCCTCCAGGAGTGGCAGGACGCCCAAAGCCCACAAAGATCTGCGGCAAAAGTTCATCCTCGACATGCACGACGGGCAGCTCTGCTGCACATTGCTCGAATTTAAAACTTAGCATCTCCATGCTTCGTCCATGGTCCAATTGTGCGAGGTACGAGCAAAACATCGAAGAACGCTTCGATTTAGACCCGAAGGCCAAGCTAGGCGATGGGGCTTTCAGCGTGGTGACTCGAGCCACCAACCGAGCCACTGGGGCCGTGAGGGCCGTGAAGTCCGTGCTGAAGTCCAGGGTTCAGAAAGTGGAAGCCCTGAAAAATGAGATCGATTTGGCACGCGACATGGACCATCCCAACATTGTCCGGCTCTATGGGATCTACGAAGACCCTCGGCACCCGGGACTGCTCAGAATCGAAGCTTGTCGGAGGGAACAGACCCGAGAGAGCCCGAAAGCCGAGGCATGTGTACCTTGTCATGGAGCTGTGCCAGGGTGGTGAGCTCTTCGACCGCTTGTCCGAGGTCTACTCTTTGGGGGAGACTCGGAGACTGAAAGTGATTCCAGTGAGGCCAGTGAGGGCAGGCAAGTACTCGCGACGTGCATGCGTTCTGAGGAGAAGGGCTCGCGGGCCTGCATGAGGCAGGTGTTTGCCTCCGTGGCCTACTGCCACTCCAAGGGCATCGTGCACCGGGACCTGAAGCCCGAGAATTATCTCCTCTACGACAAAGACAAGCCGCTGGACCAGACTCTGCTTAAACTCATTGATTCTTGGCATATCCAGGTGTTAGGGGACTTGGCCCCGGTGTTTCTCACTGCACCTTCCGCTTCCATGCCCATGAACAACAAACAAACAACTTTAGGGATTCTGCTAGTTCAACTAGGGCCCTGAAGGTATGCTCGCCTTGCAATTTTTTCTTCTGGCCATCCGTTCTTTGTTACAGCGGGGAATCCAAACACAATTAACACGACCTCCCGGACACTGACCCAGGATTTCGGGCTGGCGAAGCCCTTGCCTGAGGCTGGCTGTTTGAGGACACGAGTGGGCACGGCCTATTACGTCGCACCGGAGGTGCTCGCGCAGGCTTACACGGAAGCTGCAGATGTCTGGAGCAGCGGCGTTATCATGTACATCATGCTTTGTGGCGCTCCTCCCTTCAACGCAGACAAGGACTTCGACATCCTCAGACTTGTGAAGAAGGGCCAGTACAGCATGGAGAGCGGGGTCTGGCAGACTGTGAGCACGACGGCCAAGAGCCTCATAAAGGCTTGCCTGGAGATGGATCCCAAGAAGCGCATCACTGCTCAAGATGCCTTGAGCCACGAGCGGCCCGGCTCAAGCTCCACCCGCACCAAAAAGTCGAGTGAGTCTGCCGGTGTCTGCAAGGTGGTTCCACCGGGACGAAGTCGACGGTGCACCGTTGGACTCCTCCGTCCTTCGCAATCTGCCCCTTTGGCCGCAGCATCGGGCCTGTGCCTCCTGGGCGTTCGGCTGTAGCGCCTTACCTCACTACAGGCGGGCTTTCAGCAGCGCGAACCGCTTCCGCAAGGCGGTGGCCTTGTTGTTAGGAATGTACAGTTGTTAGTACCGCAATCTAATGCTATTACATCACTCAACCATGTGATGTGGAAGCAGTGAACGAGATGCATTGAACTGCAAACTGTTGGATGTCATTGAGGCTGCGTTGACCGCGGTGGCTTACCAGTTGGGCGAGGACGAGCGGCAGACCTCTCCAGACATAGGGTCGAACGATTATTCTTGTGAAGCGAGTTCAGCATCCTTGTGGTGACGTTGTCCTTCCCAACTCACCTCCCCCAGCTGTGCTTTCCACAACGGAGTCATCCCTCTCAGGACTTGGTCGCTCGCACGCTCTCCTTCCCTTCCTTGCTTGCCTGCCTTACCCCTTTCCCCCCCTCCCTCCCTCCCTCCCAGTATACCCGTGCCCAGCTATTCACTCCACTCATCTCGCCCCTCGAGGACGAGCAGAAGGAGCTCCGTGAAATCTTCATGAGGCTCCGTGGCACGAACAAAGACACATCCTAGTCCTAGACTTCCTGGACCCTTCGCCCCAGGCAGTAGGTGCTTGAAGCCATGCAGGCTTGATACCAACGGCGACGGGTATTTGAGCCTGGAGGCTGGTGCAAACGGCAGTAGCAGCAGGTTCTTTGACAAGCAGTGGGCTTTTCTAGCTCAGCAGGAGATCAGGCACGGGCTCCAACAGCAGATGGAGATTTCGGACCTTGAGCAAGTTCTCCAAGAAGCACGGGGCCGAGTACCAGGGCCCAGGGCCCCGAAAATCCTCAATGCCGTTGCTGTCTGGCAGCGTCCGCAGCGTCCCGCCGTCCTGCAGCCATCCGATCATCCGCAGCCTCAGCCATGAATGCATGGAGGCTTCGGAGCGCTTGAGTGAGGCAGAGCTTGGAGCATTGCTCCCTGCCGCCGAGGTGGACTCAAACGGGGACGGCCGAATCGAGTACACGGAGCCTTGCGGGTTCTTAGTGTTGTGAGAGTGCTGCGTCGGATCTCAAGCCACCAGCACCGCGCTTCTGCCAGGAGTTCCTGGCCGCAGCCATGGACCAGAGGCTTCAACGGAACGAGACCTCGTGCTGGCGTGCATTCAAGACGTTTGACAAGGACTCCACAGCAAACTCGACTACTGTGCGGGGTGGGGGTGCTGGGAAGATTTGCTCCTTGCCCGGGGTTCCGCGATCGTGGTCGAGTCTTACCAGACTCGTTGCAGGACGGGGACGGAAAGATCACCTACGCAGAGCTGCAGCAAGTGCTGGAGGACGACGAGCTGCTTACGGAGGTTCCGCAGTTTCGCCTGAGCCGATGCTGAGCCGAGTTTTGCTGAGCTGAGGTTCCTGACTGCGAGGACGCTCGCTTCTACTTCGACAAGATGGATGCTTGTCCCAAGCAGAGAGAGGCCAAGGCCACAGTTCAGAGCTGAGCTTCGTTCGAGAGCTGAGGATGCCAACGGCGATGGCGAGGCCGGGGCCCAGCGGGCCGGCGGAGGGCGCCGCCGCCGGGGGGGGGCCGATTGCAGCTTTACGTGTGCAGACTGCGCGGCCAGCTTGGAAACATGCGAGGTGAGCTTCGAGGAGTTTATGGCCATGCTGCATCCAAAGGATACAAGGAAAATGAGCAAGAACAGAAGTTTACACGAGCTTGCGGAGCAAGCCTTCAAGGAGACGGCTGGATAGAAATCCATCGCCTCGACGGTCAGCAGAGACGTCCCAAAGCCTTTCCCCAACGCTCAAACGGAAGATGTGAAGCTATCCGGCAACTGTCTCACTCTACTCTCGCCTTGCTCTCGAATTGTGTCTTCCCGCCATGGGCCTCACGTGGAAGAGAACTCTTTGCGAGGCATTTTCAACGGGATCTTTTAACCTGCATGCCCAGGAAGCACGACAGCTCTTGTCGGTGGTTGTAATATGTCCAAGCTAGTCCAGCCGAAGCTCAAGAGCTATCCTCAGCTTGCCGGGTGGTGCACATCTGTTGCTCGCGGGTTGGTACTTCGAGGGCGCGATACAGGAAACTCAGGGGTGCATGATGGTGCATGCCGGCCTTGAGTTTAGTCTGTCGTTGACTTGTTGGAGCCATCTTGTTGGGAAGGTGGAATGATCATTGAACTGAACTGTGCGACGGCTTGGCATTGGTCGGTCCCGAAGCTGCCCGTAGATTGAAACAAGCACACAGATTCTTTCACTGCAAAGACAGCACAACAGACAACAGACAGTATGGAAGTCAGAGCAAGTGCATGTGCAGAGCCAGAAAGTCTGTCCAGCTTTAAACATCTCCGCTGCAGTCACCCACTACCTTCTTTTCAGCCTGGCCTTGGCTCTGCACCCATTGGCCCATTGTCATGGTTGCCCATGGGACCTTGCAGGAGGGCCCCCCGAAAGCATCCTCTTGCCTCTTGCGGCGGCTCCATCGCAGGTGTGCCCTCCTCGGGCAGATGCGAAGAGGCCGCTCCCCGCATGTCGTGGGCCCGGGCTTGGCATGCTGTCAGCGTGAAAAGATCGAATTTAGAAGACAGAACACTACACCGATTCGGAGAGGGGTGTTCTGAGCGAAAGAGTTGCCCAGGTCCTTCGCAGAACTTCGAGACGCCCCCGAAGCGAAGCCGCTGCCCTGGTCTAGGCCTAGATGCACCGTCAAGAAGACCCGATCATGCACCAAGGACGCAGCCTGAAGGGTGCTGACACCGAGGCCGGCCCCTCTGTTGTGCGCCAAAATCGAGGGGAAGGGAGTCGTGGGGTCGCTTCAGGCTCCGAATGCCCTGAAGGCGGCATGCGAGGCGCTGAGGAAGGAGTTCGCTGAGGCCACAAAGCCGGCAAGATCCGCTTTTTGCAGCTCTGGTGGCGTCCTTGGGTCGGGATTGGAGCTTGCCTGGGTATGCATGTCATGCTCTTGACAAGTCATGCCCCTGGAATGGCTTTCAGTATTCAATAATCGATGCCTGCTGCTAGGACTACTTCCTTGCACCGGCCAAGACCAGGTGCAAGAGGGACTCAGGGGGCACTGCATTCTCAACAGCAGCCCTGTTTCTCTTTGATCTTTGACAATCCGCAGAGCAAGCCCGAAACAGCGCCGTGTTGACCAGGCTCCCGCCAGATGAGATTGTTCCCCGGCTCCTGAAAATTGGTGGACAGGCAGGGGCCTAAGGGAAGCCTTTCCACAACTCGATGCCTCACATCCCCACTACCTTCTCCGAGCTCTGCTTGCCCCAAAGGCAGAGGCCTGCCAGGAGGCCCTGGCCCAGGCAAAGAAGAAGAGCCACCAGCCGGCAAAATCGGCTCTCGGCCTCTAAGCCTCTCCTTGTGGCCCCCCCTCTCAATTCCCTCCTTCTGTTTCTGTGCCGCCTTTTGGAGTGACTTTGGATTCAGGGCTTAGGCTTCGGTCTCTCTTGGCATGAGTGAGGACGCAACCTCCGGGATGTCCTGCAGCAGGGTGGTGCATGTGCTCATGCCGTTGTGCGGAAAGAACGTGCTACTGGGGTCGCCATCCCAGGTGTGAATGCTTTGGTCACGGAGAACAAGGACCGCGAAATCCCTTTCTCTGGGTTCTCCCTCCCTTCGCGATGGAGAGCACCTCAGCCGCTGAAGCTTGAAATCGCCAGCCTCGTGCAGGAGGAGTGGATCAAGCGCCTCGAGAAGGGCTTCTCGCTTCTTTTCGAGGTCCTTGCGTTGCTGACCTCGCTTTGCAAACTCTCGGGATTGAATTGCTGAGTCGCAGTAACTGCAGACCTACAGTCACCACCGTGCATGTGTCAGCTTGATGTTGTGGCTTGCACTTGCCTCCAGCGCTGGCAAAAGTGGCGCGATATTCAGAGTTGTCCAAGAGCCACAGGAAGGAAGCAGTATTCTAGTTTGCAATATTTCGTCTTGACGCTTCTTTTGGGCCCTGAACGGAACCTACGGAACCTGAGAAAGCCCCGTGTGCCCTAAAGCAAGAGAAGCCACGAAACACATACCGAAGGACCGAAGCTTTAAGAAGCCATGGAGCATTCGGATGACTTCGGGATGCTGCAGTTTTCTGCTTTGATCGCTCGGTGCCATGCGGGTGCTTAGAGAGTCCTCTGGCCAGGGGGTCGGCTCCAAGTATCGGCTTCTGGAGAACTTTGCGCAGGCAGGGGCGGAGGGTGGTCAGCATGAGGGTGAGGGTGAGCTTTCGGGCTTCAGAGGCGGAGGTGGGAGCTTTGTGGCTTGGATTCAAGTTGAATTCTGCCGGGCAGGGGACGGCATGGAGCTGATTTGTGTCGAGGTCCTCTCCAAATCTGGGATACCCATCGCCATCTTCCATGCCTTTGACAAGGCCAGTCGCCGGCTCTGAAGTGCATCTGGAAAAGAGGGCGGCCCTGGGCGAATACGGCAAACCACAAAAGCTGCCCCCTCTGCTTCGCTGTCCTGTTAACAGGGGTGGACCCGAATCGTGGGTTGTCGGAGCTATCTCCAATCCTCTCTGCTGGGACAATACAGGTGGCCCCTGGGACGATTGTTTTTGTGGAGGGTTGACAACTCATGATGCTGGCTTTCCCTGATCCGTATCCCTTTGCCAAGCAAAACAAGCCCGGAGTGTCACTGCTGTAGGACCAGCTTTTGACCCCGTCTCCCGTGGACACAAGTCTTGCCGGATTTCCGCACACAGTGAGCTGCGCACGGCGCGACTGAGTTCCTTGTTCCCTTCCCTCCAGGGTAGCTCCCTGGCTGCTTTCCTGCGAGAGCTCTTGGAGCAACACGGCTGGAAAGGCGCGGTTACCTTCTGGAGCCTTAGAAGCCTTAGAACCCCGTTCTTCGGTGCCGCGAAGCATGTCCTTTCCTGTGATGATGCGCAGGAGCCGGCTCACTGCCCCGCCTTTGCAGCGCTTTGCTGACTGTGAGGGTCCCAGCCAGTTGGAGCTTTGCACGGGGTCATTTTAAGCGGTTCCTCAGGCCAGGCGGTCGGCCGCCGAGAAACACCCGTTGGTGCTCGTCATCCACAACCTGGAGGCGTCCTTGCGCGATGCGCAGCACCTTTCTGAGCGCGTCGCTGGGAGGTCCTTCCGGCACCACATCTTAGCGCTCTCGCATCCCTTGTGTCTACAAAGGCTTGGTGTGACTGGGTGCATCCTCCTTTCACTGCTCTCCTTGTCACGAGCGCATCTTCGCATGGCGTCGGAGCGGCTTCCAAGCCTGGCAGGAGATTTGGCTGGTTGCCTCGGCAGTGGCCCCATCAATAATGCTGTTGTTGGCGTCTTCGCCAATGTTATGACCCTGTGGAGTGCCGAGGTCGACAACATCTTTGCCGATGCAGCCTTCAACATGGATCCCTACGCTGCCATGGAGCTACGGGGTTCGGCTTGAGAAATGTCGGTGTGAAACGGTTGCGACGAAGGCTTCGCACATGGCTCGTGAGCTTGAGTGCAGGACTTCAGTTTCTCCTACGAAGAGGTGCACACCCGTGACAGCTTCCGAGCTGCACCGGACCTGAATACTTGGCGCGAGTAAAGCCCAAGAGATTCATCATTGTTTCTTCTCGGGTATTTCATCAGCGATATTCATCGCACTGGTTCACCTTCTCCCAGGCTACTACACCGTGGAACTGAAGGGCCGGTATCCGGACGGGCTGCTGAAGCCCAAGGAACTACGGACGATGGTGTGCAGTGGGATGCTTGTAGCAGCAACGGTGGTCGCAGTGGTGGTAGTCGTGATCAGGATGACCAGCTGGAACTGCTCGAAATCATTTTCTGTTGAAGGCGAGTGACACTGGGATGAGCAGATCCCAAGCGCTGAGGCCCTCGTGCACGCACCCACTGGCTACGAAGAAGCAGACAAAGGCACCCGTGGCATTTTTGCGGCTGGCGATGAAGACAGCCGAGGCATAGAAACGCACATGAAAATATCAGCATATTGCCGATCACCGTTTGGAGCTTGTGCTGGTTCCTTTCAGGCCGCTATGATCTGGTCTTGCCTTCCTTGCATCTCGAGGCGAGTCTTGGGCTCGTCTTGCGCTGCTTGACGCAGAATCAGAAGGAGCTGGTGCAGGCAACGGCCGAACCGTTTGAGAAGCTGCAAACCCGAAAGCCAAAGTCGCACGATTGGCATCTTACAAGCCCAGTTGCTCAGTTCAACTGCTGACGCATCTGCCATCTCAAACAGGTAGCAAGAGTTGTAACATGTTGCAACGAAATCCGCTAGGAAGTAGCCGCAATGAGGTTGCGGTAGTAGTTTCCGGCAAAATCACAAATCTCGTGCCGGAGTCCCGCAGGAGATTGCCAAGGAGCAGCTGTCAAGAGGCCCAGCCACAGATTCCGAAGGTGAATAAACATCCACAGCAAGCCTTGCAGCCTTGCACTTCTACGTGACTCGCGCATCCGTTTATCCTGTGCTTGCAGGGCAGCAGGGTGTGCCATGGGACGAGTTGGTGGTGGCAACCCAAGGATGTCCGACGTGACCCCAGGGCGGTCTGAAACTATCGGGCTCTAGGGATCCTGCAATACGCTGTGTGCAAGTGAGGCCCGAACTTTCAGCTTTCTACGCCGGCCAATCCGAAAGCAAAATGCTGCATGACGTGAGCCCTCTTCGTGCCCAAAGCGATATATTGACGATCTATTTTGAAAACATGTGCACTCATTGATAGCACTAACCAAAAGTGAATGGCAGTCGCAGCTCAGGTCTTGGCATCCGACCTCATGATTGCCAACAACCACACGAAACTGAGGCCATCGAGCTCTTGCAGCATCGTTTTGCATCTCCCAGCTTCAGAACAACAGGCACAATCACAGCGAGAGATGTCCTTCAAGCAGCTCAATGGTTTGTCATAATCAGGATGCGCGTCTGCTGCATGCTCCTGCCAGCAATGCAGTGTTCTGTTGTGCAATGCGGGATGTTGATGCCATACGTGTCATTGCCTGTCGTATACTTTCCCAGGGAAGGTTTTCGCGGGGGGCGACTCTTGCATGGCCGGCACGGCCTTCGAGACTGCTGTTGCTCTGGGCGCCGAGACTCGCGGCGGAGGCTGTGCGTGCCGAGCGTTTGCAGAGGGTGACGCTTGCGTGGATGCGGACTTGCTGTCAGCGGAAGGCTGCGGGTGCCAAGCGGGGGGTGATGCCGCCATGGGCGGGGCCGGGCACGGCTGTCAGCACCGAGCGTTCGCGAGGGCGGGGAAGGCTGAGCGTTAGCGGCGCGACGATGTTGTGGAAGGGGAGATGGGAAGGCCCGGGACTGTGGGCACATCGTACACATGTCTACCAAGCCTCATTGTTGCAGCCTCCAGTCTGAAAGGAAGCCGGTCTTCCCGCAGCCCTTTTGTAGTCAGTGGTGGAAGAGCACATCAGCTCCTTCGCCCGGGGATGTTGCGAATATGGTCAGTGTCGGGTGACTGTTTGGCTTCTTACCCTGCAGAAGAAGCGGGAGATGTGCGGACGCTGAAGCGCAAGCTACAGAGCTGGTGCCGTGTGCCGCGCTTCCGTCAAAGGCTCTTAAACAACGATGTTGATTTAGGAGACGATGCTCCGCTTCATTCTCCAATGGACCTGCAGCTGATCTTGTTGCCCTTCTCCGAAGAGCATGTGGATGATCTGGCGACCGCTGTGGAGAACAATCTCGTGTCCAAGGTTGAAGAGGTGTTGCAGCGTGCTCAGAATCCAGATCTGTCTCGACAGGACGCAGTGGAAACGCCCCTTGGAATCGCGGCACAAAGAGGTCACGTGGAGATTTCCCGGTTGCTTTTAGAAGCCTGCGCCGACAAGGACAAGATTTGCCGAGGCGTTCGCAAGACACCTCTTGGTCTGGCCTGTTGTGGAGGTCACGTTGAGATCGTACGCCTGCTGCTGGAAGCGCGTGCAGATAAAGACAACACAGATGGTCAAGGCATCACCACTGCCATTCAATTGGCATCCAGTCGTGGGCAGGTGGAGATCGTGCGACTCTTGCTTGAGGCCAACACAAGCACAAAGGAGTTCAAGTCCGTTTCTGGCCAGGGCAGAACAGCTTTGGCCCGTGCGTCTCGCAGAGGCCACACAGAGATCGTTCGACTGCTGCTTCAGGCCAGGGCCATCAAGAAGGCAGAAGATCACGACTGCCACACAGCTCTCAAACTGGCATCGCGCAGAGGCCACTGGGAGATTGTACGAGTGTTGCAAGAGGCCAGTGCCACGCAGGACAGACAAACACAAATTTTCCCACTTGATGCCGAAGGAGTTTGCAGAGGGGCGTTATAGGTCTAGCTGATGACCTGTCAGGCTTCATGCACAAACCCCGAAGCCGTAAGCCACCATCTACTCTCGAAATTCAACCAAAGGTCGAAAGGTTTGAGGAATGGTTTACCACTTGGTCGGATTGTATAGGACAGCGGTTTTTGCAGGCATTCTCGTGTTGGACGTCTCTGCTAGTGACACAGGAGCACACCACATCCGGTGTCCAATGCCTTGTCGGGGCTTCGCGCGATGGAGACGTGGATGTGGTGCAGCGGTTGCTGCAGGTCAGCGCTGACCCTGACATGTGCGATCACCAAGGCAGAACTGCTCTGATGCGTGCATCGGCTGCAGGGCACATGGAGATCGCACGGCTTTTGCTGGATGCCGGCGCCGATGCCGACAAAGCCGATAATGAGGGCACGACCGCCCTGAAGCTGGCCTCTTTTCTGGGTCGCCTAGAGATCGTTCACTTGTTACTGGATGCTCGCGCTGATACGAACATTGCGAGTCGAGAAGGCCGGACACCTTTGATGTCGTCATCTGGCAAAGGGCGCTTGGAGATCGCGCGCTTGCTCCTTGAAGCTGGTGCGGACAAGGAGAAGGCGGACAATCAGGGCACTACCGCTCTGAAGCTGGCATCCAACAGAGGCCGATCAGAGATTGTAAGCCTCTTGGCTCCCAAGCCGGCTTTTCAGTGCGTGCAGTCTTGATGCATGCAGTCCCGCTGCATCTTCGGCTTTTCAGACAAGCATAGTCTTGGCAGAAGGATCAAGAAGGCAGGCTTCCTGAACTCATGGCCGTTTGGGGCCATGCATCGTGCCGCTCCTGTACATATCGAGACGCAGAGGAAAAGAATCCGCTCAGTCTTCAATCTTCAGGTTAGTCCAGCAGGAGCAGGTTTCTTTCTTGAGACTTGCTTGTCCTGCGGCCGCTGAGAACACAGGTCTAAGGACACTGGCAAAAATGGTAGCAATAGCGGGCAGCGTCACCGGAGAGGTCCCTCTGTGCGAGGTTCGCATGAAACGTTTCTCTGCAGCACAACTGACAGTGGACATGCACGCTGTGGGATCATGAAGCTTGAGTTTCTGAAATTATGGAGATGACGTTTGACCCTTGGCAGGATGACACTGACACAGACCTTTCAGATTTTCAGACTTTGACCATCGTGTTGTTTGCTGAGACGGTCACGCGAGGCGCCTCTTGAGTGAGCTGACAGACCACCAGATCCTCATGGAGAGGCCCGCGTTTCGATTGCGCTGTGTGCGTGTGTGGGGGTGTCTTTTGTTTGAAACGTTTAACAGTGCCCATATATTCCGAATAGGAACGGCCGCTTCGAGCTCGCGGTGAAGGAAGGAGTGCTCAGGCACGGATGCTGGGCTTCAGTCCGGGTCGGGTCACGGACTGCGCCTTCGCTTCAGGAAGTTGGCCGAGGGCGAGTCAGTCGAAGACGTTGACGTCGAGGGCGAAGGCGGGGAGCCAACAACTTCCTTCTCCTTTCGGATGCGCGATGATGTCGGCCAGGTTGGGTGCACCGTGGTCGTTTGTTTCGTTGATGGGTTGGTCACCCGTTTATCCAGTGCGAAGATCTCCGTTGTGTGCCACGCAATGGCCTATGGTATTGTGAGCCGGGATTTGAGCACTGGAGACCGCGGCTACGAAGGTGATGCCGCGGATGACGTCGAACACGAAGACGAAGAGTTCTCCGAGGACTTTGCTGCACAGCCACTGTTCAGAAATCCTTGAGGATCGGACGTAGAGCAGGTTTTTAGGGTCAGTCTAGTTCCAAGGTGAGAAGAAGTGCAAGTGTAGGTCCCAAGGGTGTCTGCTAAGGTAGTTGAGAAAGAAGGAAGCCGCTGCAATTGCATACTGTGATTGCGAGTTAGCCGCTAGCCGCCAGCCGTACACGATACGCTGAGCTGCACGCAGGCCTCAGAGGACGATGACGACGAGTGAAAGAATCCATCACAATCTAAGTGTACTTAGATGTGTTTTTTCTCCTGCTCGTTCAGTGGGTGTCTGGTGAAGCATAGCATTCGTTGATATGAGCTCGGCCTGAGATGTATGTAAGCTTCGAAGGTCCCTTTGTACCGGTGTTTTTTTCTTGGGGTTTGGACTTGGAGCAGTGACTATGCACTGCACTGAGTGCGTCGGTCTGCGAGGGTGTCCAGCACGAAGCGGAGCTCCGAGTAAAGTCATTCCTGACCTTGTTGAAGCTGAGGGCATCTGAGGGCCATGATAGCTTGACTCCCTTGCAGACGTCTCACACAGACGGGGTCTGGGGCGTGTGAGAAACACAGGATGCAGGCCGCAGGGGCTCTTTGTGTCCATGTTCCTGTGCGCTCTGTCCGGGTGGACCCAAAAGGAGCTGCACCGAAACAAGGTCCAAACTCAGGCAAACTAGTCAACTAGTCCTAGCTTCCATCCTTGATGGCTTTTGCACAGGCGTAATGTGGTGGGCATTCCGCGCGTTAATCACGAAATCTGCTGTATGCGAGGAGGAGAACACTGTCGCAGCCAAGTGCATGCAGCGCCGTCGTAGTTGTCTTGTCTTTGATAGTATGATGTCACTAAGGCGGCAGCAGATTCAACGCAATGTTCCCAAGGTCTAGCCTGGTGTCAAAAGAGCGTTCCAGCTTCAACTGCATTCTGGGAGCAGCAATTGACAGTTGAAGAATCATCACAGCTTATCAGTGCAAAGCATATCTCAAACACAGCTCAGCGGGTGAAATGAAACTCAGTCATCCACTCTCTCAGTTCCTGATCTGGACATGGATAGGCGCATGCGCTGATCCCCAGCGCCGGTAGGCTGCTTCCTGAATCCGGTTGACCATGGCACATCGGCTTCGTCGCCTTTGCGATCAGGTCCGCGTCGGGTCCGTGGGAGAAATTATTAGAAGACACAGGCTTCCAGCAGCAAGCCTTTCCTTCTGCACTTGCGCTGCGGTTTACAAGTTTAGTTGCAAGTCGCTTGACATTGTCGACACCTCTGTCTAGTGTCCTCTCGATGCCGCTCTTGCCTCTGGTCTGGAATGAGGTCAACGTGAACGGTTCTGTTTCCTGCGACTTCGACACAAGTCTCATTCTCATGAGTCTCACACCAAAGTCGAAGCTCGGAGTACCCGAGGTGGCCCCTGCGCCCTGCAGCACAGCGGCGGCAAGCACTGCGGGTGCGTTTCACGTTGGTGTTGGGTTTAGCGTGGTTTTGTCAGTGATTGTCGCAGCAATCACGCGAAACTTGAAGTTCGGTGCAGACGTTACGCAAAGTTGGGGCATGCCTCGGAGATGGATTGGACATTTGGACAGTCGACAAGGTCAGGTGAAAATGGATGGGAGATTAGCACCGCTCTGTTGAGCGACCACTGAGCAAAGGCCGATTGACGATTGCCATCACAAGTGCGAATAATCTGGGATTTGACTTGAGAGGGTCTGACATTTTTGTTTGCGGGACCTGCGAAGATGTCATGTCGTTATACTGACACAACAGACAAATATTGAGCGCCAGACAGCCAAGGCGCCCCAGGGCCGCCTGCGACCGGCTCCATTGCCGGCTCGGTGGTGGTGACACTGGTAGCGGCGGGCAACAGCGGTGCCCCGTCACAACGAAGCCAGTTTCCACCATCGAAACTCGTGTCCCATGTTTTCACGGCGGTCAGCCTTGATGCTGAGCTGATGCTGTGGATAGAAAAATGATTTCTGTATGCAGCCCCGCAGACCCCTGAGTGAGAGGTCACGTTTGTGCGGCTTTGATCAACGGCAACACGGGAGGCGGGACCGCCGGTGGCAACAGCAGGGCGGTTTCCACAGACAGAGTCGGGTTCTGGCTCATGTCTACGTCCGCTCGGAAAATGCACCGTTAGGGACGGTTCAAACGACCAGCTCAGTTTGCAAGCCCGCCTTTTGGCTGAGACGGATTTCTTAGAGAATCATGGGGGGGCTCCAAGCGCTGCAGTTCTTGGTGTTTACTGACAAAGCATCGCCTTGCTGGGCGCAGTACGGTTTTCTAGATGCCTCCGTCCGGAGCCTTGGCTCCCAGTGCCGGCGGTCGACTCCAAGGGGATCCAACTTAGTAACGGCTCTCGCAGTTCACGTGGGTTTGTGTTGGAACAGCGGCATCGTGGTGTAGGCGAGCTGAGGAAAGCTTCTGCAGGGCTTGATAAGCGTAGTGTTTCTTGAGCATGAAGCCATGCAAGTAAACAGACGTAGGCCAACAAGGGAGCTCTTCTCCCCACCGCCATTTGCCGTCCGCTGCTGCCGAGCGATGTGGGAGGAAGTCTGCCACTCTCACTTGTATCGAGATTGAGCGGCAGAATCCATGTTCAGCGAGGATCAAGACTTACAGAGCAAGACCAGCGTGCAAGCCAGTAATGGTAGCAGCAGTAGGATATGTGCAGTAATTGAGCAGCAGTGGCGTTCATCGGCGCCAGCACAGTGCTGTGATGGCAGTGCTCACATGCTCACACAGCTATCTCGCAGAAGGAACCAGTGGATCAAACAGTGAACACATAAACAGCTTTGGACAGGCAGGGTGAGGTCGCAGCTGAGATGTAAACGAGTAAGACAGATGAATGCAAAAGTTGATAGCCAATGACTACATAGGTCGATGATCAGTAAGAGAACAGAAGCGCACAAACAAACAACTACGTAGTGGAATCGCAATGACGGGCTTAGTTCAACAACATCATCTTGACAAATAGTCGGTACCGGTACCAAATAATTCCGCCGTCGTTGCCACTGTGCTTGACATCATCGCTAGAAATCCCATGGTCATGGCCTTTCGAATCACGATTCCAAGTGTGGACTGTTTTATCCGATCCGGACCCGGGAGTGGGGTTTTAACATGACCGTCTACTCAGAATCCTTGATCCTTGATGCGGACTCCAGGGCGAGCAGAGTCTATCACACGCAACCTCCGAGCTTCGCTGGATCGTTTCGTTTCGACACTGATGAACTGTTCGGCTGGATGCAGCAATGGTGCAGTGTAGCATCGTGGGCCTTTAACGTGGCATTTTGCCTCAAGTTCCTTGAAGCCACAGATGTTTGGAAGTAGATTTGTTCCAAAACACTTAAGGTAAGACATGGTACGAGAACTACTCCAAGAATTCTTTCAAGGCGGGAGGGCTTGGCAGATCTTCTGGAAGCCTGCTGAGCCGTGCAAGCCACGAGAGCTGTTTGATTTGTAAATTGCAGGCGCATGTCGGAGACTGGGTAGCTGTGATGCAGGCAGCATCAAGATCCGAGTACGAGACAATTCGAGTACGAAGCAGAGTTGGTTCTTCAGGGCGGCAGTGTGGATTCTTGCGTCATTCCAGCGATGTCCTGCCTGGACCCTGAAGCCTAGACTCTAAATCCTAATTGTGTCTTACAGTCTCTCTCCTCTCCGTGTCTCCCCCTCCCGCCCTCTCTCCTCGGTCCCTGTTTGTTAGCCCGAGTTGTCACTTCCTGCTTGAAGGGTTTGGAGGTTCGGTTTCCCTGCAACGTTTTCCATGTTTGTTGATGCTGTCACAGCATGCGCTGCTCCAGCTGTTGTTGGTCTGGCAGTAGAAATGGTTGATCGCCTTGTGCCATGTGGACGCGTTGCAGGAGGGCTCCATAATCCAATTCCTCCACAAGGATCGGTGCGAGGGTTTCGAGTTTCGGGTTTCTTCTGCTTGGCATTGCTGGGGCTCATGCCAGTGGACCTTAGATCGGATGCCGGAGAGACTTTCCCCGACATTTGTGGGAAGCCTGAAGGCTTCCCGGAACGCCATGGGCAGACTTGATTTGGGCCATGTGCTCAGCGGCCCCTTGCAAAGCTCCAGATGCCCGCAGGACTCGAAGGAGCTTCGCTATGGCATGGTTGACAAGGAGCCTCGAGCCGTTTTGTCAGCGAGGGGTTTGCGTCGGCTCCAGTGCAACCTGCTTGCCACAAGACAGCATCATAACGACACAAAATACAACGAGGCCACAATGAGCGTGCCATCAGTGTATGCCACGAAAACTGCAATACTCCATATCCGTGTGCAGGCGGTCAGCGATTCCGAGGGCTTCGTGAAGATCGCAGATGGCACGTCCCTTGCAGCCATGCAGGGCTCTTCTTGCTTTGGACTTCTCACTTTTCAACTGCGAGGCTTTAGGCATTAGGAGTTACAGCTGCGAGATCGCCGAACTCTTCAGGAAGCTCAGTGGCTTGACCCCAGAAGTTTCATATTTGTCGCGAGAAAGCACTTGCCTTTTGCCCGCTGCGGTGCAGAGGTTCATCTGGCTGACGGAGTCGAATTCGATCTGGGCTTTTGTGGCAGACGAATATCTAGATGCTCGGGATCATGTAATGGCGCTTGATGCGAGGTCTCACAATGCATTTCTGTTGGGTCGATGCTGTAACTCTTCGCCGGAAGTTCTATGCACCGATGGTCATTCCCGAGGGATGTGGTTGTGGGGCCTTTGGGGAGCTTTTCTAGTTTTTTCGGGCTGTGGGCCTCGGAGTGGCCACTTTGAACTCGTGTCAGAACTCTGACGTCTTAGATTCGGGCTTTTCTGCCAAGGAAGAAGCCAAAGCCATCATTGACGCCTCCATCGACATGTGGAGGATAGCCATGCTTTTGTCCACAGAGGGCGTGAAAGTGGCTCTCACTGCAACGACTGCAGACGGCCTGTTCGGCGCATCCTCACTGGCTGCTGGGGGTCTCACATGGGCTGGAGGTTTGGGTGTGGGTGCTGGCCTGGTGGTGGTGATTGCCTCCGCGCCATCCATGCTGGCAGCCACCAGCCTCTACAAGCTCAGCAGCGCCATGGAGAACGACTCCCTGACGCCCCAAGTAGTGGCGCTTGGAGGCGCTGGCGGCGTCCTCGCCGGATCTACTGCCGGCCTCTTAATGATCTCCGAATCCGGGACAATTGCAGGGCTCTCGGCTTCGGGTGTTGTGAGTGGTTTGAGCACCCTTGGTGGTGGAAGCGTCATGGGCAGCCTGGCGATGGGTGCTGCGGTGGTCGGCAGCGTGGCTGCACTGACGGCCGTCGGAGTCGGGGGCGTGGTGTGGCGGGTGTCACGGGCGTATGTGCAGGATCGGTTACTAAACCAGAGGTCGACCATGCTCGACCTTTCTGTACAGTACAAGTTTGAAAACCGATTGCAGCCCGAGTGTCCCGCGAGTGATGCCCAGCCGATTTCCACAGCGCCTTCAGAAGAAAGGCAGTGATCCGAGTGTTGAGCTCTATTCCGTACATAGATGCCTGACATGATGCGTGCATCATCTTCCGTAGTGTCGTCGCATCATGTCTCCTGGGACAAAGTTGCTGTGGAAGTCAGTACATGCACAAGCCAGCTGAACTAATGACCAGATGACCCAGCCCTTGCCGCGTCTGCAAGCTTGAAATAATGAAACTTCATGATCCCAACCGCATTAGCTTCGGTTGCATTAGTTTCGGGAGCAAAGATTGTAGGCCGTTCGAGACCTCTCTGCGGCACCTTTGTCCCGCACTGCTTGGGGAGTTCCCAGGCAGCTCAGAGAGGTGCAAGTACACTGCAAGTACAGCTTAGAGTTACCTGTCGCCTGTGCAACCATGTTGTCAAGTTTGCACCGTACGAACTCCCCAGAGTGTCAGAGCCCGCGTGAGAAGGGTGACATTGCAGACTGCCGTCATGAGAAGTGGGTTTAGGGATTGCGTCTGACCGTCATCCTCTCACGATCCGCGTGTCTCACCCAGGGCTCGATCAGGCCCCTTGGACTTCGCCCCGCCGAGCCCCCGCCGAGCCCCCGCCGAGCCCCCGACGTTACCGTCCAGACCGGGGTGATCGAGCTCTCACCTTCCGCAGTAGGGGACAGAAGTGATGTGGGCGCGACTACTGCCAAGCTTCAGAGATCTTCGTGACATTCCAGATCTTGTCGGGGGGGGTTGGAGCCGAAAGTTCCCAGAATTCCGCTAAAGGGCAAGAGCAGAGCCCAAGGCTTTGCAGACATTTGAGGTGGCACAGTAACCAAACTCCGAGACCGACTTTCAAGAGCTCGTGGCCTTGAAGTGCAGGCCGCGTCAAGGTGCAGCTGCTCACGAGTCGACCCGAGCTCTTTTCCAACTTGCGACCGCTGGCGCTCCGGCCACGCTTTTGTGCCTGAGTGCCTTTCGGACGGGTTGCCTCTGTGACTCGGATAGGCCAGGAAAGGCTTCAGAGATCTTCAGAGCCTGTGGTGCTTGGGGGCTGCTTGGGTTGAAGCCTTTCAGCGCTTGGACTGCGAGTAGCTCATCTGGTCGGCCTGGGGTTTTCGAGTCTGGGCCAGGTGCATTTTCCTGACGGTCAGACTCAGGCTGCCGGGCAGAAATCGGAGGGAAAGACAGAGGTTTGAGCGGTTGCAACAGCTCGGTTCACCACTGAACATTCCCGATTGCGGAGAGACCTGAGGAGGGCGTCCTCCATCGCGTCTCGCGGAATCCTGCCGAGCCCCGCGCTCGGCCCCGGGGCCGGTGACCCGTGCCCTCTAAGTCGCTGCGATTAGGCTCATTCCAAACTCCGACATCGTCCTCTGGACTGGGCCGGTGACCAGCACGAAGGTGCACTGGGGGGCAAGCGCGGCTAGCGCCAAACTGTTGAAGGTTGGCGTGGGTAGACCTGACAATGAGAGGAAGTCTTCGAGAACCTGCGGCCGTACCTGGATCCGCAGAAGACCTGCATTGGCACGATCTTCGCTCAAGGTGCGCGACGGGCAGCCTGTCACGTGTTAATTAACATGCAAACTTCAGGATTGGAATGCAAGGCCGCCATCGAGTTTTGAAAGGAGTTGACATGTGTTGTGTGCTTGCTTGCGGGCAGTGAGCAGCTGCGTAGTTCGCCGTGCGAGGCCTCGTGCATGTCTTGGCCCAGCGCACCTTCGGGCCTAGTATTCGTTTTGTCCTCAGCGACAAGACGCGGACGCACTTCGAGATGGAGAGCAGTGGGAATATCGTGGGGGGGAGGCCTCCAAGAATTCTGAGCCGCTTCGTCGCGGGAGAACCTCAGTACACGTACGTGACAAGCGGAGCAAAGCTGGCTTTGATGAGGCTTCTTCGCCTTGCGCAACATCCCCTGGCTCTGCCGGGTGGTTAAGGCCTTTGGGGGTAGCCGATGCCTGCTGTCAAGAACGAGGAATCCCCAAATCAAAGCCGTAGTGTCATGTAGCGAGACATTTGGACAGAACCGTGTGCACTCGCGCAGCTTGGCATTGGCTGTATTTCAAGTCCGTCAGATCATAGCGCTACTATGCCGTTTCATATCTACACACTCACAGATTGGCTAGACCTCCAATTCCGGAGTACGGAATTGTCACGTAGCGGCCTGCTTGACCAGAGCAAGGGCCTTTCCTCGTCTAGGACTAGGAACTTAGTGACTTAGTCAGGGTCATGATCGCCTTGGCAGGTTGGTGCGGAGTGTGAGATTGTCGGAGCCAAGAGCAGCATTGGATCCTTGGCTCAGACCTTCGCTCCGCAGCTCCAAGCCGCGAAAGATCCGGGAGCCGAACTGCTCCCGCTCCCCAGAGTTGGGGGTGTTCCTCCAGGAGCAGAGGCTTAAGCGACATCTGAAAGAGACCCCACCGGCCGCTGAGCCGCTGAGCCGCTGAGGTGTGATGACAATGAACCTTACCAAAGAGTGGGCCCAGTGCCCAGAGGGGCCGAAGCTCCCCACCTTCAGCCAGCTCTGGCCAACACTGGCACGAAAAGTCTTCCAAAGGTCAAGACAGAGCTGGAACCGCTCTTCCTCGTCAAGAAGATGGGGCCGAGCCGCCATTTTGGCAAGTGGCAAGCTCTGTAGGATCTTCAGTGAAGGCTAGGTTCAAGGCCAAGCAAGAAGAAGAGACGAAACGTTCAGTAATCGGCACGATTGGATTGATGATTGGGCCGCGAGCCATTTCTTTGGGCCCGTTATAGTATCTGGCAGGAAGCATGAACCGGTCATCGAGCTGCTTCCAGACTTCTGCCGGAAGTCCCAGGAATCCTGAGGATGCGAGCATCTTGATTCGGATACTGTACTTCCTTCCGTCGCCAGTTGAAAATCTGCAGAGTCTCTGCTCCAGCCGCTTGCTTTTGCTCCTGCTCTTGTCCTGTCCCGTCGCCTTCGGCAGCTGAGGCCCGATCGTTTTCAACCCAGCGAACCAGATCATCCATCCCGCCCGCTACTGGGCCATGTTCCGAAACTGGAACGGCCAGCCTGGGCCCCGTGAATGGCGCTTGGGGCTGCAGAACTGTGACAAAGCAGATTCCGAGACCATTACAGGCATCAGTGCCAGGCCCCAACGACCTGCAAGTTAAACACAACCGCCAAGGCCTCTTCGCAAGGACAGGGTGCTGGGCGTGTTGCTCAGGTGTTGGAAATGCTGTAACTCTTCTGCCGAAAAAAGGGGGGGGGCGCGGCATGCACTGGGCAGCGAAAGGACGTGTTGCAATTGTTCCATTCCTTCCTGAGCAGGACATGGAGCCGCCTGAGTGGCTCTACAGGGACATGGCCGAGCCCTCGAAACGGTCCGGTTTCCGTGTTTGGGGTATGACCAAGCCGCAGATAGAGAGGCATTCATGTAACTCTGGGACGATGCATCAAGCCTGTCGAGTCTGAGCTGTTTCTTTATGTCTGGGTCCTTGGCCACCGCTGTCAGTGTTTTCAGGACGAGACTGCTGGACAGGTGCTGGAAGTGCTCGATGAGGCTGCTGCAGCCGAGTGGCCTGTGCTCGCGATGTTTGCCCCCACGCAGCTGAAGCAGACATGTGCCGGAACTGTGCTGAGCCCTTCATTTTCAAGCCGGGCAGTTTGCAGTCCTGAGGGACAATCAGCCGGGAGTCCCTGACAGGAGCTGCAGCACCTCAAGGATGCCTTCCACCAGGCGGGAGCCCGGAGCACTGCCACTGCCTTGACTTTGCTTTGCTACCACTTGCGAAATAGCAAAAGGCCTATTCCCAGTGTTAGACTGGTTCTGCGGCTCACAGGTTGGAAGCCGTGTCAGGGCTTTCGAGAGTCTACATAATGCCTCCCGAGGCGCTCAGCCTAGAACTGGTCTGCCTTTCACAACACTGAAAGTCCAGTCGATCCGCCGTGTCCAGCAGCCGAGAGAGTTGAAGAACTCATCTCGGCGTCTACCTCTTTCCAGAACTCCAAAGGCTTGCCCCGTCTTGGCACGGTCAGAGAGCAGTTGCGTGGGCTTCGGCTTCTACAGCTCTTTGCTGGTACTGCGGACCTGGTGCAGGCAACGGGAGCCGAGGGCTGCGCCGGTCTCGGAGGGCTGCTTATCGGTTTTCAAAGGTTTAAGGAGGCTCATGAGGCGCAATGCTTGCAAAGACAGATAGACAGAGAGAGAGAGGCAACCCTCTTCCACAGACCTGGCGAAAGAAAGAGTCTTTTCGCACTTCTGTGGATCAACTTCCATGGCTCACCTAGGCTTGGTATGATGTCCGAGATTTCTTCTGACTGCCTTTGTCTTCAAGATGTCGAGTTTTGGGAAACGGCATGGTTAAAACATGTGCGCATTAGCTTTCTTTGCACGGGTCTCTCGACATCTCGTTCTACAGTTCTCGTACCAAGCCTGCAATACGCGGTGGGCCAGAGCCGCATGTACCGCCATGTATTCCTGAGCATGTGTCATGTAAGAGCTGTTGTGAGTTAGTCGGGTCCTCAGCATGCGCTGTCTCCGGGAGTGTAGTCGTTCAGGTCCGCCAGTGTGTAAAGGGCTGAGTCGTGTTGCACAAGCTAGCTGGAAGCCGGAGCACAGCGAGCACCAATTTCGAGCACAACAGTTGAGTGTGGACAAGGGGCGAGGAGGGGGTTTAGGTTAAAGTACAGGGTCGGGGATACTCCAGTCCAAGCCCGCGCCTTGCTCCGATAGCTAAGTGTCACACAGACCTGTCAGACCAGAGCGCGCGCGGGCAGGGCCCGCCTTTCCATGGGCTGAGTGCTAATTCTATTTTCCGGTGCCTCCATCACGTTGAAACAACATATGGGGGACAAGTCTCAGAGGCTTAGCTCGATACCTTTTGAGCTTACCCTAAGATCTGCATTGCACGATCTGAGCGTTCTGAGCGATGGGGGGAACATTTGAGTATACCCTGCTCCACGTTCGTCATCGTGTGCATTAAGGCCTTAGCCAATGGAGAAGTTATACTCGTTTTTCATCACTCTCCTGCACAAAGAATGTGCGGGTGGGCTATGATGCCCGGGGTCTTGACCGACCCATATGCCCGGGAGAGAGAGAGAGGGAGAGAGAGAGAGAGAGAGAGATGGAGATGGGAGCCTTCTTTAAGGCCAACATGTCATTCCTTTGGCCACGCGCCTGCTGGAGCAGTACGGCGACCAGATTGCCGACAAGCCTCGCTCCTGAAGTCTGGATTTCCACAGCTGCTCAACAGCTCACCACATTAGGGTGTAGTTGATCAGGCTGCCGTTATCATAGATATTCGTTGGGAGATTGTGTATCGATTTGCAATCAATCAAATGGAAGGTCTCAGAATTCAATGCACTCATAAGATCAAAGTTTGTGCAAAAGCCTGAATGTACGGCAGAAATTTTTGATCTGAATGCATTTCAACACAAATGCCTTGGACGCATCCCAGGAAAACTTCAAACACTTCTAGACAGAGAGCACCAACTCACGGACACAAATGCGCCATGTCTATCACAGCACTGAAAAGCTAAGCTGAAGCTCTTCGGTCACATCCTTGAGATCATCAAGATCAGACCCGTTAAACCAGGTCGTATGTCATTCCGATAGCCTAAGGCCCGCAATGTTTTGACAAGAGACACATGCTGGCGCATAGAAGCAAACAGCAGGTTTATAGCAAATTTTGATCCATGTTGCGGCATCTTCAAACAGTCGAGCAGCAGGTTTTTGTAGGGCTAGATCTATTTTCGTTCCAGATGATGGCGCACGCAGGCTTCCAGCCTCCCCACATAATGCGAGAGGTAATCTCATGAAAGCTGACGTGGTGCTTTTGTTTGAGTTCGCAATGTGTGTATATGCTTCACGGCTTGACGATCAATCTACCTGGTTCTTTTGGGAGCTCACGGTGCTCGCTGCAAGAAAGACGGTGCTTCCGTGGTGCATTCTTCAAAGGTCCACCATGGCCAAGATGGTCGGTACCAACAAGGCCTACTCTATGGCAAGGCCCGGATGCCATTGTCCTCAGCCTGCGCCCCAAGCTGTCCTGTCGCAGTGCACCGCAGGACACCTGTTTTACGAAGCAAGCAGGGAGCATCTTGGAAGCAGGAAGCGAAGAGTCATTGCTCGAGGCCTCGGCGCCAACGCAAGTCTGGCAACTTCAACCTCGCAGGTCATGCCACATCCCACGCACCGCGTGGTCACAGATGACATCGGCTGGGGCCTGTGTGCTGGGAGCTCAGGGCCTTGAGGGCTCACATGATAGGGCCTATAGAGGATGCGCTTCCAAAGCTCTTCATTTCCAGAAGAGCACAGGGATCGTTACTCTGAAGGCCGAGCTTGTGGTGATCCCCGTTTCCATCCTTTATCCGTGTTCGGAGCCTGAATACTCGAATCTGGCAGCCTTCAAGGGTCTCAAAAAAGTCTTGCGCGGCCGTCAGCGACCGTCAGCATCCGTCAGGCAGTTTTGTTGCAACAGGACGAGTCCAGCGTCCCGTTCGGTTTTCATGCTCACTCTGCGATGTAAGTGGAACGTCGTGTCGTGCGAGCCAGAAAAGGTTGAGCTTAGGCTTGGACTTCTATTCGTAGACTCCGAAAGTCCGGGCCTGATGTTCGGAGTCGGGCTCCCTGCCGTTGAGGCTGTCATCCACCAGCATGGCCAACAGAACATAACAGAACCCGAAACGCCGAAGCTGTATCCCATGAAGCCCCTTCCAAGGGAGAACATTCAGCTCTCTTCTGTAGCGGTCACGAGGTCTTGGTGTCCATCGCCGAGCGCCTGCAGTGCCCCAGATGCGCAGTCAGGTAGTTTTGGCCAGGGCTTGGCAGTGCACAAGCCTCGTGCTCTGCAAGGGTCCTCGGCTTCCCGACTCCGACCACCATGATGCGGATGCTTATCGAGTGGCACCAGAAGCTCATGGGAAAGGACATCTGCTGCACTGCTGCTCCTCAGCCTCGCCGAAAGCCGGCTGTGCTGTCAGGAGTACCTCTACAACGGTCAGCTGCGCGGTCGAGACTGCACGGAGTTGGTGCTGCCTCTTGGTTCGAACAGTCCGGGGGCCTTGGGCTTTTGGCCTGTCAGCGTTTTCTCGGGGCAGTCCTCAGGCTGGGTCCCGGGGACGACCTTGTTCTCGTGGCCAAGGCCGCCTTTCTTATATGGTTTGCTTTCCAGGCTTGAAAGCTTTTCCTCTTCGCTGTTGGTTCCTTGCGGCGCCTTTAAGAGCCTCTCTCCGATTCCGATCGCCTTCACTGCAGGGAGTCGAAGGTGGCCGCTCGGACCATTGGATCTCCAACGCCGATGAGCAGGCCCGGTCCGGTCCGGCTGAGACCCGCGACCCGTTGCGACCCGTTTCTGAGGCCATGGAGCCGCGCTACGGCAATCCCTGAGAGAACAGAGGTGTCGGCTTGCGGATGCTTGCGGCTTGAAGCTCAGTGCTTCTTGCCCCAGGGCCCTGGTTTCCAAAGGATCAGCAATCCTTTTGTTAATTTGCCTCAGAGAACGTGACCCTGTCCGAGTCTGGCTCTAGACACGCCTGCAGAGTCCAAGGGGAGACATCTTCGAGCTGTGACACAGCTTAGGCTTAGGGACTGCGCAGTGCCGGGCCAGAAAGGAGTCGGAGCGGTGGAGGCAGTGCAAGACATCTCTTTCTCAGTGCCTCGACAGAGCTCTTCGAGGCTGTTAGGGGTCCCCCCAACTTCGGACACAAGCAGCGTCGAAGCACTGAGCCACGGACGTCCGTTCCCCTGTCCGGGGCCGGCGACAAGCTTGGGAAAGAGTTCGTTTTCATTGGCACAGGTGACAGCAACGTCGAGCTTCTACCATAGACCAGAGTCTTAGGGGAAAGGATGTCAGTGGACTGAGAGCCACGGGCGAGTGCCGCATGCGCGGTGCAGCTGTGTCCAAAGAGCACGACAGAGCCGGGTTCGCAGCGAGAGCGCCAGGTGGAAAGTCTGTTAAAAAAGCACTAATCACTAAACTCTCCCCCACAGAAGCAAACCTGCAAAGGGCGCCGAACCTCGAACCCTTCACTCGTTCCCCCACCGCTGCCGCAGAAAAACTTCTGCTACGGCACGTGTGGAAGTGAGCTGATGCGCAGCGGGTGCATGCATGGATGCACAAAGCAGTAGAGTGCTTCATGCTGAGATTGTGGCACTTCGAGTTTCTGAATATTGAGCCGGCCATTCAGCTCGGATTGTTGGCTTGGAGCAGTCGCCCGTGTTTGCCGCTTGGAGTAGCCGGGCAGGCCTGGGGCCTGGGTGGTTTGCCAGATCTTTGTGCGACGTACGGTCAGTTGACAGGCATCCAGGCATAGCCGCATCAGCGAAGGCCCATTGACATATCGTTGACCGCATGTCCTTGAGTGCAGATTTCATGCTTTCATCTTTCAGCAGCCTACGCCCTACGCCTGCAACTTGCCCTGCTCGATCTTTGCTCGAGGGGATCAGCAGTTTCATATTTACGTCTTCCCCGGAGCTCCTGGGACATCACAAGACAGTTGCAATTGCATGGCAGAGAGCACACTAGATGTTGGCCATTGCTAGGGCTTGTCTGTGTCTTGCTCGCTTCGTTAGTAGAACCCCTCTCTTCTCTTACGGGCCATGGCTGTGAACAGTGCGCCTCCCAGCGAAGAGCTCTTCGTGACCGGCTTGCCCTTGGATAGCACCAGCGAGATGGCAAAGCAGATCTTTAGCCAGTACGGCTCCGTGAAAGAGACCACGGTCCTTCCCGTCTCCCCAGGGAAGCAGGCCGCGGCTGGCTTCGTGGTGATGAACAGTGTCGAGGACGCCAGATGGATCGTGGAGCACGTCAATGGCAACGTCCCCCAAGGTGGAGCGGTCGGGCGCTCTACTATACAGTGCTACAGTCGCTTTGAGTCGCTTTAGATGTGTCTTACAATGTAATACGACTTCTACTTTTTCTATTTCTACTCCTGCCTCACTCCGCGTGTTTCTGAGCCGTCGCAGCTCGGAAGGCCTGGCGAACCCAGTGACCGTCGTCTTTGCGACTCCCAAGTCCATGCGCCCGGGCGGCGGTGGCAAGGGCGCCGCCATGAAGGGCATGATGAAGGGCATGAAAGGCTCCTGGGCGGCAGCTTTTCCGTTCCGTTCGTGAAGCCTTGTGTGTCATGTTTTTGTTTGCCGAGGCTCGGGCATGCCACCAGATATGATGCAAATGATGCAAATGTTCATGAGCGCCATGGGCGGCATGGGCGGCATGGGTGGTGGCAAGGGTGGCGGCTGGGGCAAAGGAGGAGGTGGGGCTCGGCCCCCCACAGGCAGTGTGATCCGACTCCAGGGCCTACCGTTCTCGGCATCGAACGACGAGATCCAGCAGTTCTTCGCAGGCTACGGGCTGACCGGACGAATGCACATACAGGCCGATGCAGGCGGCCGTCCCACAGGCATCGGATTCGTGGAGTTCGTCACACCGGAGGAGGCGAAGCGGGCCTACAACGAAAAGAACTACCAGACCATCGGTACCCGGTACATTGAGCTCATGGAAGCTTACGACAAAGATATTGAGATGTACCTGAATGGTGGTGCCGCAGTCATGAACGGTGGGGCCAGGGCATATTGAGGTATGATCCATTTCCTTCGGTGACTTAAGCAGGCTAACGGCTATCGGAACTCCAATGGCAGGCAGGTTGCAAGCCTGCGACATATGATGGGATGTCCTATGAGGGTCTTGAGGATGGGCTCGACTAGTGAGGGAGAGGTTGTTCAAATTAGTTCCTGTCAGAGTTTTGTGTGGACTGACTCGAACGAAGACGGATCACAGTATACCGTTTTTGAGCTAGGTAGCTGTTCGAGAGTGGTTCAGAATACCATGAGCCAGTCCTGCGTAGCCTACGAGCCGGAGACACAAATCTCCACGCACTGTGCCAAATGCAAAATGTCTGCACCAATTCATGCAGTCGCATCTTGTGCTGTAAGCAGAGTTTACGCGCGTGGCAAGAAACAGGGCCCCACCCAACGAGCCGCAACACTGCGAAGGCATCGAGGCCTTCGAGCAGACCAAGCTGCGGAACCATGGGACAGCATTAACTCATGCAGGCAGATGCCGATCTCAACGGCCGTTCAGAGAGTGGCTGCCGTGCAGCCACTGTCTGCATGGCCGCTCAGATCGGCATCGGCCTGCAGGAGTCTGTTCCGTCCAGGCAGCCGAAGGCCAGTCTTGCGGCAAGCTTCCCTTAAAGCCTGGCCGCGAGCCCTTTGGCAGGATGCGACGGTATGTGCCATAGGCTTCTCCGGACATGTGGTCTTGGCACGGTGCCAAGGTCGCACAGAGGATGTAGCAGAGAAGCCTGCAGTGTGTTGCTGACAGCAGTGCAGGAGAAGCATTCTCAGACCGGCTGTAGTCAACATAGTGGCATTGAGTTTGAGGTATGAGCCGCAACTCCTGAGAGGCGACCTTTTTTGGTCCTGGCCATCGAGGACCTGCACACACACACACACACATGCGCACAAGGATGTATCACGTCTTCAAGACGGTCAAGCTGAAGTTGTCGCAAGGTTCGGATCTTTTGATGCCTGCCTGTGCAGGCTTTTGCAGGAACTTCGCACTCTTTTTAACTTTTCCAGCAGCGACTACACTTTGGCATGCGTTCTCAGCAGGCATGTCGAGGACACGTACTAAAAGCTGATAACAGCAGCTTTTCTTTCCTGTGGCTGCTCGACCCGAGATCGGGGCAGTTCTTGTGCATTCTCTGTTTCAGGCAAAGTTGCTGCCGTCGTTCCGTCGATGTCCTCTCTCTTGCGGGCAAGGGGTGTTGCGGAACATACCAGTGTTGTTGCCTCTGCTGTCATGTCTCGCCTTGCGAGATGGCTGGTGCGATACAGAAAGTCTGACAGGGGGTTGTCAAACTGCGGAGAACTCCAAGCACCTTTCGTGCTCAGTTGCTATAGCCCTGCTGGCTCGCGAAGTCTTCAAGACGCGCATTGCAACGCAGGAAAACCGAAGACGCAGTGATATGCAGTGATGGAGTGGCAGTTGCAGGATTTTGGTCTTTGCAGCTCTGGATGGGCCGTTGGGCAGGTTTCGGTGAGAATTACATGTGGCGGTTCGGCTCGCGTTGTGCGGGAGCCCCCTGCACTAGCGCCCCGAGGCGCTGAAGGCTCTGGGCAGTTGGATGCAGGGTGTCTAGTGGCATGTCGTTCGCAGACAGAAACTCTCGTTCAGGGCCTAGCGCGATGGGCAACACCTGCTGTCTGGGGCGAGAGAAGCCGCCGGCGCCACCAGCGGCGCGAGCAGAGAGCGAGGCAAGAAAGGGCTTTGCAGCTGTGCGGTGGGCGGGCCCATGCACCGCAGCCGCTCCAGGCCGTGGTGCTGCTGCGGCGGCGTGCGCAGCAGTCGCAGAAGCCTTGGCAGACTCTTCTTGTTCTGGCTTGCGGCTGGGAGCAAGCTAGGGCTTGCAAACTCTTGCAGTGCCGAGGCTGGCAGCAAAGGATGAGGCTTGTGGCCACCAGGCGAAGACTGCTCAAGACGGGCCAGTGGAAGCAGTGGCCCGGGACCCAGTTGTGCACAAGGCATGAGAAACTCGAGCGGCACTTCTTTCTGTCTGAAGGAGAAGCCTCAGCAGAAGCCTTGGCGACTTTTCTTGTCTGCTGCTTCTTGCTGGGCGCGTCTGCCAAAGCAGCGCTGAGGCTGGACTCCAAAGTGGACGCTTCTGCCGTGTGCCACGGCAAGACCGGGCAGCGTGACAGGGCAGTGGGTCCTGTGGCCCGGGGCCCAGAGGCGTGTGCAGCGGCTTTAAGAACTCGAGTGGAGGGGTCCGTTATTTTTGCTTGCGAGAGGAAGCTGTGAAGGAGGAGATTACACAAGAAGCCCTCGACAAGGCCTTCGACACGAAGGCCCGGCCCCATATGCTACGCTCCTCTGTCTGAGCTCCAGCCGCGAGGTTCGCTTCTTCGTCCGGGGCCTTCAAACTAAAGGTCAGGCTGGCGGAGACGAGCGAGAGTGGGCTGCCTGCGGCGACGCGGGCAGTCTGAAACCAGAGATGATTTCCTGCCAGAGTTTCGGCTCGCTTCAGAATTCCCTTCTCAGTTGTGGGCAGTTGGGAAATGCGGTGTGGCACGATAATCGGGAGCCTCCATGCATGCGTCCTGCTGCTAAGGAAGGGAGAAAAGGCAGGCAACTCTTCGTGCGCGGTTTACTGTGACTGATGTGACTTGCTCCTGCTTCTGGCTCTATGGCGCAGGCATCATCGAATGGTCCGAACCAGGACAACTTCTGTTTGTCCGTTTTCAAGAACGGCTACACCTTTGCGTGTGTCCTCGATGGCCACGGCAAGAAGGGCCGCCTGCCCGGCACGAGTATGCACGGGTCGCGGGTGAGCTTCGTCCCATGCCCTGTGGCCTAGTTCTTCCGAGGCCACCTAGCGGCGACGAGAGCTGCACAACTCATCCCCTTCCTGCTTCTGGAGCAGGGAATTGGCGACGAACGCGTGGCAGAGGCCGCGATTGAGAAGGCCGGTTTCCTCGGGCATCAGACCAGACATTCGGGTATGGGTGTGCCACGAACTAGCTTCAGAAGAAAACACCCCGAGCCCCACCGGGTGAGTAATGCTGCGAAGGCATTGATCCAGGCCTTCGAGAAGGCGAAGCTGCGAAGCTGCTGTCTCTTCTGGCAATTGAGGGGGAACAGACTCCTGCAGGCCGATGCCGATCTGAGCCGCCATGCAGACAGCGGCTGCACGGTGTGTCGGCTGCACATCGGAGCCCTGAAGCACAGTCTCAAGACTTCACGAATCACCTTGTGCTTCTGGCGCAGTGCATCGTTTAATGAGATCGCACCTGACTGTGACTGCCTGCGAGGCGGTGGCGGCCCTGTGGAAGGGCAGTAGTGTCTGGGTAGCCAACGCTGGTGACAGCCGCTGCGTCCTCTTGGAGGTCGCACTCCCAGTCTTTCTCCACTCAACGACTTGTCAAGCTTCATGCTGGCCCTTTAGCAAACATGCATCCGCATCCGACATGTGCCATGGCGTCTCAGGACAATCAGGTGGTCTTTGCTACCTCGGACCACAAGCCAAGCTGGGCCGAGGCCCTTGCCCATAGCAGAGTCCGAGTGCTCTTTTTCCATCTGGTGACAGGAAAAGGCTCGCGTGGAGGGCAGCGGGGGCGAGGTGCGCGTGGAGGCCGGAGATGGAACAACGCGAAGCGACAGCCCTGTGTTATGCGGGTGAGAGTCTCTCACGATCCGCGAGTTCGCCCGAGGAGCAGGTGCCGCGCGTGTATGCAGCCGGCCAGCGCGGGCCGGGACTGGGCGTGACGCGGGCGCTGGGCGACGCCGCTGCCAAGTGCTGTGGAATTATCGCCACACCACAGGCTTGCCAAGAGTTCTCGGGGAACCTAGTCCTTTTCTGATTCTCGTTTGGAAGGTGCACTATCTTCGCCTCGATACGAGCAAACAGGCCACCCACAACGCGTGTCGGGGTGACACTGTGCCGTGTGCGTGCGTGCTCATCTGCCTAGTTGGGAAAGCATGTGCCCACAAGTGCACGGCACGAGGCGAAAGCCGTGTTGGCGAGCGACGGCAGTGACCTCGACCTTTGTGATCCGACTGCCTCAACGGCTGCTAATCCTGCTTTGCAGTCTGAGGCATCTGGGAGGTGGTGGGGCAAAAGGACTTGCCCTCTCTGGTGCTGGACGGCGCCCCCTGGCTGATCAGGGTGCTTGTACGGTGAAGACGTCTCGGAAGCATCACGTTTGCCGGCCAACACTCCGGAGGCAGACACTGCCAAGCTGCAGTCAGCCGCGTTTGAGGGTTGGGCCTCGCTGACAGGTCAGGCACTCAGGTCGCTGAAACTTCCTCCAAGATTCGAGCTGTGCCTTTGCGGTCTCTTGCTGTCCAAGACAGGAGGCGGCTACCGTGCAGGCACCTTAGAAGGGCGGTGAGTGGCATGGCAGTGACATGGCCGGAAGTGGCAGCGAGTTGCACCCGGAGCTCAGGATGATGTTACGAGCATCGTGATTCCGCTGGGCTGCTAAGCAGCGCTGCGGTCGATTCATCGGCTGCGAAGCAGCAGTGTTACAGTGTTACAGTCCGTGATGGACGCGACGTGCTGTTAAGCAGCCGTCCCATTTAGAGCAGTCGCGGCCCACCGAGACGTTTCTCAGCGAACAGGACGGCAGGTGCCATGTGTACAGGATTGTCCTGTGCTCAGAGCCACCCGACTGAGCACCCTCTAGCTCAATCTGCAAATCTTTGAAGCAGTCCAAAGGATTCCCATTCAGGAGGATGTCGAAAAAGCACAGGATCCAGTCGTCAATCTCCGCACAGGACTAGCCGGCCGACGTTCGCGTGGCCGCCGAAATTAACGCAGGCCTTCCGAGAACAGCCGTGGCATGAGTGGAAAAGAAACCCGTGTGACCCGAAGTTCAGAAGGATGCCGATTGAGGATCCAGTACGTTGTGCTAGCTTCTGGACTTCCGGACGGGATCCGGGCTTGCGGTGTCGGTGGCACCACATCGCGGGAAAAGGGTGTCGCAGAACATGGCAGTGTTGTTGTATGGTGTTTGTGTTGTTGCATGGTGTTTCATGTGATGTCGCTTTGTAGTGCTTTGAAACACAAAAACTATGCACGCAAAGGCAACAGGAATCACTCGATAGTAGAGGGGTTGTGGAAGTATTGTAGGCAGATGATATCCTCGTCTTTGGAGCCAACCTAGTTGTATCCACGTTCTTGTGCAGGCAACCGACCTGCATTCCGACCACTACTTGTATGGGTTAAAGCTCAAGTATGACAGACATGTTGTACGCCATTGTACGCCTTACGGCCAATCAAAGAGTCTCATCTTTCCGATTTTTGAAGACAGGCACTGCAAACGGCACGCTCGTGCCAAGCAAACATGCAGCAGTCCATCGGAAGTTTGTTGACTGGTTCATGCGACAACTATGCAGAAGTGTTTGACAGACTTCAGGATAGTACAGTATAGCTGTTCTTTCAACAAGCCAGAACATCATTTCCTTGGAAACTTCACGTACTCAATGCAGTTGTTAGGTCGAAGCTTCTGTATGGTGGTGAGTGCATGCTGCGTACTCAGATGGAAATGTATTTTCAAAGTCTCCGACGTATTCTAATAATCACACCAACATTCATTGACTGTCAAGCTACGCATCAAAGTATGTACAACGATATCCGGGATGCACACGGATGGGTGACACATCGAAGAAAGCCAAGATGAAGCTGTTCGTACATGGTCTGCTTGCAGTCTACCTGACTCCATAAGTCAACTCTGTCTTGGTGTAGACAAGCTCCGCCCCAAACAAGTACATGCCAGATGCGCTGTGCGACGTAGAATGGACTGGGTATGACTGGGTAGCTGGATCTTGCGACGATGCCGTTGAAGTCATTGCCGGTCCTGGGGCAGTTTGCGATGTGCACCATATAGCCCCGCCAGCACTGTCAAGATCGCCGCCTTTCAAGTGAATCATTCCAGGCTTCGGCCTTGCTTGTGGCCGGTTGGGCAGGTTTCGGTGAGATTTACATGTGGCGGTTCGGCTCGCGTTGTGCGGGAGCCCCCTGCACTAGCGCCCCGAGGCGCTGAAGGCTCCGGGCAGTTGGATGCAGGGTGTCTAGTGGCATGTCGTTCGCAGACAGAAACTCTCGTTCAGGGCCTAGCGCGATGGGCAACACCTGCTGTCTGGGGCGAGAGAAGCCGCCGGCGCCACCAGCGGCGCGAGCAGAGAGCGAGGCAAGAAATGGCTTTGCAGCTGTGCGGTGGGCGGGCCCATGCGCCGCAGCCGCTCCAGGCCGTGGTGCTGCTGCGGCGGCGTGCGCAGCAGTCGCAGAAGCCTTGGCAGACTCTTCTTGTTCTGGCTTGCGGCTGGGAGCAAGCTAGGGCTTGCAAACTCTTGCAGTGCCGAGGCTGGCCGCAAAGGATGAGGCTTGTGGCCACCAGGCGAAGACTGCTCAAGACGGGCCAGTGGAAGCAGTGGCCCGGGACCCAGTTGTGCACAAGGCATGAGAAACTCGAGCGGCACTTCTTTCTGTCTGAAGGAGAAGCCTCAGCAGAAGCCTTGGCGACTTTTCTTGTCTGCTGCTTCTTGCTGGGCGCGTCTGCCAAAGCAGCGCTGAGGCTGGACTCCAAAGTGGACGCTTCTGCCGTGTGCCACGGCAAGACCGGGCAGCGTGACAGGGCAGTGGGTCCTGTGGCCCGGGGCCCAGAGGCGTGTGCAGCGGCGAGTGGAGGGGTCCGTTATTTTTGCTTGCGAGAGGAAGCTGTGAAGGAGGAGATTACACAAGAAGCCCTCGACAAGGCCTTCGACACGAAGGCCCGGCCCCATATGCTACGCTCCTCTGTCTGAGCTCCAGCCGCGAGGTTCGCTTCTTCGTCCGGGGCGTTCAAACTAAAGGTCAGGCTGGCGGAGACGAGCGAGAGTGGGCTGCCTGCGGCGACGCGGGCAGTCTGAAACCAGAGATGATTTCCTGCCAGAGTTTCGGCTCGCTTCAGAATTCCCTTCTCAGTTGTGGGCAGTTGGGAAATGCGGTGTGGCACGATAATCGGGAGCCTCCATGCATGCGTCCTGCTGCTAAGGAAGGGAGAAAAGGCAGGCAACTCTTCGTGCGCGGTTTACTGTGACTGATGTGACTTGCTCCTGCTTCTGGCTCTATGGCGCAGGCATCATCGAATGGTCCGAACCAGGACAACTTCTGTTTGTCCGTTTTCAAGAACGGCTACACCTTTGCGTGTGTCCTCGATGGCCACGGCAAGAAGGGCCGCTTGCCCGGCACGAATATGCACGGGTCGCGGGTGAGCTTCGTCCCATGCCCTGTGGCCTAGTTCTTCCGAGGCCACCTAGCGGCGACGAGAGCTGCACAACTCATCCCCTTCCTGCTTCTGGAGCAGGGAATTGGCGACGAACGCGTGGCAGAGGCCGCGATTGAGAAGGCCGGTTTCCTCCGGCATCAGACCAGACATTCGGGTATGGGTGTGCCACGAACTAGCTTCAGAAGAAAACACCCCGAGCCCCACCGGGTGAGTAATGCTGCGAAGGCATTGATCCAGGCCTTCGAGAAGGCGAAGCTGCGAAGCTGCTGTCTCTTCTGGCACTTGAGGGGGAACAGACTCCTGCAGGCCGATGCCGATCTGAGCCGCCATGCAGACAGCGGCTGCACGGTGTGTCGGCTGCACATCGGAGCCCTGAAGCACAGTCTCAAGACTTCACGAATCACCTTGTGCTTCTGGCGCAGTGCATCGTTTAATGAGATCGCACCTGACTGTGACTGCCTGCGAGGCGGTGGCGGCCCTGTGGAAGGGCAGTAGTGTCTGGATAGCCAACGCTGGTGACAGCCGCTGCGTCCTCTTGGAGGTCGCACTCCCAGTCTTTCTTCACTCAACGACTTGTCAAGCTTCATGCTGGCCCTTTAGCAAACATGCATCCGCATCCGACATGTGCCATGGCGTCTCAGGACAATCAGGTGGTCTTTGCTACCTCGGACCACAAGCCAAGCTGGGCCGAGGCCTTTGCCCATAGCAGAGTCCGAGTGCTCTTTTTCCATCTGGTGACAGGAAAAGGCTCGCGTGGAGGGCAGCGGGGGCGAGGTGCGCGTGGAGGCCGGAGATGGAACAACGAGAAGCGACAGCCCTGTGTTATGCGGGTGAGAGTTTCTCACGATCCGCGAGTTCGCCCCAGGAGCAGGTGCCGCGCGTGTATGCAGCCGGCCAGCGCGGGCCGGGACTGGGGGTGACGCGGGCGCTGGGCGACGCCGCTGCCAAGTGCTGTGGAATTATCGCCACGCCACAGGCTTGCCAAGAGTTCTCGGGGAACCTAGTCCTTTTCTGATTCTCGTTTGGAAGGTGCACTATCTTCGCCTCGACACGAGCAAACAGGCCACCCACAACGCGTGTCGGGGTGACACTGTGCCTTGTGCGTGCGTGCTCATCTGCCTAGTTGGGAAAGCATGTGCCCACAAGTGCACGGCACGAGGCGAAAGCCGTGTTGGCGAGCGACGGCAGTGACCTCGACCTTTGTGATCCGACTGCCTCAACGGCTGCTAATCCTGCTTTGCAGTCTGAGGCATCTGGGAGGTGGTGGGGCAAAAGGACTTGCCCTCTCTGGTGCTGGACGGCGCCCCCTGGCTGATCAGGGTGCTTGTACGGTGAAGACGTCTCGGAAGCATCACGTTTGCCGGCCAACACTCCGGAGGCAGACACTGCCAAGCTGCAGTCAGCCGCGTTTGAGGGTTGGGCCTCGCTGACAGGTCAGGCACTCAGGTCGCTGAAACTTCCTCCAAGATTCGAGCTGTGCCTTTGCGGTCTCTTGCTGTCCAAGACAGGAGGCGGCTACCGTGCAGGCACCTTAGAAGGGCGGTGAGTGGCATGGCAGTGACATGGCCGGAAGTGGCAGCGAGTTGCACCCGGAGCTCAGGATGATGTTACGAGCATCGTGATTCCGCTGGGCTGCTAAGCAGCGCTGCGGTCGATTCATCGGCTGCGAAGCAGCAGTGTTACAGTGTTACAGTCCGTGATGGACGCGACGTGCTGTTAAGCAGCCGTCCCATTTAGAGCAGTCGCGGCCCACCGAGACGTTTCTCAGCGAACAGGACGGCAGGTGCCATGTGTACAGGATTGTCCTGTGCTCAGAGCCACCCGACTGAGCACCCTCTAGCTCAATCTGCAAATCTTTGAAGCAGTCCAAAGGATTCCCATTCAGGAGGATGTCGAAAAAGCACAGGATCCAGTCGTCAATCTCCGCACAGGACTAGCCGGCCGACGTTCGCGTGGCCGCCGAAATTAACGCAGGCCTTCCGAGAACAGCCGTGGCATGAGTGGAAAAGAAACCCGTGTGACCCGAAGTTCAGAAGGATGCCGATTGAGGATCCAGTACGTTGTGCTAGCTTCTGGACTTCCGGACGAGATCCGGGCTTGCGGTGTCGGTGGCACCACATCGCGGGAAAAGGGTGTCGCAGAACATGGCAGTGTTGTTGTATGGTGTTTGTGTTGTTGCATGGTGTTTCATGTGATGTCGCTTTGTAGTGCTTTGAAACACAAAAACTATGCACGCAAAGGCAACAGGAATCACTCGATAGTAGAGGGGTTGTGGAAGTATTGTAGGCAGATGATATCCTCGTCTTTGGAGCCAACCTAGTTGTATCCACGTTCTTGTGCAGGCAACCGACCTGCATTCCGACCACTACTTGTATGGGTTAAAGCTCAAGTATGACAGACATGTTGTACGCCATTGTACGCCTTACGGCCAATCAAAGAGTCTCATCTTTCCGATTTTTGAAGACAGGCACTGCAAACGGCACGCTCGTGCCAAGCAAACATGCAGCAGTCCATCGGAAGTTTGTTGACTGGTTCATGCGACAACTATGCAGAAGTGTTTGACAGACTTCAGGATAGTACAGTATAGCTGTTCTTTCAACAAGCCAGAACATCATTTCCTTGGAAACTTCACGTACTCAATGCAGTTGTTAGGTCGAAGCTTCTGTATGGTGGTGAGTGCATGCTGCGTACTCAGATGGAAATGTATTTTCAAAGTCTCCGACGTATTCTAATAATCACACCAACATTCATTGACTGTCAAGCTACGCATCAAAGTATGTACAACGATATCCGGGATGCACACGGATGGGTGACACATCGAAGAAAGCCAAGATGAAGCTGTTCGTACATGGTCTGCTTGCAGTCTACCTGACTCCATAAGTCAACTCTGTCTTGGTGTAGACAAGCTCCGCCCCAAACAAGTACATGCCAGATGCGCTGTGCGACCTAGAATGGACTGGGTATGACTGGGTAGCTGGATCTTGCGACGATGCCGTTGAAGTCATTGCCGGTCCTGGGGCAGTTTGCGATGTGCACCATATAGCCCCGCCAGCACTGTCAAGATCGCCGCCTTTCAAGTGAATCATTCCAGGCTTCGGCCTTGCTTGTGGCCGGTTGGGCAGGTTTCGGTGAGATTTACATGTGGCGGTTCGGCTCGCGTTGTGCGGGAGCCCCCTGCACTAGCGCCCCGAGGCGCTGAAGGCTCCGGGCAGTTGGATGCAGGGTGTCTAGTGGCATGTCGTTCGCAGACAGAAACTCTCGTTCAGGGCCTAGCGCGATGGGCAACACCTGCTGTCTGGGGCGAGAGAAGCCGCCGGCGCCACCAGCGGCGCGAGCAGAGAGCGAGGCAAGAAATGGCTTTGCAGCTGTGCGGTGGGCGGGCCCATGCGCCGCAGCCGCTCCAGGCCGTGGTGCTGCTGCGGCGGCGTGCGCAGCAGTCGCAGAAGCCTTGGCAGACTCTTCTTGTTCTGGCTTGCGGCTGGGAGCAAGCTAGGGCTTGCAAACTCTTGCAGTGCCGAGGCTGGCCGCAAAGGATGAGGCTTGTGGCCACCAGGCGAAGACTGCTCAAGACGGGCCAGTGGAAGCAGTGGCCCGGGACCCAGTTGTGCACAAGGCATGAGAAACTCGAGCGGCACTTCTTTCTGTCTGAAGGAGAAGCCTCAGCAGAAGCCTTGGCGACTTTTCTTGTCTGCTGCTTCTTGCTGGGCGCGTCTGCCAAAGCAGCGCTGAGGCTGGACTCCAAAGTGGACGCTTCTGCCGTGTGCCACGGCAAGACCGGGCAGCGTGACAGGGCAGTGGGTCCTGTGGCCCGGGGCCCAGAGGCGTGTGCAGCGGCTTTAAGAACTCGAGTGGAGGGGTCCGTTATTCTTGCTTGCGAGAGGAAGCTGTGAAGGAGGAGATTACACAAGAAGCCCTCGACAAGGCCTTCGACACGAAGGCCCGGCCCCATATGCTACGCTCCTCTGTCTGAGCTCCAGCCGCGAGGTTCGCTTCTTCGTCCGGGGCCTTCAAACTAAAGGTCAGGCTGGCGGAGACGAGCGAGAGTGGGCTGCCTGCGGCGACGCGGGCAGTCTGAAACCAGAGATGATTTCCTGCCAGAGTTTCGGCTCGCTTCAGAATTCCCTTCTCAGTTGTGGGCAGTTGGGAAATGCGGTGTGGCACGATAATCGGGAGCCTCCATGCATGCGTCCTGCTGCTAAGGAAGGGAGAAAAGGCAGGCAACTCTTCGTGCGCGGTTTACTGTGACTGATGTGACTTGCTCCTGCTTCTGGCTCTATGGCGCAGGCATCATCGAATGGTCCGAACCAGGACAACTTCTGTTTGTCCGTTTTCAAGAACGGCTACACCTTTGCGTGTGTCCTCGATGGCCACGGCAAGAAGGGCCGCCTGCCCGGCACGAGTATGCACGGGTCGCGGGTGAGCTTCGTCCCATGCCCTGTGGCCTAGTTCTTCCGAGGCCACCTAGCGGCGACGAGAGCTGCACAACTCATCCCCTTCCTGCTTCTGGAGCAGGGAATTGGCGACGAACGCGTGGCAGAGGCCGCGATTGAGAAGGCCGGTTTCCTCGGGCATCAGACCAGACATTCGGGTATGGGTGTGCCACGAACTAGCTTCAGAAGAAAACACCCCGAGCCCCACCGGGTGAGTAATGCTGCGAAGGCATTGATCCAGGCCTTCGAGAAGGCGAAGCTGCGAAGCTGCTGTCTCTTCTGGCACTTGAGGGGGAACAGACTCCTGCAGGCCGATGCCGATCTGAGCCGCCATGCAGACAGCGGCTGCACGGTGTGTCGGCTGCACATCGGAGCCCTGAAGCACAGTCTCAAGACTTCACGAATCACCTTGTGCTTCTGGCGCAGTGCATCGTTTAATGAGATCGCACCTGACTGTGACTGCCTGCGAGGCGGTGGCGGCCCTGTGGAAGGGCAGTAGTGTCTGGGTAGCCAACGCTGGTGACAGCCGCTGCGTCCTCTTGGAGGTCGCACTCCCAGTCTTTCTCCACTCAACGACTTGTCAAGCTTCATGCTGGCCCTTTAGCAAACATGCATCCGCATCCGACATGTGCCATGGCGTCTCAGGACAATCAGGTGGTCTTTGCTACCTCGGACCACAAGCCAAGCTGGGCCGAGGCCTTTGCCCATAGCAGAGTCCGAGTGCTCTTTTTCCATCTGGTGACAGGAAAAGGCTCGCGTGGAGGGCAGCGGGGGCGAGGTGCGCGTGGAGGCCGGAGATGGAACAACGCGAAGCGACAGCCCTGTGTTATGCGGGTGAGAGTCTCTCACGATCCGCGAGTTCGCCCGAGGAGCAGGTGCCGCGCGTGTATGCAGCCGGCCAGCGTGGGCCGGGACTGGGCGTGACGCGGGCGCTGGGCGACGCCGCTGCCAAGTGCTGTGGAATTATCGCCACACCACAGGCTTGCCAAGAGTTCTCGGGGAACCTAGTCCTTTTCTGATTCTCGTTTGGAAGGTGCACTATCTTCGCCTCGACACGAGCAAACAGGCCACCCACAACGCGTGTCGGGGTGACACTGTGCCTTGTGCGTGCGTGCTCATCTGCCTAGTTGGGAAAGCATGTGCCCACAAGTGCACGGCACGAGGCGAAAGCCGTGTTGGCGAGCGACGGCAGTGACCTCGACCTTTGTGATCCGACTGCCTCAACGGCTGCTAATCCTGCTTTGCAGTCTGAGGCATCTGGGAGGTGGTGGGGCAAAAGGACTTGCCCTCTCTGGTGCTGGACGGCGCCCCCTGGCTGATCAGGGTGCTTGTACGGTGAAGACGTCTCGGAAGCATCACGTTTGCCGGCCAACACTCCGGAGGCAGACACTGCCAAGCTGCAGTCAGCCGCGTTTGAGGGTTGGGCCTCGCTGACAGGTCAGGCACTCAGGTCGCTGAAACTTCCTCCAAGATTCGAGCTGTGCCTTTGCGGTCTCTTGCTGTCCAAGACAGGAGGCGGCTACCGTGCAGGCACCTTAGAAGGGCGGTGAGTGGCATGGCAGTGACATGGCCGGAAGTGGCAGCGAGTTGCACCCGGAGCTCAGGATGATGTTACGAGCATCGTGATTCCGCTGGGCTGCTAAGCAGCGCTGCGGTCGATTCATCGGCTGCGAAGCAGCAGTGTTACAGTGTTACAGTCCGTGATGGACGCGACGTGCTGTTAAGCAGCCGTCCCATTTAGAGCAGTCGCGGCCCACCGAGACGTTTCTCAGCGAACAGGACGGCAGGTGCCATGTGTACAGGATTGTCCTGTGCTCAGAGCCACCCGACTGAGCACCCTCTAGCTCAATCTGCAAATCTTTGAAGCAGTCCAAAGGATTCCCATTCAGGAGGATGTCGAAAAAGCACAGGATCCAGTCGTCAATCTCCGCACAGGACTAGCCGGCCGACGTTCGCGTGGCCGCCGAAATTAACGCAGGCCTTCCGAGAACAGCCGTGGCATGAGTGGAAAAGAAACCCGTGTGACCCGAACCTCGCCGCATGATGCCAAAGTCTGCTAGAGCAGCTTTGACTTGAGGCAGTTGTCCAGGTGTGCTCAGTTTCAGTCCACATTTCTCCGCACAATCTGGCCCGCAGCGTCGAACAGCAAGAGAAGCACCGGCGCAAGCGTTGAGAGTCGCATCGTATCCTGAGACGTTGCATGCAGTGCATTGTACAGCGAGTCTCCAGGCTTTTGTAGCTAGAAAAGCCAAGAGCAGGCCACCCGGAACCCAGCCAAGAGTCATGACATTTGACACGAACTCTTTCCCCAACATGTGCAACACGATGCGAGCCGTGATGTGTTCGTCGCAGGCCGGTACTCCGATACGAGTCTGAGAGTCTAGACTAGTGCCCCCTCTCGGGCCTCAGGTTCTGCAGGCGGTGCGGTGCAGTGTGGGGATTTCGTAGAGCTGAAGATCGGAGTGGGAGTCACTTGCAGAAAGTTGTTGCCCTCTGTGGAGGCAGCCCGTGTGGAGCATGCTTAGAGCGAGGCGTGGAGCTCAGTGGGGAATGCCGACGCTCACAACTGAAAGAAGGGTGTCTGCCATCTGCCAGCGCCAGACTTTCTTCGCTCTGTTCTCTCACAACAGGCGATCGTTTTTCTGGGCCACAAGATGATCAATTTCTTCGGCTGGAATGGAGGCCTTTGAGTCTTGCGACCCCAACGCCTAAGCGGACCCAAGCCCTGCATTTCAATTTCTGATGGAGTCCTTGTTGTGTTGCTTTTGCAAGTGTGCGCGCTTGCAGGGACCACGGCACCCTCCAAAGTCAGGCGGGATATGAGTCCAGGCTGCTTCCGGTGGTTGAAGGCTTCTCGTGCATGTGACGCTCTTGGCGCTTTCGGCTCTGTAGAGTTTAGGGCTGCAGGCAAGAGCGTCAATCACAACACAACAGTCGACTTCAGTGCTTCGCCTGTTGCAAGGCCGCCGAGCCCCAACGATGCTGAGGCACAAGTCGCTAAAACGATTGAGGTTGATGTTCACATTTGTGCCAACAAAAGGTATATAAAGGAAAAGCATAGACTTAGACAAGGCTCATAAATAATTGTACACCTACATATTGGATATCTACAGCACATAATTATAATCATACATCTAAATAACACGGTATTCAACAATCTGTATATAGAATGACACAAGACGATATTATGTAATACAACATATATATATATATATACATATGTACATATGTATGTATGTATATATATATATATATTCACATTTACATACCATAACAGAGCGGCTATTGTATTACTGAACAAATATGACAAGTAGTAATGCAATATGTAATACACGTTAATATAGTATACCATAATGTAATATAAGTAAGTATGAGAGAATATGATGTAAGGTACTATATTTTGACAAAGCATGGCATACAATAAATAATAAGCACACAATTAGGCATATACATAGGCATAGACATAGGAATAGACATAGGCATAGACATAGGCATAGACATACACATATACATGTGTGTGTATATATATATATATATATACATGTGCATGTGTCTGTGCACATGCCTGTGCATCCGTGTCTATGTGGGTGCATCAGCTTGTAAGCATACACATATATCTAAATGTGTGTGTGTGTGTGTGTGTTTGCGCATGTACATATATATATATATATATGTATATGTGCACATACCTATGGTGTGTGTATGTATGTACGTATGTATGTATGGACGGACGGACGGACGCATGGATGGATGGATGCCTGTCTGTATATCTGTACGTCGGCATGTCTGTATGTCTGTACGTCTGCATGTCCGCATGTCTGTATGTATGCATGTATATCTTGTATTTCTCTATGTATATGTATATGCATATGCATGTGTATATGTGGATGTTTATGTACGTATGTATGCATGCATGCATGTACGTATGTGTATATTCACCCTACATTTCAATCATGTATTTGTCTACCTATCTATCTAACAGTCCCCCTCTCTCTGTCTACCTGTCTGTCTATGTATGAATATTTGTATGTATGTGCGTATGTAGGTGTGTAAGTATGTACGTATGCATGTACGTATGTACGCATGTCATACGTACATACGTACCTGCATAGCATGGATGTATGTATGCATGCGTGCATGTATATATCTATGGATGTACGTGTGTGTGTGTAACCCCCTGAGAGCAAAGGGAGAAGTTTCTCATTGATAAAAGCAGGGGGACTGCCTGATCTGTAGCAGTGACAGTCCAACGAAGAGGCTGTTACAGATCACTGATATGAGCTGGGGACGCCTGGCTCACGTACCTGCAAGTGTTTGCAAGTGACGCTGGCGAGGGGCTAAGCCAAGAACCCCTACAGGACCCTTGCTGTACATTGATTGTGCAGTGCACTACTGAGATGAAGTTGTAACCATGTGCTAACTACTCCCACCATGGAGTTTGCAAGTGTGTGTGTGTGTGTGTGTGTGCGCTGTGTGTGCGTGTGTTCGAGTGCATGCCTCCGCATGGACAGGTGCATACACATACTTTTTTTCACTTTCCACGTGGCAGAGTCTGTACTCAGCTAACGAAAAGTATGGGGATCAAGCTTTCAGCCCGGCCCATTGCTGCACGGATGTGCAATCCTGTCCCCGGCACGAATGCCCACAGCAGGACACGACTACAGGCACTTACAATAGCAGAATAAATAAGCATCACGGCACATGTCGTGGACCCGAGCAGGCGAGATACGGCGAGCCCGAGTGCTATCGTCAGCAAAGTACACAGCTTCACTATCATCGGTATCATAGAGCAAAGCCTGGTAGTGGCCCTGGAAGGGAACGCTCCCTTTGTGCAAGACCACTGCTGTAAGCTGATAGAGCACTGGCCTAACTCCAAGTCCGTCTCGAAACACAGGAACATCAATGAACCGACTGGGAATCACGCGATGTCTCCGCTTGGTAGTCCTTCCCGTCTCGGAGTCAAGGTAAAATCGCCCTACCTGCAAAATGAAAGCCTTGGCAGGAGTCAGCATGGCATGCTTACAATCCTGATTCTGCCACTGCTCCACAACTCGTTGGTCAGCCCATCATCATTCTCCGGCCACCCCGTCGGAGGTTGCAACAGCAACGGAATTGACTCCCCACCATCCGCAGTTTGTGCCTGGCCTCCTTCATCTAAGTACCGAGCTTGCCAAGTTATAGCAACGTCCTCAGGCACAAACCACCTACGGTCACTAACAAACTGCAGGAACTCCGCCGCATCGTGTTGTCGTAGCGGCTCACCCCAGTCTTGCAGCATGCGTACCCATGTGGGAGATTGCCAGAGATGCACGATATCACACGTAACAACCCGCTCAAACCACTGAATGAACTCAACCGCCTCAGCCCTGAAGAAGCTCTTCCCATCCCCCAAGTGAAAAGCCACATGGCACAGGCACTTCAGTATCACGTTCATGTAACAGAAGTTGCCCTCGTTTCCAAGCCTCGCCAGCACCATAGGGTTAGGCTCTTGAGGCGGGTTGCGAAGGCCCCCAACTTGAGGTGCTCGTGCCGCAGGAAGCAGCCGGCTGCCGTCCAAACCGCATTCTGACTCAGGAGATGGAGTCTCTTCCATACAAGCTGAACCTCTTCGATCCTTCCCCCCACTTCCACCATCATTGCCAGCGTAGGCGAGCTGTAGGTCTCGGACATCTGCCGCGTCGCGTGGTATCTGTGGATCACCATCGGCTTCGCACTCAGCTTGAGGAGCTCGTCCAGGGCCTCCTTGATCTCTTCCGGGCGCAAGCTCGGGAGGCCGGGGTCCTTCTCGTGCTTCATCGTCTCCGCATTCCATCCCAGGCCGTAGACCGCATCGCCCGTAGGTGAGATCCATCCCAGTCCCTCCGCCATTGACCTGGAAGACGGGGAGGCCATCATGGCCTCGAACTTCTGCTTGACCGTCACCAACAAGTGTTGGAACAGCACTACCCGCATGGGCTGGCTGAGCTTCTCCGGCGTGTTCTGCTTCATCTGATGCCACGCCATCCCCACTTGATAAGTGGAGTGAGCCAGGCTGTCCGGCGTGGTGGTCTGGATGAACACCATGAATCCCGAGTTGAGCCGGCATATGTTCTGCTGAATTTCGTGTCGGATGACAAGTGTTGTAATAGCTGGCTGATTGTCCTGACTTCGGCCCTTTGCCCTTGCCCTTTGGCTGTCCTCCCTGTTGGCCTTTTTGTCCGGGCTTTTGCCACTTTGGCGGCCTCTCCTCCAACTGGTCGTTGCTGGAGGTGGATCCCGGGGACGCCGTCGTGGATGGGCTGCCGTTCAGCACCTGTGGGGCCAGGGTCCGTAGGAGGTCCAGCTCGGCCGTCGCCGTGGTGAGCTCGTCCGGGTTCTTCATCGCGATGTCCTCCATTCGCCACAAGAGCTGAGAGGCCAACGTTGCCCGTCCCTTCGAGCACTAGCTTCTGACCCCTGGCAAGCCTGCGATGCAAGTACACACCATGAAAAATGCCAATGCACGACCTCAAGTGTGCATCCTTGCGCTTGAACTCCAATCTGCAATACTGGCAGGGGTTGGTCAGGCTCAGTTTACTCGCCTTGATCGCATCCATACAGGATTCTATCACTTGCCTGCACTCCGTATGTTGGCTCAGCATATGGCGCTTCACATACTGGGGTGTGCTAGACCAGTGATTGCACTCAGGGCAGTGATGATGTTTAGCCTGAACACTCGGGTGGAGTGCAAGCTGTTGCCAAGTACAGTCCCCAGCAAGCTGAAGTATCGTGTCAGAGGCAACGCGGGCATCACTCTGAGGAACATTGCCTGCTGCATTCTGCTGATTGTGTAGATTTCGTAGGCCTTCGCAGCTCTGAGAGCTAATGTGGTAATTGAAGGCGTGCCAAGTACAGAAGTTGTGCTTACAATGTTTGCAAGTTGGCATCCCGTCCACCGAGTGATCCATTGCGGATTTTGTCAGGGAGCCCTTGACCTCTTCATCTCGTTGCTGTTGTTGCTGTTGATCAAGGTGTGTGAGATAAACATGTCGTCTCTGTGCAGTCTGTGTGCTGAAGCATTGCCCGCAAACTTCACACTCGAATTGCTCGTGTGCAACCATGGTCACTGGGCTGAGTCTAGCAGTATGGCCACCATCATCTAGTCGGGCATGCCACACACATGCTGAGTCAAAAAGGTGGCACCTCACCGTCGTCCGCCACTGTAGCTGTGATGGGCCTGGGCGCACCGAGTTGCCAAGGGTATCGTCTGATTGCTCACGTCGTATGAGGGCTTGTTGTAGGCGCCGTACAGGGTCCGGAAGCCGCAAGCGATCAATGAGAGAGCGATTGGTCTCCTTCGTGAGCGTACTGCGGGATCGGGCAATAGAGCGGGCCTGCTTCAGGAGCAGGACTTGCATCGCATGCAGGTCCTTTCCTGGGAGGCTGCTGCTGCTGCTGCTGCTATCCAGGGCATGGAGCAGCGTCGGCCACACACAGCCTTGCCACAGTAGTAACCGCAATCGGAGAGGGATCGACCTATGTCTGAGGATGCTGCCCAGTCTGGAGTACACCCCTTTCGCCAACTTCATCCTGTGTTGCAGGGTATCCGCTTCAAACCTTTGGTATCCTATCACGGCCCCAAGGTAGACATGACCCGCAACCATCTTGATATAGGTGGCCTCTCCATCGATGATAAACTTCACACACTTCCCCTGCGGCATGTCTACCACGTAGCGCAGCAGAGCCTTTTGAGCATGTAGCCCTCTGATGTCCATCAGAATCACAGTCTTATCAGCACTGATCTGCAGTCCGAACCTCCGGAGAAGGTGAAGGATGTGTTTCATCGCTGCATAGGCAACCTCGAGATCGGTACCGGAGCCAACCTGCCAGGCATAGTGCTGGTCATCAGCGTACGTCGTATTAGCCTGCATGATACTCGCAACCCCCGGGTCCTCCATCTGTCTCAACATCCAGCCTGTCAGGATTGCCCAGAGGATGGGGGACAGGGAACATCCCTGTCTCAACCCCCGGAAGGTTGGGATGACCGTCTCCTGGGTGCAATGACTGATGCGGATGCAAGCAGTGTGGTGAATGAGGAGGGTGAGTTCAATGAGGTACCCTGGCACTTCAGCATCCCGTAAGGCAGCCTCCAAATGTTGTCGTGATACACAATCATACGCCTTTGAGACTTCAAGGGACAGCATACAACCACCACATATCGATGCCACTTTGTGTCCCTGGCGTTTGGCATGGACGTTGTTGTGTCCTTGTTGAAGGGCCACCCTTACAGCTGCACAGTCAGCGAAAACTCGTTCAAGAGCTTGTGCCAAGGTCCTGCCTGGGACATAGGCGAACTGTGGCACCTCCCGTAGGTATCGAACCGCATATTCTTGTAATCGACTCGCCACAACCGAGGCCAATGCCTTCGCTGGTAAAGAAAGAAGCGAGAGGGGGCTGAGGTCGCCAGGTGTTTTCATCGTCTTCCCCGGTTTGGGGATGAGGACAAGGTCGGAAATGCACCAAGATTGCGGCAAACCCGTGGCCCCAGGGGCCAGGTAGAGGTTAAACTGGGCAGACAGGATGGGTGCCACCTCCTGGGAGAAGTGCTTCCACAAAGCGGCCGGTGCACTTTTGTCCGGCATGGCCTTGCCAGCCTGCAACCGTTGCAGCGCAGCCAGGACCTCCTCGACCGTGATGAGGGGCCCCTTGGAGAGGACAACCTGGTCAGGCACAGGACCCGCGTACAACTTAACAAAGTAGGCCTTGATCTGTTCGAACTCCGCCTCGTGGGTCTGGATGCCACCAGTCGCATCCCGTAGCTGTAATCGTTTCCGGGGGGCCTTCGGTGCAAACCGTTTGGCTGCTTGGTGTATGTTGTCACTCAGCAACCACCTCCTCAATCCGGTTCGTCTTTCTGCGCCGGCACTCCTTACGGAGTTCCCTAGTATGGCGATTCATGCGAAAGATGAGCACCCATGCCTGTAGAGCTCGTGGGGCCAGCCGTCGTGGGGCTGTCCAGGTCCCAAGAGTCCGCGTGGCCTTCCGGAAGTCATCGCGAAGCTGCCACAGATGTCGCACACACACCGTCAGTGTGGCATGTAGGGCGCCAGGCTCTGGCCCAGTGGCTCCTTCCTTGGGGTTTCGACCTCGGGCCACACGCCACCCCTCTAGTAGAATGTCATCAATGGCATCAGTGGGCTGCATGCACTCCAGTCGGTGTCGTACGGCCTCGTCCACACTGGCAGCCATCTCCGGGCCCGCAATAGCTTTCCGGACCTGACGTGGTTTGAGTGCCTTATGGTCACCTGCTCTGGTGGCCTGGTAGGAAAAGGTAGTGTAGCGACAACTGGCCTGTGTCGGCCACCACTCGTGGGCACAAAGGGCGCGGCCACCGGCCTCGCTCGTTTGGCCACGGGGTCCAGCAAGGTCCCACGTGTGATCACAAAGTCAATCTGAGACCCTGGCAAAGACTTCGTGCTAGGTGGTATGAAGGTGCGAGCCATTGGTCCTTTCCGAGCCCACGTGTTGAGTGCACAGCACCTGTTGTTTCGCAACTGTTCCTGGAGTTCGGTCTGGTCCTGTTGGTGGCCAGCACGATCGGAGGCAACGCCTTGTCCTGCAACAGAGTCATCATTGAGGAGAGGGGTGTTCAGGTCACCCAGAACCACACAGCCATTTCGCTGTGGTACTCCCTGGAGCCACTTATCCATCGTCCTCCAGATTTGTCGTCGCTGCTTGAGGAGGGCCTCCACTCGGTTAGTTCCCGCTAGCTCCGATTTCTGAGGGTTCCACGAGTACTGATAAACACAGAGCACATCGAGGGCACCTGTAGGCAAAGACGTAGATGCAAGATCCTTCCTGGTACAAGGCACACAGTACGAATATGTGTGGGTGGAACAAGCCCAGCACGAACCAGGCACATCAGCCCTGAGGAGTCCTTGCCAGGGTAGTGCACTATATGCCAGGCTAGTTCGCCTGCCTCGTCAGCAGCAGTGGTGAACTCCATCTCCTCCTTCCAATGAGTCTCTTGGAGGCAGCAGATGTCCACTGTGCGGCCAGCCTGATGTTCATCTCGTAGCCACGTGATCACCTCGTGGTAGCGTGGTCCAGATAGACCTCCACAGTTCCATGTGACTATGCGAAGTCGTTGCGGTTGTCGGGGCACCAGCCTTGTCTGGCGGGGGGCCTCTTGGGGACCGCGCCCGCCTGGGTGTAATTGCTCAAGGCTCATGAGTCGGCCCCTGTACCAGGTTTGCCGTTGGGCATTGCCTTCTGCTCTGCGAATCTGCTTGCGAATGGCTCGTTGCAATGCTCTCTTACGAATTGTAGTCTGTCGGGAGGGGATCTCGGTCTGGTGGGAAAAGTAACGGATTTCACCCGGCTTCGCCCCCGAGTTTCGCGGAATATCAAAGGGATAGGCTTCAGGACCGCTAGGGTGTTGCGACGGTCCAACCCTCACCTCTATTGCAGCACCACACATCTTCATCTGTAGTATCACAAGCAGAAGGAAAAACAATCTGTCGACACTGCCGTGGCTTCTCTGAATGCTGCAATCTCGGGACTTGGGACCCGAGCAGCTCTCGTCCATACGAGGCGTCCTCGGCCTGAGGGTACGTAGTGTAGCTGATTGACCTGCATTGGGCAACTGCGGAGCAGAGCACTGCCCACTTCCAAGCTCACCGAAGTGCACTCCAGCCTGCATCACCTGCTCCTCGGCCTGAACAGGATAACCAGGAGGATCTCTGTGAGGATCACACCCAGCAAAGACAGAAACAGTCTTAACCCCGTTGAGGCTCCCTGCCAGGTACACAAGAAGGTCGTCATAAGGTACCTGGCTGTTATCGAGTTATCGGGCTAGACCACGTGTTGGATCGAGGCATGCAGGAGGTACAGTGCCCAGCCAGCCCACAATTGTAGCGTGGTCTTTTTCCCCACTGCGTGTCGCCCAAATTGGAGTCAGTGGTCGCACCGGCATAGCTGTGGCACACATGAGCACTTTGCCAGCATAGGTGCACCACCTGCCGCCGTGCACACACTCACATCTCGCAGAGCCCTGCTACTCACTGTCCACTCTGCTGCGCCTGAGGGAGGGGACGTGTGGCCAAGGTTTTGCATGTGGTATGGCACACAGAGTGAGGGCAGCAAGGTCAAAAGAGGCTCCAGCTTGCGGTTGGATCGCGGCTTGGCCTTCGTCATCGGCTTAGGTTTGGCACTTGCCGTGGTCGTGGTGGCCAGCGTCGTGGTCATCAAGGGTGCTGCTGCGCTCCCGGAAGCCATGCTGGTTGTCATCGGTGTTGTCGGGCCTCCGCTCTCGGTCGCCGGAGCACTGGGGATGAGCCCGCGCAGGAAGGTCTCCTCGTTGTCACCATCATCATCATCCTGGGGAGGGCCAGTGTCAATCTGATCAAAATGTATCAGATCCTGGCGTGAGCGGCCGCACCTCGATGGTCACATCGGTGTAGCCTTCCAAGCCCCATGGCAGCACCGTCAAGGCGCTACGCAGGGTGATACCCTGCTGCTGGAGTGCCGTGAAGACCGAGTTCGACAGGTGGTGCGACATCGGCTGCACATCCTGAACTGGCCTTGGTGGCGGCGGTCCACGAGGGCCGCCCGGTCTCGGCATCGGTGGCCCACTGGTGAACTCCGAGCCCTCCGAGATGTCATCCGAGGACAGCTCCTCCGCTCGCCTGGCAGCCATGAGCTCAGTGCCCTCTGTGCCAGCCAGCTTTAGGCCGGCTTCCAGCCGGCTCCCCGCAGTGATCACTCCCTTGAGCCAGCAGAGGCATCTCGTCACTTGCAAGGCAAGCACTGGCAGTCCACCGATCACTCCGACAACTGCAAGAGACTCGACAAACATGCCCTGGGCACTCGGAGGGACGTAGTCCATCCAGCCGGGTCAGCGTTGACCCCGGGCGGGACAGGCCAGGGATCACACGGTACTCTAGCATGATGCAGTGCACTCCCACAAACCACATCAGCCCGCTGCACACAAGCAGGACGCACAAGCTCGGTGCATACAGGAATCGTATGCCTGCTCCTTGGCCATCGCCAGTTAGGCTCCTGGAGCCCTGCTGTCTGTGGAGCCGCAAGGCCCCTCTCAAGGCACGGCTAGTCCATCTGGTTAAGTTCAGGGAACTGAGAGTCACAGACCACCACAAGCATGTCTTGACCAAACCGAGGATAGGTAGCCCAAAGCTTGCGAAAAAGCTGAATGCGGCCTTCAGGTTCGAGTAATATCCATCCCTCGTAACACACGCACAGGGCCCCCAGTCCTTTCCATCGCTCCAGCATTCGGCGCTGGCGAGCGAACCGCTCAGACTCTGGCAAGAACATCCATTGTCTGCACAGCAGTGCCAGCACTGTTGTCTCAACCAAGTTCTCAAGAAAATGATGGTTGTCCAGACGCAAGGGCCGTTTGGGTATTTTGTTGCGCCCATGCTCGAGGAGGGGTGTCCACTGCCGCATGGCATGCCCTAGCAGTACGTCAGCTACAGCCTGTCGTTACAGGCCTCAGGCTTAGCCAGTCTTAGCTGGCCTTCCACCTTGCGAGAGCCGAGAGGCTTGCATACACATACATACATACGTACATACATACGTACATACATGCATACATTATACTTTGATCCGTTACACATGCATACACAGAGACCCAGAAGATTCCCATGCATGTACACAGGGCTTTTGTGTACCGACACATGATTGTTTACAGACCGTCCCGTATACTTATGCATTCCAAGCACAGACAGTACAGGTGTGTCTGCATAGGTATATACATACGTTCACGTGTGGGTACAAGTGTGTGCACATGTGTGCCTGTCTGCCAGTGTGTCCGTCCGTCCGCAGGTATTCGTAGGTAGGTAGATTGGTTGGCTGGTGGCTGGGTTGCTACGTGCGTGAATGCGTACACCATAATTAAGTACCACTACTTCTTACCTTCTCTACCTCTGTCTTCAGACTTCCGTCTCGCTCTCTCTCCATCTCTGTCGCTGTCTCTGCCATCCCCGCCATAACCAACTCTACTTCCACCATACCCTACCTATGTCTACTCCCTCTGGGTAGCAGTCTTTGTTTATCTTAACCATCTATGCCTCTATCTGCTGTTCTCCATATCCCTCCGCCATGTGCCTCAGAAAGGCTGACCAGCACCCTCACGTTGTAACTTCTTCTGCCTTGGAGCCGGGGGGGCTTTGCTGTAGCAGAGGCAGTCAGTCAAGGCCCCGCATCTATGATCGGGTTTCGGGCAGAGGTTGTTTGTGGTGGTTCGCTGCTGTTTACTTTACTAGGCGACCATTTGGTGGCAGGGTGGGCAAGTGCGAGGGTATGTACGGGCTCATGGGAAAGATGTGAATGTCTTGGTGCCCTGTGGTGAGGCAAGAGCGCTTCAGGGAGAGCTTCTGGAGCTTTGCCAGGAGCCTTTTGTCATTCACGCACCTGTAGCGGCAATAATTGCTGGCACTAGCGACTTGGTCGTAACCGCACTTGAGCAGCAGACTATCGCACGGCAAGAAGGGGCTACATTTCCTTACGTGCTGAATGGAATTTCTGGGTCGAGGTAGTAGGCGTGCTGCCTCCAGAGCCTTTGACAGTTCCCCTCACAAGATGCTGCGCGTTTGGAGCCTGGCCGGGGAAGAGCTGGCCACTTTGGCCCTGGAAGAGGTGGACGACGTCAGAGCCTTGAAAGAAGAACTGCAGCAGCAGTATGGGTTCTCACGATTCAGGCAAGTGCTCCTACAAGGTACCGAAGCGTTGAGTGACTGCAGTAAACTGCAAAGGCCTGTTGACCTGCAGCTGGTCCTGAGAGACTTTGAAGCCTCCAGTCTTGAGGAGGCAAACTCAATGGTATTCCTGGTAAAGCATGACATGGCCGTGTCGGTGGAGCAGATGTTGCAGCGTCCCCAAGACCCTAATTCGGTCGACGTCTTTGGTAACCTGCCCTTAGCCGTGGCACAGCACCACGGACACGCGAGAATCGTGGAGCTGCTTTTGGAGGCAAGGGCCAACGTAGACAGCCCTTCACCCGACGGCAGTACGGCACTCCTACGCGCATCGCGGCAGATGCAGATCGAGATAGTGTGCTTGTTGCTGAATGCCAAAGCCGACACCGACTTGCCCGGCAGCAGTGGAGACACGGCACTGATCCACGCATGCCGCCGTGGCCCGGCAACACTGGTTGGCAAGCTTCTGGAAGCCAGGGCAAGCGTGAACTTGGCAGACCTTCACGGCGACACGCCTCTCATTTGTGCGGCAAGCCAAGGTCACAATAAGGCAGAACTAGTGCGTTTTCTGTTGGAGGCCAAAGCGGACAAGGAGTTGGCAGCCAAGAATGGCACGACGGCCCTCATTTGTGCCTCAATGCAGGGTGTAGGTGATTCTGAGGTAGTGCAGCTACTGCTGGCTTCCAGGGCCGATGTAAATGTTGCTGACGACTACGGTGACACGGCTCTGATCTACGCATCTCGCCGCGGCCAGTTGCAAATGGTGCGTTTGTTGTTGGACGCCAAGGCCGACACAGACCTTACGGACAAAAGCGGTGAGACGGCTCTAGCCGCTGCAGCCAGTCGGGGCCACTTAAGAATAGCTCGGCTTTTGCGGGACGTCAGGGACAGGCATTGCTGGGAGATCCACGATGGCACCGTCATCTGTGAGCAACACTAAATGCTGAGATGCTCCGTCTTAGACTTGAGACTGTCTTCACGGCAGTCGTGCCAGCAACATGGCAGTCTCTTCGAGTGTCGCAGCTCGCTGTCTGCGCGAGCTCTGCGCTGGAAACATCTGGCAGCTGAAGCGTTTGACGAGAGCTACGAGGCCACGATTTGGACCTTTGACGCACGCCATGCGCCCTGCAGCCGGCGCAGCCGATGCAGAAGAATCCAACTCCAAGTTATTGTAGGGCGTCAAGGACAAGCCTACCTTTGGAGCGATAGAATTCCACGGGTTCGAAGGTTGGTCCACACATACGGTCAGAGAATTTAAAGCAAGCAGAGCGGACTCAGAAGAGACTGAGACATGAACTGACTTCTGAGAACTTCCGGTGGCGAGAGTATCGGATAGTCGCCGCTTCGTGAATGCTTTCTGGCGGGATGAGCAGCTTACGCGGGTTTGAAGCTTGCTCGGGTTGTCGAATTCCCTCGATTGCATGTATTTTATTGCTGGGTTCTAGAGGGCATTCGACAGGAGCTGGTTCCTGTCGAATGACAATTCAGCTTTGGGTGGTGCCGTCAGCCGTCCCTTCACAACCTTACACACAGCAGTGTAGCGGATTAGCACAGCGATGAGCTCGGAAGGACTTGCACCGCCGTCCTTTCATGCGAGACTTTTGCACAGTCCTCCAGAAGTTTGGCCAGGCCGGCACAGCCTCTGCTCGATTGCAGACAAACCTAAATTCCTGCACTTCGTGGGCCTTTGGCATTGGTCATGCTTTGTCACTACAGTTGTTGCTACACAGTGCGTAGATTCAATCAGTGTGCAGCTGTTAGTATGACGCATCATCATCATCATCTTGTTCTTCGTCGTCATGTTCATCATCATGATCATATCATGAGCAGTTGATCACCATCAACAACAACATCATCTTAGTCTTCTTGTCTTCTTCTTGCGATCATCGTTGATTACGATGTGTTGGCTGTGGTCCGGTTAACTTGGTCAGCCCTTGGGCTCCCGAGACTCCGAGACGTGTTTGATGCTGGGGAATGGGCGCTTGAGTTGCCGAAGGTGCCGACAGGGGCCTACAGATCACTAGCCTGCCAATCTTAAACTCATCCCGGAGGCAAACACGAGGCTTCCTGCCTCTGCTAGGCCAAGCAGTGCTCTAAGCCTTGACGTAGGAGTTGGGCCTCGGTCTACGGATTCTCAGCCTCTGCCTGCTTCTGACCCGGTGTGCTCTGGAAACCAAGATGCTTGAACCTCAAACCATCTCAGAACGATAGCCAGACTCTGCTAACATGCGGATGCGTAACAGAAGGTCGAGGGCCTCTTCTTTGTTCTCGCTTTGCAGGTTTTGACCTTACCTGCCGTGCCTGAAGAGGCTCGCAAGGCATGGCCCTGGAGCTTGCTTGCTGTTTCTAATTCTTGAGGTTCCTCCTCCTCCGGTTCACACCTTGTGGTTTTAGACTTCGGTGTAGCGAGAAGACGGCAGCTTTCGTGGATTTGTGGAATGCTCGACGTTGCAGCCTGTCTGGCAGGTGTAGTTCTTGTCGGGTTAAGGCATTGAGTCTTGTGATCTTACTGTGGGAGTAGCATGTCGACTGCAGACGCATGGTGTTGAAGCCATTCATGTCGAAGTGGGGATGCTACCTTTCCAGTGAGTTGGCTGGTCAAGGTGTTCGATTTTTGTAGCCAGCCCACATGCCTTGTGTTGCTCCGCCTACTGAATTGGTGCTTTCAGGCAGCTCGAGCGGCCGTCGATTTCTTGAGACCGTATGCAGACGTGGAGAGGCCGGGCCAACTGCCACGCCGCGATAGGGAGGGGTTTGAGACTGGGCTTCCATCGAGGAGTCTCGAGTTCTTGCTGTCCAACGCAGAGGAGGCCGTCGTAGCGCGGCTCCGTGGTACGGTGCGGCAGTTTTATGACCTTCTCCTTCAAGTTCTGCAGCAGAAAAGATGCCGGACAAGAGGTCTGGGAAGACTTCGCATCGTAGCAGACGGGTTGCACAAACACTTCAACCTGCCGATGGTTGGAGGAAGTGTGGGCTTTGCCGAAAACGTTAAGCGTATCATGAGTGTCACACAAGCAGCCTGGATTCAGCAAAGTGCATTGCCCACACCTTCGAAGGAAAAGTAGCAAGCGTTTTTCGAAAATTCAACTGGCTGGATTCGACCTGCAGAGGCTCACAGACCTCAATGTTGTCCATACCTGGAAGCACCAGTTCCTAGGCCCTAAATTTGGTAAACTACGAAAACACTAAAGTCGCCTCCGCCAGGGCCCAGTCCGCCGCTTCGGCCAAGCCGTGCAGCGTGGCCTTCGGGCGGCGCAGCAGCTCGGAGCCGCAACGAGGTGAAATCGACTCGTCGCTTCAGGGGCGGACGAAGGAGAGGGCTCCATAATCGTAAGGACAATATTCTCATCCTCATCTCATTACAGGAGTCCCCGGTAGTAGTCGTAGTTGTGATCGCGTTGCTCGTCGCCATGGTGGTCGTCGTAGTCGTGGTGATCGTGACGGTCGTGATGGTCATGGTCAGGTTGTGGTGGTCGTGGCCGTACTGCTTGTGCTCGTCCTCGTCGTGGTCCGCGTCCTCCTTGTTTTTCTCCTGCTCCTCCTCGTCTCGTCTTTGCCGTCGTCTTCGTCGCTATCGCCATCTCATCATCATCGGCATCATCATCATCATCACCACCACCACCACCATCATCATCATCGTAATAATCGTAATAATCATCATCATCATCATCATCCTCATCGCCAGCCGCAGCATCAGCATCAACACCAGCGTCGGTATCAGCATCATCAGCAGCATGGTCATCATCAGTCATACTCGGCATCAGGAGCGGAATTCAGGATTGGCGAGTATAGTCGCAGTGACTGTCAAGAATCCGAGGTCCGAGGGCGCCATCCTCGAGGCTTGGTGCCCGGGAACATCAAAAGCATTTGACGTCCTTTCCTGGCTCGGCTCAGTTTCGCTGCAAATGTCGTAATGTGTATCTGGCGAGGATGTGGGGGCAGAGCTGCTTCAGTGGCGGCCCCAGGTCCATGTAGCGGCGGAGTTCGTCCTTCGTCCTGTTTCTGTCCAATTTGAAAGGATGTGAAAGTTGCTTCATTTGTAGGCAGAGGCTGAGGTCTTTATCCGGTGTCCCCTGCTCGCGTCGCGAGCCTTCATGCAGTACACCACATCCAACTTCAGTTCACTGAGGTGTTGGCAAGATGCTGTGGGCAGATTCGAGCAGAAGTGTCATGAGGCCAGATGACCCCCAGTCACCCCTAGTCGCACAGCCGGGAAAGCAGTGATGACGCAGTTCATGTCACATTAGAGTGCCACCGAACTTGCGGGGCCCTGGCTGACTCCAACTGAGATCTTTGAGCTGCACTTCTACTGCGTCTTCCTCGAGGTCAAGGCGGGAGAAGTGCGGCTCAGCCACAGCAACGCATTATTCCACTCTGTGGTGCTCCGTTTCGTCAGGGCGACCGAGCACTGCTTGACCAGACCTTCCGGTCTTTAGGAGGCCAACTGCAGCTTTCCCGTGGGCCGCTGGCCAAGCATTTTCGGATTGGACAGTGTCACAGCCCCGAAAGGAGTAAACTGCAGAACCGGAGACTTGCGTCGCTTAGGTCGCTCCTGCTCTGCCTTGAGAGAACCAGGCAGTAGCCTCAGGACAGCAGCGAAGAAATTGACCCTCCTATGGCTACGGCTGCTGCCTATTCTCAAACTCGGCTCCGCATTCCGAGGCCTTGGGCTGAGGTGGCCCTGAAGGCACCGAGGGCCCCGAGGGCTCGGCATCGACTTGGGTTCAGGTTACTTTTATCTTGCTTATTCTCCTTCCTGACCGTAGCTCGTGTTTAGAGTGAGAATGCTTTCCCGCATGCAGCCTGCAGGTTCTCGCGAAAAGGCAGAAGTCGCGCTTGCTGGAAAAGCCAGCGCCCTAAGCACCTTGCTGTACAGGAACTACATGTAGGGCTCTTGCCTTGGACTGCACTTGCCGCTGGCCAGCTGCCAGGCTCCATGCTGATGCGCTGCGCTCCTGGAAGCAGATGTGGCAGGCCGCGTGCGCAACCTGCCGGCTTGCACCCGGATCGACAGCTCAGCACAGACTCGGTGAGTTCTGAAAGGATACGCCTCGGCCGCTGGAGACCGCTTCGGCCTGAGAGCTTTGAAGGGCCCCGCTATTCCAACACTGAGAGTGCAGAAGCCGAGGGCAAGCTGGGTGCGAAATTCTGGGACAGCAACTTCATCCACCTCTACAAGATTGCTTGGCCGGACTTGGTCGAGGCATCTCATAACGTCGAAAAAAATATCAGGGGTTCGAGGAACACTGGAGCCCTTGCAAAGTACAGGAGGAATTCGTGTCTTCTCTCCAAGTTTGAAGAGCCACTTCGAAATGCCCGCGAGGCCTTCGAGAACTTCTACCTTGTCGGCCGCTGTCCGCACCTTGCCTGCACTGAGGAAAGCCAAAGCTGCTGGGCTCCAGCTCGTTAGGGGCAACCTGGAGTTCGCAAGCGTTCGGTGAGGTTTGCTTCTCTGGGAAGTCAGCGGCAAGCCACCGGAAGACTCGAAGCATTTGGCACTACAGTAGCTACGAGGGTCGAAGTACGTCCCCAAGCAGAAGACGCTCAACCCCAAAGCTTACAGGCTTTGAGCCCAAAGCTGTCGCCCTAAAGGATGGACTTAGTCCGACGGCTTCGACTGCGAGCAGGGGCCCTGATGGGAGTTCGGGGTAGACTGTGGCAAGGAAGAAGAGGTCTCTAACCAATCTCCTCTAAGTCGATTTTAGCATGTGTTGGGCCGGAGACTTCCCAGGCAATCCCTCGAATGTAGCCAGTTTCACACTTCGCATGCGGCTTGGGTTTCCCAACCGGGCATCCATTGGTCAACACAGGTTCTCGTTGCATCTCTCTCGCTCCGTCTCTCGCTACTGGCGCCCGTCCAACCCTTCTCTTATCGGGCAGCGGTCTCTTATCGCGCAGCGGCATGTTTTTCACATCACCCAAGGCAGGCGCGCATTCACAAGATTGCGTGACACTTGACGTGCAGCACCTGCTGCCGCATGGAGTTGTCTGTCTGGCATTGCCATGGCATTGCCGCAGCAGGATAACTCTGAGGAAGTCCGTTCTGTTTCGAGAGCCACTGTTGTTCTGAAGCCGCAGGTGGATCCTCAGTTCTCCCACCAGGCTGGTCGGTCAAATCTAGGGCATCCTGCGTCATTTCTTCAATGCACTTCTTCTCCGTGAATGCCGCTGCTTCTGGTCTCGGGGTGTGTCTTGTTGGTGTGACTGCTGTGCTGTTGCCGCTGGGTGTCCGGAATAATTAGGAGTGACATAAAAACTGTTGTGCATGTCCTCGTCGTCCTAGCAGTGGTAGGAGCAGGAGTAGAGGCAGCAGGAGCAGGAGCAGCAGCAGGAGCAGCAGCAGCAGTAGCAGTAGGCGCCAGCCTGCTCCTGTGACCCCTCTCTTCCCTTTTGCCCGTTCACCAAGCCGTTTCAGCGCCTACTGTTGCAGCGCTCGTTCGTGCAGACTGGACAGGTTTAGGGTTTAGGGTGGGGTTTCAAATACGAAACAACTTAGGATTTAGATCGGGTTCCTATTAGATTCGGGTTGTTTCATTAGATAGGCGTCTTTCTATTGGATAGGTTTTTCTTGTCTATAGGGTTTAGGTAATAGACAGGGCTTTTTCCTATCAGATAGGGTCCTCGATTAGATGCGGCTTTTCTACTAGATAGGTCTAAAAGGGTTTTCCTTTTTAGAAAGAGTTTTCCCATTAGATTCGGTTTTCCCATCAGATGGGGTTTCCCTTTTAAATTACGGTGAATAAAGTTAAAAGATTGTGATTCAAATGGTTTGGCTTGGCTTGGCTTGGCTTTGATTCACTAGCCTCAGGTTCTCGCATGGCGCATCCTGATGAAGATATGAGTGATGGGTGTGATGGATACGAAGATGGATAGTGCTTTTACTGTTTGCTTGGCCTCGGCTTCTTTCAGATGCAAGCCTATACCTGTTCGTCTCCGCCTCATCGTTAATTTGTTCCTTTCGCTTCTTCCTCTTCAGGCAGGGGACTTGGGTCTCAGCTCAGCAGAGCGGGCTGAATGCAGGTGACCAAGTTCGCCTGGCAGACGCTTCTGCGGGGCCACAACAGGTGGCTTGATAGATATTTTGGTAAGGCATCAGGGTCTGTCGTTTTTTTTTTTTTTTCGGGCGTTTGGCAAAGTCGTGAAGGACCTAGATAGATATTCGCGGTTGTTTCCTTTTGAATTGCAGCTAAAGAAAACGCAACACCGATCGACGCCAGTGATTGAATACTAGCAACGGCGAAGACAACGACATCGACGGCGAGCACAGCGACTCACAGAATCAACAACCATCCCATGAAAGGCGAGAAGCCCCTGAAACCAACACAGAATCCTGTTCACACTGCTGGCTGTGTCATTGTTTTGCCCGCCTTTGATTTCCACCTTTGATTTCGACGATCAGTATCGAGACTTTACCTGTCAGTCATGGTGAATAAGTTTCCATCTCAAAGTCCACCACCGCTGTGTGAGGATCTCGGATATCTTAGACATGCTCATCGACGAGGCTGAGGGAGCGCATGTCTTGCCCGGGTCCTGAATCAATGCCCGCATCGGCGTCGCCACCATATCGCAAGTGCTCCATGTCTGGAGCAAACAGTGATGGTCTCAACGGTCTCAACCTGCTTGTTTCACAGGCCGAATGCACCAGGCGGGCCAGAACTGCAGCACAATCTACTCTTGCTGTGCAGGTGATGCAGGACATTTCAACCTGCATCTACAGGCAAGAGTGGGCACTGCTTTTTGTCAGAGATGGCCAAGGAAGGCCGCATAATGCCGCAGAAGCTAAGCCCAACTCCATATTGCCCAGTGTCCAAAGACGGCACGGCATCCTGGGCCAAAGAGCGCCCGCAGGGCCTTCCTGGCAGGTCGAACCCAGCAGACGATGAGGTCATCGACCTGGACGAGGCACGGCCCGCGTGAGGCATCCCCCCTCTTCCGGCGCACCGGCCCCTGTCGATCGCATCAATCCAGCGGTGCGTCGTGCCGATAGATTCTGATTCTTGTTGCATTTGTGTCTGCGTGTTGTGCTTCCAGGTCCCTCTGCCGCCACGTGCCCTCTCGCGTCGTTCGAGCGCTGGGCTCAGCAACGGAAAGCGCGTCTTTTTGCGTTCTTAAGGGTAGCTCCCCTCTTTCGTCCTGTGTATTGGCCTTGCACGCCGGCCAGCCCTTCCTAGCTCCAGGTGGCGAGCACGAGGATGTCGCAGAGACCAGCAGGAGGCAGGAAGCGGCTTCAGGAAACTTCAGGCTTGGATCCGAAGATCTGCTCATAGCTGCAGTATGCTGCAGTCTTTAAGACATTCAAGGCTCTGCGTAGAAGAGCGGCGGAGTCGGGCTACGCTGCAGGAGGGCGTCCGGAACCTCTGGGCCATCGCAGCTGCAGGAGGGAGGGCTGCACTTGCGCTTTGCCTCCTGTAATTTTACGTCGAAGTGTTACCAGGAGCTTTGGGATCCTTCTGGTGAACTCCATGTAGAGACAATTTGGATACCATCACCGCGTTTGATTGCATTCAGAGCGATTCCTTTATTCTCGCATCGCCAGCGGAAACACTTTGAAACAATCAACAAACCTTCCCTCCAGACGCCCACAACGCTGCAGCCGTGGGTACCGTGCGCTGCCAAGTCACGCCAGAGCCAGGGTTGCGTGGGTTGTGTTGCCCTAGCTGCTCTAACGACGACGTCTTCGGCCACGTTTTGGAGTAGTGTCCGTTGTCTGTTCGGGAGTTGCCCCAGGTTGTGTGTTTTCATGTGAGATTCTCAGCAGGTTCGCCCACAGCCCCTCGAACGATATCGATATGGCGATCCCTACGCCTATCGATGTTCGGCATCCAGCAGGCAGGATCCTACCTGTGCATGCGGCTCTGACGTGCCTGGCATCCGGAGCCTTGATCTGAATGTGCGGGGAAGGGGCCGCTGACCGGCCACGTGAGGGACCCCGACGCCGAAGGGCCTTCCGCTCAGGTGCAAGCAGAGCTACTGTAGAATCCAGACTGTGATGACCGTGGCTTCGCCCAGCGGAACATGAGTCCACCAAGGTATGGGAGGAGTACACCAGCGAGCTGTGTGCAATGCCGGACGGCTCAGCTCCGGGCTTTCAGAGTTCAGAGTGTTTATGGAGTGGCCCGGCCCGTCGCCGGGCCATGTCCATCGCTGGGTTTCTGGTTCCTACTCTGCGCCAATTCCGGACATTGCTGGCCCACGCATGTCTAAACGAATCTTCGGTTTCGCTTGCTTTCGGTCCTGCGCGCTCGCAAGTCTGGGTATCCGGAGGCCTCAGATCCTGTGCTGAGCCATTTGTTGAGCTTATGTTAAGTATCCGAGCTGGAGGCACCGGCCCTGGTGGAACTCCGTGACCGACGAGGTGTGGTCGCACATGGCTTCCATTGCGGATGAGCTCTCTTTCAAAATCCGGCGGGCAAGGTGGACAATGCGATGCGGGAGTCTGCCCTGCTCACTGTGCATTGCTCAGCATGTGGCATGACGAGGCCTTCTCATGGTTTGTGAGTGACTTTGTAATCAGGTTGACAGCTGCATCGCGGCCACGCGAAAAGCTTTGGCCTGCCGTATCGTCAGCGGTTCCCCAGCTGCAGAACAGCGCTTGACGAGCCCTCCAAAACCCCGGCCCAGCGCAGCAACGGAGCCGTGCCGCCCAGGTGACTTAGGAAGCGACCAACCCGCGGTGTCTCTGCCCGGCGAGGGCGAGGAAGAGAAGGCGCAGGCCGCCGGCTCGCAAAGGCCTCGGTGCTTCCGGCTTGGCCCTTAGCCCAGGCAACCCCGAGCTCACCACGATCAGGGGAGGCCAGAGTGCAAGATCTGAAAGGGAACAGAGATGGGCTGTGGTAGCCAGAACTAAGTCTATCCGACAGTTACACAGCCAACAGAACATACCGTACGCACCAAGTAGAACATCTATCTTTGATATGTTATTGCAATTCCGCTTGGATTTCCTGGATTAGTCTCTCGTTTTACCCATTGTTCTTCATTCTCTCCAGGTTTTCCCCGTGTCCGGAGGATGGGATTGTCGGATATGCGGTCTCGTCGCACAGTCGCACCTCAAGCACAAGGACTGGAAAGGTCCTTGTGCCGACCGTTCCTCCCACACGTTACATGTTTCTTTGGCACGAAGGACAAGCAGCGTAAACAACCGATGTAGCATGGGTCTGCAGTCTGATTGTCCAGAATCCTTGACCTGGAGGGTGGAGCCGATCTGCTCTCGCTGCCGGCGCTGGTGGTGGTGGCAAACGGCGCGGTGCTCGGCTACCGAAAGCTTCCGATCGAGTTGATTCTCTTTGGATGCTCCTTCAACCCTCGGGTTTGGTCAGGCTGCGGCCCCTCCTCCCGGTCCCTTCATCAACTCTAATTGGTTGACTCGTAGGCAGACGGGACAGGTACGGTCCAGTCAGCCCAGTCCTACTCGTGTCAGCATTTGAGCGTTGACGAGTGTTGGTGTTCATCTTCTAAGGACAAGTTTTTGGATCTGTGAAGGGTTTATTAAGGCCTCAGTGGTTTGGCAGGGCTCAGCGGTTTCGCGGTCGAAAGATTGGTTAGGTTGGTCTTTCAGGTCTCCGCTTGCTTCAGGTTCAAGCGACTTGCCTTCGACACTTGGAGTTTTCCGTCAATCTGCAGACATGCTATGCTAGGTCCCAGAGCCTGCTAAGAATCTGATCCCAGGCACTCGCTTCAGTGGCGTCACAAAGTTCGGCCGCAGCTCGTCCCGGAGGACCGTGCTGTTGCTATTAAAGCATCGGGTTTCCTCGTACCTGTCAAAAAGACTCGTGGAAGCCTCCCTGGGAGAACCGAGCAATCTCACTCTTTGGGGCGCAGCAGTGTTCCTTGCTTCTGACTTCGGCAAGCTGTGCAATGGCACGCTCGCACATTTCAGCACTACACCGTGCGATTCCCTGGGGAGGAGACAGGCCGACAGCACTTTGCTGTCGGCTTGATCTTGCACATTCCTGCCCTGAAGCATCGGATTTTGAAGTAAGCACTCCCTTCTCATCGGACCCGGAAGGACGCTGGTGCCCGACTTTCCCATGACGGAGCCTATCGCCTCGCGTTCGCACTTCAATGTCGTGCACGACCAGGAAAGGGTCCGATTGAGACATTTGAGGAATGTTTCGGAATATTCGTCAGTGGTGATTTTTTTATTTCACTCACGACAGTGAGGGATCAAGGGTTTCGAGAACCTTGCTATGCGCTCAAAACTAGTCACGTTGAGATGCAGCCAGCGAGAGGATATGAGGAAACACCAGAAGAGCCTTTGGGCAAGTCACAAGAATTTGCATCACAGGTGTCATAACGTTCACGATTCTTGCGACATGGGATGTCACATGATCGGAAGAACCTGCAGGAGAGCGATCAGTTCTACATCATGGATGCGGGATCGAAGTGGGGCACCTTCCTAAAAATCAGCCTGGCCCCTGGCGGGTCTAGGACTACTCTGTAAGGGCTTTTGAGGGGGGCGGGCAGTCCGTAGGTCTCAGGCTGACGCCGAGGGTGAAGTAACGAAGTTGTAGGGCTTTCCATCATGGGCGGGATCCAGAAGCCTTGGAAAGAGCCCAAATGAGGGATAAAGGGGCCAGCGTTAAGATGAGGTTGCCGAAACTTGTACAAAATGGCTTCCACCGGGTTTCCCAAAGCTTTGTTATGGGAGAGGGAGCGGCTCTCTCTATTGCAAGACCAGCGGCAGGTGAAGCCTCGACTATTGTTGTATGTCACATCACATCGTCGAGCCCAAGCACGCCGAAAGCCTTTCCAAATATCCGTCGAATGCACAAGGTTCTAGCGCCACGCTGAACTGCGGCGACTGGATCCGTGTAGGCGCTGCCCTCTGGTGCAGCTTCTCCAGGTCTTGAAGCCCAGCATCATGCATTCTGAAAAGGCGGAGTCGAGTTTATCGTCCGCTTTTGCGGAGGCGGGTGTAAAGTCTCGGAGGAGGAAGAGCCTTGAGGTTGGAGCTTTTTTTCTGACAAGAGGCGGTTGCCGATGCCAGAAGAGCCACCGGCACTACCGCCTACATGCACTGCGGTTGACGCACCGCCGCGCTCGAAGCTCAACGTCCTAGCTCGGGGCCTCGGGGTCCAAGGGCCAAAGGTCCGGCCATCTCTGTGCACTTGTTGAGGCGCCCATGATGAGTCTCTCCAGGCAGGGCGCTTAAGAGGCTCTGAGGCTGATGAGGCTGAGCTCTAGCGCGCGCTGGTCAGCCTCAAAACACTGAATTCAACTTTCGCAGAGAAGGCCAGGCTACTGAAGACTTAAAGTCGACAGATCTTTTCGCAGGCTCACCCCGCACTTTCCGGAGATCCAGGAGGAGGCCAGGGACCCACAGGAAGGCAGCCAAGGTGCTGGGAGTCACCACAGCCTGCGCTGCAGGAGGCATCGCCCAAGTCCAAGAATCTTTCGATCAAGGCTCGATGCCGATGGCTCTGCACTTGTAGTCCTTCACATCTCGCATGAACTTCTGATTTTGCCGGCAATCCGTGCAGGACGATGGTGCTACGTGTGAAGGCTCGTTTCCTGAACGAGCATCTCGTTTGTGATTGTCAATTGGCCAATTGGCTGTACGAGGCTGTACTGGCAAGGTGAAAGCTCGGCGTTCAGGTTTGCATCGCCTTGAGTAGTCCGAACAGAAACTTGAATGCCGGTTAGACACTAACAGCCGTCTTACATCAAGGTGGAACTCGCTCGAAGCTTTCTCCTTGGACAGGTGCTTCCCGACCAGTGCAGGTGAGAAGGACACGCGGCAGTCCACACGTGAATCGGATGGAGGATGTGCACTGTCCTGCTAGCCGCTAGAGATCAACTTGATTACCGACTTCAACCCGGCCTGCCAAATCCGAGTAGTCTATTCAAGCAAGACACATGCAAAATGCGCACTTCCTGTACAGACTCCCTAAGCTTGTGATTTTTGTTAGGCTCCTAGGGTTTACTGTTCGCGATCGTCCTTGATTCCGTATGATGCCGTCATGAATGGTGTTTCGATTTTATCTGTGCTGCGAAGGACAGCTGCAGCAGAGCGGATCGAGGATGGCGGGCCGGCTAAACTTCTACTTCTACTAGTCTGGCAGAGCGCAATAGATCCGTTGGTCTTTCACAGACGCTACTCCGGAATCTTCCTTTCTAAGCTCAGCTGGGCTGAAGCACAACGCTGACAACCCAAAATCCTTGAGGCCCGTATTGAAATCATCCCAAGCTTACCCAGTGGATCTGGGTACCAGCCTGCGTGACCCTCCTCAGCGTAGACATTGATTGCACTTTGGATCTTGCTGCGGTTCCGTTTGGACGGGGAAAAGCATCAGAAAGTACCTGCATGCCCTCAGTACAACTTCAAAACTTCTATGTGTTTGTTCCTCCCAATCTTGGACCTCTAGCATCGCATTGGGTTCCAAGGTCCAGAAGAGGGCTCGTCAGACGAAGAGGCCCTGGCAGAAACCAGACTCGAGGCTCGCCCGGGGTTTTGTCTGTTTGGCCGGCGGGGCCGTATTTGGGATTGGGAGAGGTGTATTGTGTATGTTTTTCAGACTACGAGAGCAACAAATAAAGAACGCAATTATCGCAGTAACAACATCAACAGACAGGGCAAATGCAAAGCACACTTACATGCCTGGTTTATGGTAGTCTGCAGCAATGCGTTGTGTCAGATTGTCATATCTAGTTTTCTTCCAGCAACATCATTGCATACCTGTAAATGATGCGGCGTAAGAGCCGGTAGCCGCTATGTAGCCGTATACAACTGTAGGTACACTGTGTGTATATGTTACAAATGAATATGTATGTGCGTGCACACTTGGCTTGCATATTACAATGTCTAGTATACCATCGCTCATAAAGTCCGTCATACATAGTTAGCCCACCATGTTTCTTCCTGTTCATAATTTACGTACAGCTATGTTGATGATGGTTGATGGTACAAGCTTTTTTGGAGCTACATGTAGAACGAGGCCGAAAAAAGAATCAAAGGTCGCACGTGATCGTAGACCGCATCAAAACGGATGGGATATATGAGAATGCTTGAGCATCTAGCTGCAAAGCAAGAGCGCTGTCGAGACCAGTTTAGGTCTAGGTGTCGAGTAGCAAGAGCGATCGCGATCTTCGTAGTACTGTTCGCAGCATTAGCGGCGGAAGCAGCAGGAGCAGCAGCAGCAGCAGGTTTGCCGCATCTTGCAGCAGCAGTAGCACCAGTAGCAGTCGTCGTGGTGGTGGTAACATTTGTGCAGCACGATGCAGTCTCATCGCAGATGCACCAGTAGCATTGGATTCGAGACGGCCAAAATCAGTAGTTAGATGAGTAGCAAAGAGGCGAAACTTCCCGGAGCAAGTCCTTGTAGGACCTGTGAGTGCAGTAAGGGCAGGAGGCACTTTGATTTTCCACTTCCTCTGTCCTCCCCTCTCAGAGCGAGCTGATGTTGACGCTCAGCTCCCGCAAGCCACGTGGGCCGGGGGCCCAGGAGCGAGGCTGCGAGGGACAAGGCAGAGCGATCTCACACTGCACACGTGCTACACACGTGCTACACACGTGCTACACACATGCCACACATTTCGCTCGATTTTGATTCTGCAAGTTGCAGCCGTTCGGATTTACGGTTGAAAACGGTCATTTCTGGAGATGAAGATGCTGAGGATGATGGCGATGCTTCGATGAGGATGATGATCACAAACACGATGATGATGGCGACAACATCGGCAATGAGTAGTTGTGCAGACAGCCAAATTGGGACCGGAGGTGGCATAGTCACTGCAGTCTTGACAGGCCGTCATCCGGGTTGTGAGCGCTTGCAGCGCTTTGCCGATGGTTTCGGAACCGCCGCACCAACCAGCAACAATCAGCAACAGGGGCGGAAGCAAGAGCAACAAGAATAATGCGAATGAGAGGAAAAGCAAGAATGCTACCACAACCACAGCAGAACCCGCTTACGAGCGACACGGAAGTCATGATATTCACGGTGAGATTGTCGCTAGAAGCCCAGGTGGCTGTCCACTGCGGTGCGTCACAGCCAGGAGGCAGCTAGCCGGCCACATGAGGCTCCCTGCATGCTGGGATGTCACGCTTTCTCAACGGGTCTGGTTTGGAAGTTGGACATGTGGTTGGTCGGACTCGTCCTCGCAAGCAAGAAGCTCCTTTCAGCGGGGCCTTCTCTCGCAATTCCGACTTCACGTCATGGCATCATGAAGCATCATGTTCAGCCGCTGCTGGCAGCGCGATGCCGCCTGCCCCCTGTCACTGAAGGCTTCCTTGGCGCAGGAGGTGGGGATCCGACAGCGCTGGGATGCACAAAGGCCGGGACCAGAAGAATAAATGAGAAAGGACCCATCTACCCATCTTCTCCAGCTTTACAGGCACTTAACTAGCCTACTCCCCATGTTACGACCTCCACATGAGGTTCTGTTGTGAGTCGCAAGCTTTGAGCGGGGTTTCCCCTTCCAGGCCGGGCACCTGCATGCCCATTGCGCCCTTGGAGCTGGACTTCATCTCAGGTGCCAAGCTGTCTCGCTGAGACCCAAGAGCTTCATAACTTCGCATCTCGCCAGGTCCCCGAATGGGCGAGAAGATCGTGCTTTGCGAAAGAGTCGGGCCCGCAGCACGAAAGACACCAAGAGTGCCCTCTTTGCCGTCAGAGCCTTTCCGTGCTTTTTCCGGGGGCCGCGATGGCTCCTGCAGCCCCAGGTCTGCACACTTGGCCGGGGCGAAGGCAATACCATCCAGGCGCAATGCAAAAAGAAGTGGGGGATGTTGTGCTTCGACGTGGCCTCAATGGACGGCTTTCTGAGCCCCTGCGCCGTGTGGCTTTCGAGGTCACAGACTCGCAGCTGACCTCGGTGTCTCGCGTGCACTGCATCTTCGAGCTCCGGCCTCGGGAGCCTCGGGATCCCCGGGTTTCGGGTGAGCCTGCTGAAAAGCCTTGCGTAGATTCTTGAAGTCTTTGCGCATGGCTTCTGGGTGCTCCTGCAAACTCCTGCTTTTCCAAGATGAACTTCTCGCGAATGCAGAGCCCAGGTTCTCCGGTAACCGGTGGCGGATGCGTGACAACAGCTCGACAAACGGCCCCGTGCCCAGCTTGTGTTACACACCAAACTCGAACAGGCCGAATCTAAACGAGGGTTTTGACACAGCGGCACTCACTACGAAATGTTGCCACCTGCAACCCGTGTAGCATGCAGCATGGCATGGGGCTGTCATGGCCGTTGTCGCCACTGCAACCCATGTAACATGCAGCTTTTCGGTATAGATGCTTGATCGAGCAGCAGCTACAGGGTTACCGCATTAGCTTGGATGCGGTTCGGCTCATCAAGCTAGCTGATCCGGACAATTTAGCAGTTCGTTGTATGATGCAGGCGAATCTACTGCGGTTCGGCTTGTCAACTTCGAGACTGTATTGTTTTAGCGTGAAGCCACTTCGGAATCTGGGGCTCGGTCAGGCGCAGCCAGAATGGGCTTGTTTCGGAATCTGGGCCTCGGTTTCGTTATTCGTTGTGCTTCGCCACGAAGCTCGGTGCCATAGCTTGTCAGGCTTAGGCACATCGTGCCCATATCGGGATCGGATTGAGACTGAACAGAACGGAGCAACATCTCTTTGTGCTTCACCACCTCGTTTTTTGGGGGGGGGTTTTGGTCTTGTTCGTTACGGGTCCGTTTTGCTGGTCAGGCACGGTTCGCCAGAGCTCTCTGGAAAAATGTGGGATGGCTCCAGGCCAAGATACTGCAAGCTCAGGCACCTGGCGGCGCCTGAGTTGCGTTTTGGAGCCCTCGGAGGCCGTGCCGGTGCACGGGCCGATGTCCATCCAGGCGCCTTCTTGGAAGTGTTACACCGTTAAGCGTGGCGTAGCGACGTAGTGTTCCTCGTCTCCTCATGATCATGTTTCGGTACGGCTACCAGTACAACTGCTATCGTTCCGCTTACTACAAAGTGTCGACTGGATAAGACATGCTCTTTTTGCGACTTGCATTTCACATTGCGGGATTTCCGAACCGATCGTCAGCCTTCATCCTTGGTAAGTTCTTAATGGCGCTCGAACTGGCTAGTAGCAGTTCCGGTACAAGCGGCTGAGGTGGCCACTTCAGTACTAGGTCCCAGGCCGGCAAGCGCGGCAACGTAAATTTTGTCGGGTTTCCTTTGGTTTGCCGTTGAAGGCCAGGGATTTTCTGAAATGCCATAAGCAATGCGACGGGAGGATGCCTCTAAAGCAAAGACTTCTTGTGTTGACCGGCTGTCATAGGTGCCTGAAGCTCTAAATCAAGAGCTTCCTGTACGATGGTTGCACTGTACTATTCTGCCGCATTAACAGTGGTCCCTGAGATTCTACGAGCGTTGAACCGTAGTTTCCAGTATACGCAGCATGCATGCCTGCCTGCATGCGTGCATACCTGCATGGGCGGGCGGGGGGGGGGGTTCTGTAGTTATTAATTCTTGTATGTAAGTAGTGTATGAGTGTAAACTGAAGTACGGATGAACTCAGATGCTGCGTGCACCATGTATATCTGTATGTGAGGTCTGTGCAGACTGGGCATCTGGCTCGACAGATAGACAAGTAACAGGCTGGATAGCTAGCTAGATAGACGGATAAAGATAGCGAGGAAGATTGATGCATGGATAAAAAGGCCGGCATGTCGACTACTCTTCATCATAAGGTTTGGCACCTGCGTCGTTGTTCTATTCTTCCTTGACTGAGCTCAGGCGGGCACGCACGAGTTCTTTGTGAAGCCTGCGGAGATGAGGCCTGTGTCCTGCCTTCGAAAGGGCGGAGGGTCCAGAATCAGCAGGGCCCATTACCAGTTTTGTGTGGGGGCAGCTTCAGAATGTGTTGCGTTGTTCCATTCCTCTTTTCTTTGAGGTTGCTGGTTTTGTGTAGAATGTTGGGTTTGTCCGTTTCCAGGTGTTGTTTGAATTTCGCTTCACTTCTCTTTCTGCAATCTTTTTGATCGGCCGCTGTTTCTATGTCCTCCGAAATACGGCAATTGCAGAGTTCTGGAAGTTACCCAGCAAAATTTGTTGGGGTCCTGGCAAATTCCTGCTGAATTTCGTGCGAGGAGCGTTAATTTCATTTGAAAGCTAGTTCCTCCTATGTTTCGATGGAAAATCAAAATTTATCAATTTTCTAGGTCTGCGGCCGGAAATCCGAATGTTCGGAGGTCCGTGGGCCGCCCGCCGCCAGAATCAAAGAAAGGCGAACAAAAGCCAACAGACACTGGAAATCCATCGAACACATCCAAAAGTTAATGAATCATACAGGAGCAGGCAGGAAAAGATAAGCATTCAGAACCATATCAGAAACTTACAGTAGAAGCCAGAAAGTTGGAACATTGCTTTAGGAGGATTCGTGCTAGGATCCCTTATACTTTACCTCAAGGGCATGAGGAGTCTAATGTTCCAACTTTCTGGCTTCTACTGTAAACCAAGCATAATTATTCCATGTCATGCATGTGCAAACATTAATTACATACCAGGCAGTTGACGTCTTCATACTACCAGTAGCTTGCCTCTATCGGTGACGGTTCTTCAGCTACAAGAGGGGCTTCGGCTGGCATCAGAGTGCAAAGAACAAGTGCCTTCGGCAGATATCGCCTAGCTGAAGCAGGCTTGTTCAAAATGCCAACTCGGAACCTGTCGAACGAATATTGAACGGGGATGCTACCTGCAACGGTATCTTGCCTTGTGTAATACACAATGCCACGGAACAGCCGAATGCATCTTGGCCTGCATAAGCAGCCCTAGATTGGGTCTCGTGTATCAGTGCCATCAAAGGTCTTCGAGTCCCACGGCACCAAAGCCTGAAAGGACTTTGCAGCTTGATGGGCAACCCTCTATCTACCCTTCCATGAGGTAGGTCTGTCGTCGTTTGTACCCCTTAGAATCACATCTCTGCTTGTGCAGGCAGTGCCTCATCCCGTCGCCTGGTCGCTCCATCCTCGAAGATGCGAACCTCTGAGGCCGATCCGAGGGCTCGTAGCCGCGTTTGGCTGACTGTGATGGGCCTCCTTGTGAGTATTGTTTCGTGTCATGGTTGGTTGCTGAAGCGCTTCTTCTCCTTCTTCTTGTGACATGTGTCGTTATCGTTCTCGTCGTGGTTGTGGCTGTTGTCTTTATGGTCGTTGTGGTTGTTTTGCTGTTGTTTCTTGTCGTTGCTTGTAATATTGTTGCTTCTCCTAGAGGTTGTGCTAGCTGCTGCTTTTAAGACCTTTTGAAGTTATTTCTTGTTGTCCTTGTTCGGGTTCTTGTTCTTTTTGTTTCCACCCGACACTGTTGTTTTGGGATTGGTCGAAGCAAGGCAGGCGAAGACAAACCCAGAAGCGTGGTCTTCGTGTGGACCTCTTGAACATGGCACCAGACTTACCACAAAGTTCTGTATGCTTGCAAGCAGGCAAGCTCTGTCAGACCTTCGCTCTGAAAAGCTTAAAGCATAGCAACTAACCAAATGTCTTGGAATTTCTCGTAAACCCATAGCCTATAGCCGATTGAGCAGCCGCTGTGGCGAGTTGCGCATTTCTCGACACCGCAGCCTAGACGAAGCGTTCAACCCTAAGCCCTAGCAAACCCTAAACCCTGGAGCTGCAAACACCAAACCCTGAGAGGAGTGTCGGGTCAGAAGCCTTGGACCCTGAACAGATTGCTGGGTTGGAGCCCAAAGAAACGCAGCTTGGTTTTCCCTGACATCTTACACCACATCAGACGGCCCCCCGGAAAGCCAGGGGGTCGTCGTGCAGATGACTGACTGGCCCTAGCTGGTCATGGACGAGGTTGCCTGCGAGATTCCGAGTTCTTGAAAGGAATGGCTCAGCGTAAGTCTCGAAGGTTCCAGGGTGAGTTTTTGTAGTTATGAAGGGTGTAGAATTGTCGCGGTTCCCGTCACAGCACACCTTGTTTCGTATGCGGAAGCGAAAGCCAGACCAGTCGTCGAGAATGCCGAAGATGAAGACGAGGAGGTATAGCAGCTTAGCAGCGCAACCAACAGCATGATCAAGTCGTGCCATTGTCAGCGAAGCCAGAATCACTTGAGATGCCAACTAACAACAGCAGGAACCGTATGAGAAACAGCGGCGCTACGTGCAATACCAAAAGTAAGACCAGGAACACCGTTGAAGACAAAGTACTATTATTCTTTCGGGCAGTGGCACTGCCGACAATCCTTCAAAGTGCAACATCTCCGTACCATGGCCTGTGTAATCACCAGTCCAACTCCGTTGTGATCTACACCCGTGGGAAGTGATGGCACGAGCAGTGGTTGTTGTTGTGGTATTGTAGAGGATGCAGCAGTAGTCTTGTAGAAGAGTGCTTGGTGTTTTGCTAGCAGGCATCCTTGTCGTGGGGTGTTCGAGCCCGAAGGGCGAAATTAAATCCTCGTGGACGAGGCAGTTGGTCCGAAAGCTTCAGGACTCTTAGGCCTCACGAGGGGGCAAACCCGCTGAAGCTGCTGCGCCATCTGCCTCCCAGCTTTGCTGTGCCCGGCATAGGCCGGCGTAGCATAGGCGTTCCTTGGCCTTCGGATCCCTTGACGTGCAAACGCGACAATCCGCGAGACTCAGCCTTGATCCGCTCCTGGGATGCGAAAGCTGAGAATCGCACTTTCCAGCAGTGCCGGTTGTTGGGGCTTACGATTTTGTCAGGCTCGTTTTCTGATCTGATTGTGCAAAGGATGCCTGAAGCAGCCGCCGCAGCTCCAAATACCCACACACACGCCTGTTGACCTTTCTCCGGCAGGGCTTGTGCTGTCCGGGCTGTTGCCTCGTAACTGAAGAGAATGGTGCGGCAGCCCGTGATGAGGATGATGATGGTGAGGATGACGAGGATGACGACGAAGAAGAAGAATACTAATATGACTAATATGACGATGAGCGTGATGACGACTGTAATGGCCATGCCGGTGATGATGGCAATGATCACGACGATGATCATGATGGTGACGATGAGTGTCATGATGATGACGTTTATGATGGTGATGGTGATGATGATCATGATGGCGACAGCGGCAGAATATGAAGGGGACGATGATGATGGTGGTGATGAGGATGAGCATGATAAGGACATGGCAAATCAATGATGGGGAATGATGGTGCTGATGGTGATAATGATGCCGATGACGATGGCGATGGCCATAGCGACGACGACCATGATGAAGTTTGTGGTAGGGCAGTCGCAGAAGAGATGCAGAAGAGCATCGGTACCAACGGTAAAAGCGAAACTATCAATATTGCTATGCATCACAACAGTGATGGGGCGACAGTACCAGCATAAGTGATTCATCACTACAGTAGCAGTAGTAGTAGTAACATTGTTGGCGCAGGTAAAAGCGCTCAATAGCGTGAGAATGGTGATGCAAGTCATATTATAATGGTGTTGATGGTGGCAATAGCGAGGGGGATATTGACGACTGTGATGAGGACGACGACGCACAGCGATCATGTTAATGATGGTGGCGGTGAAAATGACGACCTTCCTGTTTTAGTTGTTGATGTCGTCCTCGCCATTGTTGAACGATGTCGATGTTGACTCTTGTTTCAATCCTTCCTTGTGGCATGCAAATTTTTCAAGTGCCGAGACTCTTGCCATCTAGCGACAGCGGGTCCTGCATTCGCACATGACGTCGAAAAGTCCAGCCATGTGCCAACAAGCGGGGATTGACCGAGCGAGAGTGGGAAGGCGAGAGAGAGAGAGAGAGAGAGAGAGAGAGAGAGAGAGAGAGAGAGAGAGAGAGAGAGAGAGAGAGAGAGAGAGAGAGAGAGAGAGAGAGAGAGCGAGAGAGAGACAGAAAGAGCGAGAGCGAGCGAGCGAGACCGCGAGAGGGAGGGACGGGACGGAAAAGCTGAGCGCTGTGCATTGCAATGAGGGTTTAAGCTTC